GCTTCCCCTTACTTCATGCGACAGAGCAGGCGGTATCGAGAATGTTTGCTAACAAAGTTTAGTTGAGGGTTCTTTCAGCTGAGCAATAGTTGTTGCGTTCATCTTGATGATTCAGCATCTTTGCTTGCTGGAGAAAGGGGCTTCGCTATGTGGAGTGGCGAAATCAGTACGTTTAAAAAACCAATTGGTCCAGACGACTTCCCAAGGTATTGGAAGGGTATTTGCGTCGTTAGAGTGAGCACCCGGCGTAATCGTCAACCGTGTTCTAATAGGTGATGATGCATCGTTGAATTGTATGCCAGGAGCAAAGCAATATGGTAGTATAATTCAAACAGATGTCTCGCAAGGCATCATCAGCGACATCCATGCAGTAGACAAGGGGTTGTGGGGGCTTTGATCAATTTTCCTTCACTTCTTCGCAGATAGTAGAAGGAAGACTTTCCTGCAAGATGATGTTAAAAGTTGGTGGTGAAGATAATCCAATTGTATTTGCCGGTCGCCGATGAGGTTGATTTGACATATTGCAATGACGGTGATCGGGACTGATACATCGTAACACTTCACAACCCAATAAGGCCCGAGAAGTGGAGGCTTTGCTTCAACTGATCACTAGCACTGCGGGAGAATGTTTTCTATTTCAGTCAGCTCTATGCCAGAGAAATCGTAAAGAACTTCAACTGGCGATGTGGGCATGCTTATGGATGCACTTTGGCTCTGGCTCAGTTTGATATGATGTATGTACCATTCTCAACGAGGCTAGTGGCTATTATTGCATTAGTTACTTTTCGCCACTTGTGTTTTTTTCTTCTTCTTCTCTTTTATTTTTTGGGGAAGAAATATGAAAGAATTAGATCCATGTAAGACTGTAACGAGGTTAATGGTCGGCTGCTTTTCTCTCGAGATAAATGGGAAGAAGATGCAAAGTAAAATCAACCCCACGATGAAGCTAGTGCCGACCAGAGGGCGCAGGAGAATCTCAATGTACAGGCTTCGCGCCATCACGGTCGGCAGATGATAAGAGTGAGGAGTGGCAGAATCGTTGTAGCATAGCGGATAAGCTCTTTCATTAAAATTCATATGCATGCGTTGTGGTTGCGCGGTTAGTTCTGCGAAAGAAAGTCGACGATCGAGACCAAATGCGTTGTGCGAGCAGAGAACATAAGGCGCGAGACCTGACTTGAGAGAGATTCTTGAGAACTTCTTTGGAATCTGAAGTCGAAGCAGCGGGGAGACCTTTCTTATACCTCTGGGGAGTGGGGTCTATGCCCTGTACTTTGGTGGCTCAAAGCATAACGTTTTTCACACACTTGCGGGCGTTGGACATCGAGAAGGCTGTGGTAGTGGCTGGCGATCGTTGGAAAGGTGGAATTCAATTGAAATGCATCAGTCTCTGGATTAGTCGTAAAATTTTCTGCTTTTGAATAGAACCTAAAGATGAATCTATGCTTGTGATTAAGGAGCGTCATGGCCCACTTTTTGGGTGACTGAAAGCATGTTGGCCAGCAGTATTCAGGTCTTGCGAGTATCGCATTATGTGAAGCTGTCGGGATTGAATACAAGCTCAGTTGTAATGGGCAGAAGCTTCCAGGTTGTCAATATCGGTAGATCATGCTGCCGAGGTTCGCAAAATCTGTCAGCCAGAATGTGTTCATCAAGCAGCATTGCATTTACACTACTTGCTTTGATGAAGAATCACAAAAAGCATACGCCTACCATTTGCGAACGCCAACTCAACTGAATTCCTTATACATAAATATCATGGGCTTGCGCCCCCGATGGCTTAAGTTTGGACCATCGGCTCCGGTTGTTCCTCTTTCGTTTTCCACTATGTCAACTTACGTTGAAGATGGATTCCGCACTCTAGGAGCCTGTTGGATGACTATTCCAGGCCGGTGTCAGCTCAATATCGCAATGGAAAGACGTGAAGTCCTTACCCACTTGCACTAAGGACAAATATTGTCGCCTCTCTCGATTTGTAAGTATTTTTCCTGCTCTCTCCAGCCAATCTTGTATCTCGCGCGAAATATTTCTTGCAAATTTGCCCAGCTCATGCCAACACTGACTGCCAAAGGTAATCCCATCAAAAGATAAAGTGCCAGAGACCCGTCGTATTGTACCCAAGCTCTTTCAATCATGGCCGCGGCGAGGACTGTCCAACAGACAAGCATCCCCATGCCAGAACCACGGAACCTCCAGGCAAGTCGGAAGAGAGTCGATATGCTGCTAATGATCGTGAGGAATAGTAAGATCCATACACACTTTTCCAAAACCACGATCGATCGCAACGGTGATGGGAGTCCTCTGAGAGTGTTGCTTCCGCCTCCAGTCATCAAAGGCGCTGTATAAAAATAACTATGCAGCAGAACGTAGTTCGCCGCCGGGAGGATTGTCTTGGTCCCCAAGAGGCCAGTGAACTCCCATGAGCTCCAACTCGCGTTCGCCATATATCCCCCTCTTCCTATCGTTGATCTTTCTGTCGTAGGAGGAACGACTAGTTCACCATATCCTTCTTTTGACGAAACGGTAGAATACGGCAGTGTATCGAGAGTCCAAAGGTCATGAGGAAGCATATAGGTAAGACGCCGTTGACCACAACCCTGCCACAAGACTTGCGAGTGATTTTTTAAGGTTGTAGAGATCTCTTGAAGCATTCGACTTAGATTCTCATGACCTTCATGCTACAAATGTATCAGCAAAATTCGAATACAATGTCGAGTACTCACGGCGAGCTTTTGCGATCCATGAACATCGTCGAGAAAGGCCTGAAGCCCTTGTAACGACTAAGTAATCGTCAATGTCAGTAGCTCTCGCAATATCCTGGCGCAGTTGAGCTCACTCTGTTCAGCTCGAGAAAGTCCTCTTGTACTGACAAGACTTCCTCGTTGGATCGACGAGACAGCTTTACGATACCGTAGACGTCATGGGCAACAGAGATCGCTGTCGCGAGTAATCCAATGCTCCCGACGAGGTCCATGAGTACAGCTATAGGGAGTGCCCGGTTCCTTGACAACCAATGTTTATAAGATGTTCAAATTGCGCCTTTAGTCATAATGAATTGTTTGACAATTCTTTCGCCGAAGAAAGATGTAGAGGAGTGGGGGCGCGGAGTCGACTGCTGCGGTGAATCCACTGAGTCCTTTGACGTTTTTTGATGTGGTAAATTAATCACTGCTGCTGTGTAAGTCGGGCAGACATAGCTGAAAAGCGCCCGGTTTCTATGAGGCATTTTGTGCACAAGGCTGACTTGAATGCCCACCGACGTCAGGTGTCGATACCTGTTTTGCTTTCCAATCTGCCTTGCACAGCCTAGTGCCCCTCATGACAATTGGTACCCAAATTTCAGGCTGGTCTCTGTGGGCCTGGTGGTGCTTCGTCCGGTATCTGGCAGCTGTCATTCTCCCCCCAGAGATTTCCATCCTAGCCGTGTTTCAATCGAAAAGCCATACCATGCGAACTTGAAAGACCAGTATATCCTCCAAAATTCAACCTTCTCCCCTCTGAAACAACGAATGATATCCTCGCTGCGAGCTCAGACCGCAGTCAGCGTTCACACTAGTATAGCAACGTACTTCGCAATCGTCTCTTAGATCACTCGCGCCCTTTCTTGGTGGATAGTCATTCTTCATGGACCTTCCTGAGCGACTCTTACATTTCGCGAATGAAAAGGAGGAGCCACTAAAATGGATTACATTTGCCGCAATGGTTGTAGAGGCGTTCTTCGTGATCCTTTTTGGCATGGCTTTACCCGAGGATAACAAATGGGAATGGAAGTTCTTCTCGTAAGTACCTGACAATGAAGGCTGTGGTCGTATACCAATTGCAACATAGCTTGTGGTGTATCTGGTTGTGGACAGGAGCCGTGTTTGTCTTCTTAAACCTGAAGAGAGAAAAGACATTCATAATGTACGTATTCGCAAGGAGCCTGGGGCCGATTGATGCTAAGACAGAAAAGACGAAGTTTCCTGTACATATTTGGCATCGGCGCGGCCTTTTGGTTCCTCTGCTCCGTTTGGCAGATTCGATCTCAGGTGCTGCCGACATACATCCCCATCGCGACCGATTTAGGCATATTCTTGGGGCTAGGATTGGATCACCTTTGGGCAAGCATTCAAGAGATTGTGGTGAACATGATGTATAGCACCTGTAGGAATGCTCTGCGACTCCTAGGTCGCGATTACCTTCCTCAGAGTGAGCAAGACCCAATGATTACACTAGAGGAGAATCGAAGCTTCCCACGACAGCCTTCGCCACTTTGACAACGTTGACCGACTTACCACTATGTGATATTGATTGTGAAAGGACGACACCTGTTTGACCTTTACCAATTCTTTCACACACTGGACGAGAAGAAAGAGAAGATTCCACAAGCATGCAAGTGACTAAGCAAGGGGCGGCATTTTCATTTCCATTTTCTTTCTGGGAAGTGTGACTTTCATTGAGCAATGATCAAAGCGACACGGATTCCAAGCAAGAAGCCATCAAGCTAAGCTAAGTTCAGGCCATACCTTCATTGGTATTCACGACCAGTACCTGATCATGAAGGACACAACAAGCTCTAGATACTTCAAATTAGAAAAAGATCCTGCCCAAGGCAGACAACTGACGGAACACGGAATCGGTCTGCACAATTTTCACGTGCAATGGGAATTCTATTTTCCATCGCGATAGCAGTGTATATAAATAGATGTGTACATATTTCCAACATCAACGGAGTTTACGTCAATCAGTCGATGAAAAAAGGGATGATGCCAACACTAGGTTTGCTCCTGATTTGATGCGCGATGGCCGCCAGAAGGGTTGGCCCCTCGGGGGGCTTGAAAACATCCTTTAGCGCGCTTTGACCCTGGAGAAGAGCCCTAAGCGCCCGTGTGCAAAAGACTCCTATTTTAGATGCCATATTTTCATCTATCATCCATCGATAAAGCGCCTAGCTCTACGTGCATTGCTTTCGTACAAATAGCCAAATCGGCAAACACCTCAGACCCGAATGTTCGTATCCTTCATTTCAGTTCAGCTTTCGTAGGCGCTTCACTCGGAGGTTCTGTATCATTGACGACGCCCATGTCCGCCCCTTTTACACCATCCGCTACATTCTGTCTGTCCGCTTTCTTGCTCTCATCAAATCTCCATACACCACCCGTCCTATCGGCTTCTATGCTCGCATATATCGGCTTAGCAAGACTATCAAATATATCAGACTTGTCGGATTTGTTGAAAAATCGTCGGGTGTAGGATCGCCCCTCGGCTTGCTCCTTCTTCCTCAACTCTCTTTGTGCATTTTCTAAGGCGCTCTTCTCAACGTGCACGGTGTCCATATCGCCCTTCTCGATCGCAGCTTTGATACTTCGCCACGCCTTGTGTGATTCGTAAGGATCTTGTGTATCTATTGGGGGAACGCTGAGGGATGTTGTCTTCGAGGCCTTTGCGTTGTATGTTTCCAGGGTCTGGCTACCACCCGCCATTTTCTTGAGATGTGAGCCTCCTCCACCGCCGGACTTGATGCTGAAGCTATCAGTCCATTGGCCATCAACCGTGTAGAGGACGTCCTTCTCATGCCCTTGTTTCGCCAGGGTTGCAGTAAAGGTGTTCTTTTTGCCTGAAAGCCACCCTTTTCCGCTGTAATCTATTTTAGCAATGTAGCCTGTCGACGAGGTGATGTAGCTACAGCCGTCAAGCTCGACGAAGGGTTTGCCGTATATCAAGCCTTCAATGTGGAGGGAGGGAAGGGTGAAGAGGTATGTCTCGTTGAAGGCGGAGAGAGTAAGGAGGGCGTGACCGATTTGCTTAATTATGATGGTGCGCGAGAACGAAACTTTCTGGCCATTGTAGCCTTGTAGCTGTCATTCTTGTGTAAGTCGCCACCTTCACAAACACAACGAGGGATGTACCTGAACTCCATGCTTGTCATTCCAGATACAATACGCTGTCACCGGCGGATGGTGGCTACAACAGATTAGACCTCATAACACTAGCCATTCTTTGTTGAAGAGCCATACCTGACTTGCTCAGATACTAAATGTGTTGTGCCCGCCTCATCATCCCATTTGCCCAAGAATAGTTCGCCCAAGAATGGGTTCAGAGGCTTCTTCTCGGTCCCATACTTGTCACTGCGACTGCTATATGATTGTTTCAGTGTCGTTAGAAACCACTTCAACACCAGCAACGCTCGCTTCTCGGGGTCTTGCTCGGTGGCGGGGGCGACGAATATTGATGGGTGCTCAGTCCAGTAGGCGGAGAATTCTGTCAAAGAAGTGGTGCCTAGAATGAAAGGTGGAGCGGTGAGAGAGGCGATATCACCATTGTAGGAGGCTAGGGCCTGTATCGTGCGTGAGATATCATTTCATATACGGTTGAACTGATCTGCCTACCTTGAGGAATGAGCCCCACGAGGCCTTGTTCTGTGGCGCAACGCCGGCACCCTCATCCTTTGAAGAGCCCGACATGGTGGAAATGCAGAATATGGCGTGGCTTCCTAATGATGAAGGGAATTATGTGGGAGAAGAAAATCTGTTTGAACCAAAGATCTTGGTCATGGATGCAAGGAGGGGTCTTCGGGAGAGGATCGCGCACGGGATGACGCGCATGTGAGATCGAAATCCTTGCGGCGTGACAAAATGAAGATGTGGAAAGGTCGTGGACATTGGCAGGATAATCGTCAGGATAATCGTACCTACTCCCAAAGGATCGACGGAACGATATGTATTCCTTTGTTGTCTGCCTCATATGAACAATTCTCGTTGTCATATCCGCCATGAGTTGACTACACTGCCCCTTTAACCTCGGAGCAGATTGTCAAGCTGTACAGGAGCCTGTTTCGACACTATGAGCTGCAGAATAAGGCTACAGCCTTGCAGGCACCATCCACCGTCAACTCAACCTAACGTGCTCGTCATGAGGGCTTAAAGAAGCACAATGAGGTCCAGTTTCGGCTTCATTTTCTAGTCTTTCGAAACGGCCTTTCCCAGGATGTCGCAATCACACCTGAATCAGATTCGAGGATCCGCTCCTTTGAAATTTCTTGTGATTGGTGCCGGCTCTAGAGGCAATGGCTACGCCCACGCTCTGCTTCAGTCAACGCCTGACGCCCAGATCACTGCAGTCGCAGAACCCATCGAAGTCAAGCGGCGAGCGTTCGGACGGCAGTACATTTGGGGTGAGGCAGATGCTCCAGCAGAATGGCAGAGCTTTGCGGATTGGAAAGACTTTCTTGGGCTACAAGAACAAAGGCAGAGGGCAGCAAGAGACAAGGCGTCTCGATGGAGCCGTCCCGTTGATGGCGTTTTCATCTGCACTCTCGATGATAGCCATTGCGAAATTATCACTGCCTTTGCGCCGCTGGGATATCATATCATGAGCGAGAAGCCTTTAGCGACGACGTTACAGGATTGCCTCAAGATTTACCGGTCTTTGCGGCCGCAAGGATCTTCATCTTCACCTCAGATATTTTCGATTGGGCATGTCCTGCATTATAGCCCACACAACATACTGTTGCGGAGACTTCTTTTAGACGACGAAGCCATTGGCGATATACTGTCAGTCGAACATACAGAGCCTGTGGGATGGTGGCACTTCGCCCATTCCTACGTGAGAGGAAATTGGCGCAAAGAGGCTTCGTCTGCGCCGTCGCTGCTCACCAAATCTTGCCATGACATAGACTTACTCATGTGGCTACTCTGCGCACCACCTGCTACTGCCTCAATAACGGATCGACCTCCTCACCTGCCTTCATTCGTCTCTTCCACGGGTTCGCTTCTTTACTTCAAACCGAGTCGGAAGCCTCAATCTGCGGGCGGCGCGACGAATTGCTACAGCTGTGCTGCTGAACCGCAGTGTATCTACAGCGCCAGAAAAATATACGTGCGAGATAGATTCGACCAAGGACATGTAGGCTGGCCTGTCAAGATTGTTGACTCGGAGATTGAAGATATGTACGTGGGCGGCAACAAGAAAGGGGCAAGAGAGCGTTTGGAGGCTCGCCTGAAGGATGACTATAATGAATCTACATCAAGTCCTGCCAGTCGACCCTGGTACGGCCGGTGTGTTTACAATGCGGACAACGATGTATGCGATGACCAGGTTGTGACAATCAATTGGGAAGATGACCCCCTCCCCGTGACTTCTGTACAACAAAGGCAAGATCGTCTGCAGGGACGCGGAGCCAAGAATGCTATTTTTCATATGGTCGCATCCACCGAAGCGCAATGCGAACGGAGAGGGCATATTTCTGGCACCAGAGGCGAGATTGAATACGATAGCCGCACCATACGTGTGTACGATTTCGCGACCAAACGAGCTGAGGTGCACGTTCCGGAGCAGCCTGGCGGCGGACACGGAGGCGGAGATGCCGGACTGGTGAGCGCCTTCTTCAAGGCTGTAGAAGCTGTCAAATTACGGCAAATGCCTGTAGAGGAGGCACAGCAGGCTTATGTCGGATGCACGGCTGAAGAGATTGTCAGAAATACTGCGATGGTCTTTGCGGCAGAGGAGGCGAGGCGAGAAAAGAAAGTGGTAGATTGGCCAGCCTGGTGGCAAAACAATGTCGAGATAGCCCTCGAACACCAGAGCGGTTAGACGATCCTACAGCATGGGTGAATACGAGATCGCAAAGAGGCTGGCGGGAAGTTCGAATGTCTACGCTGTTTGTCCGGGGGCGCTTTGCTTGAATGCGCCATATTTGGAACAGGCTTCTTCATGAGAACCGGAAACATGTAGGTCGTGAACCTAGCTCAGTGTTGGTCCGACGGTTTTGAGGGCTTTCCCCAGTATCTTGGCGCTTGAGCGATCCAAAAGATGAATAGCGAAAGACTTAGGCACTCGATCATTGGAACGGAGGATCTTTGAGGTACTATTAATGCATGTGGATCCTCTCGACTCCTGGTCCGTGGGGTCCTTCCTCGGAAGCTCCTTGACAAGGAGACTACTCATTCTTGGAGGATGAAACGATATGGTTAGGCTGTCTCAGGATACCCTGAGGCTCGTCTGAAATCAAGCTCCTGCTCAAGCCAGTCGTTCCTTAGATGTTGGTCTGCAGAATCCATCCTCAGGCGCTAAGGCGAGGCTAAGGAGACTAGAGGAACAATCCAAACAAGCTAGCTTTCCCGAGCGTGGACCAATCAACGCGTGCGACGCCGATGACTTGCATCTACGCGCCGAAATCTCCCCAACCTCACGCCATCAGCCAGTCGATCTCACGACCGCGATGGCGACCGCAATGTTGACCTGCTCCAGGCGTGTTTCTCGTGTTCTATACATGGCCCAGCGCTTGCCTTATGAAACGGAGCGTGATCTCAGCCTCGACCGTCGGAACTTGGTGCAGGTGCCGCCGGAGGCAGACCTGTACCACCTCCAGAGGCTGCAAACCCGGAAATTACTCCTCTTCCAGAGTCTTGTCGATGTCGACCCCAATCTCCCAAAATAAATGGAGCAGGTCTTTTGACGCGCGACACCTGACGTTCAAACCAGCTGTCTTGTTTCAATACTCAACAGGCATAGTGCATTTGCAGCATCGAATCCACAGACGTGCAGTTTCAGAGTTTGCCCTTGGCTCGCTCATGGCTCCTCTAGTGTTGAGCCGTTTCAGATATTGCACGACGCTGCATACCACTCGTGAAGGATAAGTATCTCGCTTTTGCCCACTTGACTTCTTCTTTCTTCTCCATTTATCACGACGTCTCCGACGCAACGAGTCTTCTTTGCCCAACGAATTTCTTTCATCTTTCCTTTTCTCCTTTTCGTCTATAGACTTCGCATAGGAGCTGGTCTCCTCTAATATACTAGCATATCTCAGAATACCAACCACTCGCTTCTACTACGTACGACTCCGGAAGTCATGCCTCTCGAACCATATCAATACCAGCCGGCTGGATCCAAGGCTTCTACTCCTTCCCCCACTATCCGCCAGAGCGGCGGTCATGGCCGCTGTCCTTCTGCTTCTTCCATTTGGTCTTCACCAGAATCCGTGGACACTCGCGCCACTACCCCCAGCATCTCACCTGCAAAATATGTAGGAGGCCGCGACATTCTACCGAGAATTCGTGACTGTGATCAGGGCTTAGAGACTGAATTCTCGACTGCATCATACCGGAGGGCACAGTCGCAGGAGTGTGACCCATCTTTCTCTGTTCCGTCGTCGCGACCTGGTTATCAGCGTAGTACCACCTGCCCGCCTGAGTACGGATACGTTCCTACGCCAACCTCTATCACTACACAGGACTCGTGGTGCTTTTCGGCGCTTGACTCACCTGTCGATTTCCAGCCATCTCTTCAACGAAGCGGCACAGGTCATGTACGCGCAATCTCAACCTCGGCTATTAATCCATCCCAGCTTCGCCGCCATGCCTTTCCATACCGCAACGCCCCTGTCTATAAATCTCAGGAGCAGCCGACGCAGTACCTTGCCCCGCAAGCCCTACAATCGTTGGATTTCTTCTCTGATAACCCTTTCGAAGCTCCGATGTCAGACTACGCTTACTATGACGCGCAATATCCATGCGATCGTCAGCTCACACCTGAGTTTATCGTGAATACCGGCGTTGAACCTGCCACGACTCTGATGACCTACTTTACCGAGAGGAATCCGCACATTCGTCTTGTACCTCAAAACAATTGTAAGCCAGCCTGTGACGGCGAGACCAAGCATTACTGGGGCTGGTGGGACGTCCGCCAATTGCGCAAATGGGAAGATTTCAACATGGAGACTATCATGGGAATTACTTCATTCCCTGATCTTCTCAACATCGATGTCAACGCTTCCAGTCTGAAGACTCCCGCTCCTGAATCGTACTCAGACCGACCCCATAGCGTGCAAGCCCTTCACGACATCATAAAGAACTATCACGCGTACAAAGTCAATGACGCTTTGAAAACCTCTGCAAGAGATCGTCCAGCCATCATCACCTCCCGTCACGACTCGCGCAATGGGCCGTACTTCCTCGGCAGCGTCTCCAACTCCGCCGATATCTCGTCGCGCAACCGTGCTGTCGGCCTTGTCAAGGCCTATGAGAACTGGAACACTGGCATGCGGTCTGGAAACCCTATCGCCCAAGTCGGCTTCCTGCGCACCCTCGCTCAGTTACAACTCCTTATGCGCGAGCAAAACTGCCGCTATGGCTACATCGCCACAGAAATTGAACTCGTCTGCGTACGTATGGGCACCGAGCCTGGAAAGCCCTTCTTCGGCGAGCTGGAGCTCTCGAACCCAATCCAGATGAGCACAACCACTGGCTTGACAGCCTGTCTTGCGCTCTGGTACCTCCATATGCTCACGGGAGATGACCCATTACCAGGTCAATGCCACTGGAGCGTGCATATTGGAGCGCCAGCAGAGCACACGCGCGCAGTGTGTTGTGAGCAGGAGGAGCGCGATCGCTGGATTGCGAAACTGAAGGGCCCGCAGCTCTCGGAGTGTAGGTCTGCGAAGAGGCATCGCGGTTGGGTGTGGCCGAGGGAGGAGTATAAGCCTAAAATCGAAGGGGGAAAGCCTAGGGGAAGACGTTGATCGTCGAATCATTAAATAGACTACAGCCTAATATTTGTGTTTTCATGCATAGCGAGGGCATTGGGACGGCGTTGCATTGCATGTCTGTTGGCACTCTGTGCTTGCATAGCGGAGGTGTATTAGGTGAAGAATATAAAGTATTCTCTGTCGTCTCAAAAGCTTCTCCTTCACCTGGCTTCACTCTGCAAAAATGACTTTTCCTTCCTCCTTGCAGCACTTGCATAAAATGCGCACAATTCCGCCACGGTCGCGTGCACAAAATCCATCTGTTCACGCGTCATGCATGCATCTGACTCTCAAAGCTCGCCCTCCATTGAACCAATGCTTTCAGCGGCCATCCGCTCGGGATTCCTATCAGAAATACGCTTTCTATTGTCCGCTCCGACTACAACCTTCGTCGACAAAGCCAAATTTGCAAGAATGCGCTCCACAGACCCTCTCGTCTGGATCGATTGCGAGGTATTGCATCTGCAGCTCCCTTCTCTTCTCCTCCCACTCCCTTGCCCTTGCTCTCTCCGCTCCATTCCCTCCCACCCATACTTCTCCAACATCTAATTACTTTCTACAGATGACAGGTCTCTCTCCCTCTACCGACACAATTCTCTCCCTCTGCTGCTTCGTCACCACCCACGACCTTCAAATCGTCTGCCCGGAACCGTATGAAGCCTTCATTCATCATTCGAGAGATAGGCTAGACAAAATGGATGAGTGGTGCAGGAACACGCATGGGAAAAGCGGGCTTGTGGATGCTTGCGTTAAGTCTAAGACTGGTGAGAAAGAGGCCGCGGAGGGATTGGAGGCCTATGTAAGACGCTGGGTGGAGAGGGCGACCGGTATGGACGAAGGGGAGGGTGGTATGGGAAGAGGAAGAGGAGCAGGAGACAGGGGAAAGGGAAGAGGGTTGTTGGCGGGGAACTCAGTGCATTGCGACAAGGCGTTTTTGAGTCGGGGGGAGTGGAAGAGGGTCAATGACTATCTAGGATATAGAATCCTGGACGTAAGTTCGATCAAGGAAGGGGCAAAGAGATGGGCTAGTGAGGAGGTGTTGCTGGGGGTGCCGCAGAAGACAAATCAGCATAAGGCGAAAGAGGATATTTTGGAGAGTATCGAGGAGTGTAAGTATTGGAGGGATAAACTGTTCTTGAAGTGAATCCCAAACATGGCGTGTCTACGAAGTCCTATCGAAGATTCTGAGTGGGATGTTGATCTCGCAGAGCCGCCAGCGTCATCTTGCAGCACCCCACTTTGAGCCCAACAAACGCGATTTTCGTCCCACACAACAAAATTTGCAATACTAATTGCAAAAAATCAACGAAGATACTCAAATTAGCTTGCAGTCACAATGAGTGTGCAGAACGTCTCATTCAAATCTTTTACCGACCAGAAGCCAGGAACGTAAGTCTACACCACGCACAATTCTTCCTGGACTTTTGCGTTGTTTACCTGTGAATTGGAGAGCCCACTGCTGACAGCTGGTCAGATCTGGACTTCGCAAGAAGACGACTGTCTTTCAGCAACCGCATTACAGCGAGTCATTCATTACTAGCATCCTTCTCTCAATCCCCGAAGGCGTCGAAGGTAGCACCCTTGTTGTCGCTGGAGATGGGCGCTTCTATAACCCAGAACTCATTCAGTTGATTGCAAAAATTGGGAGTGCATATGGAGTGAAGAAATTGATTGTGGGCCAAAATGGTATTCTGAGCACGCCCGCGGCCAGTCATGTCATCAGAATACGGAAGGCTACGGGAGGTATCCTCTTGACAGCCAGCCACAACCCCGGAGGTGAAAAGCCTCCGCTCTCGATTGGTGCAATAAGGCATTGACAGCGATGCAGGTCCTTCGAATGATGTTGGAATCAAATACAATCTTGCCAATGGCGCTCCAGCTCCCGAGACTGTCACCAACAAGATCTTCGATACCTCAAAATCACTTACCTCCTACAAGATTGCCGACATTCCCAAAGTGGATCTAGCTTCCATTGGCACCAACAAGTATGGTAGTCTCGATGTCGAGATCATCGATTCCACAGCCGACTATGTCACTATGCTGATGTCGATCTTCGATTTCCCCCTCATCAAATCTTTCTTGGAATCGCACACCGACTTCAAAGTCCTATTTGACGCGTTGAGTGGTGTGACGGGCCCCTACGGCGTTGCAATTTTCGAGAAAGAACTGGGCTTGGAAGATAGCACGCAGAATTGCATACCATCCCCAGACTTCAATGGCGGTCATCCCGACCCTAACCTTGTTTACGCGCACTCTCTCGTCGAAGCAGTTGACTCCAAGGGTATTCACTTTGGTGCCGCAAGCGACGGTGATGGCGATCGAAACATGATATATGGGGCTAAGGCGTTCGTGTCCCCTGGCGATTCCTTAGCCATCATTGCCCACTACGCGAAGATGATTCCTTATTTCCGGGACCAGGGAGTTTATGGCCTTGCTCGCTCCATGCCCACGTCAGGCGCCATTGATCTTGTAGCGAAAAAGCAAGGGCTGCAGAATTATGAAGTGCCGACAGGCTGGAAGTTCTTCTGTAACCTTTTCGATACGAACAAGATGTCCATCTGCGGTGAGGAAAGCTTTGGGACCGGTTCCAATCATATCCGCGAAAAGGACGGACTGTGGGCTGTCATGGCCTGGCTGAACATCATTGCTGGTGTAGCGAAAGAAAAGCCTGGTACTACGCCTAGTATCAAAGATATCCAGCATGAGTTCTGGCAGACATATGGACGCACATTCTTCACACGGTATGACTATGAGGGCGTGGATAGCGATGGTGCAAATCAAGTCGTTGCTAATCTCAAGGAACTGATCACGACGAAAAAGGCCGACTTTGTGGGCTCTGCCGTGTCAGGACGCAAGGTCACCGAGGCGGATGACTTCTCGTACACTGATCTCGATGGAAGCGTCAGCAAAAACCAAGGTATCTTCGTGAAGTTTGACGATGGGAGTAGGATTGTCGTAAGGCTCTCAGGGACGGGGAGCTCGGGGGCAACGATTCGGTTGTACGTGGAGAGGCATGAGACCGACCAGGCGAAGTTTGGCCTTGATGCGCAAGAGTATCTCAAGGACAACATCAATCTAGCGACTGAATTGTTGAAGCTCAAGGAGTATGTGGGCAGAGATGAACCTGGTAAGCAATAGTCCTCCCTTCCTGCCGGTGAGACGCAACGTGTAGGAGCTAACGTGGGAAATTGCGAACAGACGTCAAGACCTGAAGATAGACGCTGCAAATTGATCGTTTCCCATGACTATAGAGTATACATACATACGCATACCTAGCAATGGCTGCTCTAGAAAAGCGCTGTAAGGATCGACGGCATGGTTTGAGAAAGTTCGGACCTATACATAAACGCATAGAATATATCGGCCTGCATTGCTGACCAAGATCCAAATGATTTGTGGCATAGCCCGCAGAGAGAGGGGGATATCTGACCTCATTCCTCGTATCTAGAAAGCGACGGTGCATTTGACGGCCGTCATGGTTGCAACGGCGTTACCTTAAAAGTCGAGAAGATGCCAAAAATAGGGCATGCTCAAGCCACAACGGCCAGTCTTGGCGGCGGCCAGGGGCAGTGGCTCGTGCGAAGTGGGGCTCTCTCTCTTACCTCTCTCCCCCGTATTTTGCCGGATTGGTCGGCATAAAGCGAAAAAAACTTGTCATCAATCAACATATCTCCTCTTCAGCTTCCTGTCACTCGCTTGTCCGCGGTTTGTAAAATGTGTGTCCATTCTCCACTTCATTGATCGCCACCCGTCGTTTGGAGAAATCGGACTGTCAACAGCGAAGTCTGTGACTTGTTGAGCAGACCCAAGTGCCACACTCGTTTCAGACATTAATGGCGCGTCGCAACGAACGCTGAGGACCGTCTGTGACCTTGAACGACCCTCGAGCTTTTCATCCACCGGCCTCCGTCGACGGATTCCTCGCCCTAGTTCTTGACATGTCCAGTACACCAGTGTCAAGCTCGTCACCAGGAGGGAGCCCCGAACAATGCGAAGCGGGCAAGTCTGGAGCAGCAGATCAGCTACTCTGTCTTTTACAAGACCCCTTCTCTCAATCGGTAAGACGGCAGCTATAGAAAGAAGCTCAATGGCAGCTAATCCTTTTCAAGTTCAAATCCACGTCGATATGGACCGCGCTCGCAACCTCAGTCGGTTTCATGCTCCTGATCGTCCTCCTTTTCTCCCTCATACGACCCCGAAACAACGTAGTATATGCGCCGAAGCTGAAATATGCGGATGATAAACATGCGCCCCCAGTCATTGGGAAGGGCTTGACCGATTGGGCTCCACCGTTGCTGAAGTTACGCGAGGCAGAGTTGGTGGAGAAGATCGGGTTGGATGCGACAGTCTTCCTCAGGTTTACAAAGATGTGCCGAAATATGTTTGGGATACTCACCATTGTTGCTTGCGGCCTGGTGCTTCCAACCAATCTGATAACGGGTGGGAAGGATGCGTTTGCAAAATCAACAAAGCAAACGGGCTTCTGGATAACGAGCACGCCGCAGTATACAAGGGGCTCAGTCCTATGGGTTCATGTTCTAGCAGCTTATTTAGCCAATATGGTTGTGATTTTCTACTTGTGGAGGAATTACGTTGTAATCACAAGACTCAGGAGGGGATACTTTGAGAGCTCGGAGTACCTCCAGAGTCTTCATTCGAGGACATTGATGTTCATCGATATTCCACAGGCATCGAGAACAGACGAGGGACTTCTGAGGCTAGCTGATGAGGTAGAACAGACCAGCGGGATTCCAAGAGCTGCGATTGCAAGGAATATGAAGGAGCTTCCGGAATTGATGGAGCAGCACGAAAAGGCAGTCAGAGAGCTGGAGTCTGTGCTTGCCAAATACCTCAAGAAGCCAGATAGCCTACCAGCCCAAAGACCGACAATGAGGCCTGGCCGAGATTTACGGGGAGTGTCCAAGGTGGACTCAATCGATTATCTAATGGACCGGATCTTGGATCTCGAAACAGAGATCAAGCATGTGCGAAGCTCCGTCGATAAGAGGAATCCTATGCCTTACGGCTTTGCTAGCTACGAGAGGATTGAAGAAGCCCACACGGTAGCTTATGCCGCTCGGAACAAGAAGCCGCACGGGACAACGATTTGTCTGGCACCACGACCCAATGATCTCATCTGGAAGAATTTGCCCCTGTCGAAGAAAGACAAACGCTGGAAGCGCCTTATTAATGATTTTTGGATTTTGCTTCTGACCGTGGCGTGGATTGCACCGAATGCAATGATTGCCATATTCCTATCCGATCTGTCACATTTGTCTAAGGTGTGGAAGGGGTTCAAAGACAATTACGACCGCCATCATCAAGCCTGGGCTATCGTTCAGGGTATTGCTTCACCAGCTATCACCTCTCTCCTCTATCTTCTACTTCCGATTGCCTTTCGACGCTTGTCAATGCACGCGGGCGACATCACCAAGACGTCGCGTGAAAGGCATGTGGCCAGTAAGCTTTATGCTTTCTTCGTGTTCAACAACTTGATCATCTTCTCGGCCTTCTCCACCGTCTGGGCCCTTGTTGCTGCTGTGATCCACCACCCCCATGGCGAGTCTGTCTGGGACGCCATCAGACAGGGTTACTTCTTCGTAAAAGCCTTGGGTGGCCTGGTCGAAATTTCCCCTTTCTGGCTCACGTGGCTGCTTCAAAGGAACCTTGGTAGTGCAGCTGACTTGGCTCAAATCATTCAATTGTTCTGGGTCTGGTTTGGGAAAACCTTCACCGCACCTACTCCTCGCCAAAGAATCGAATTGACAGCGCCCACACAATTTGATTACGCGGTATATTACAATTACTTCCTCTTCTACGCAACTGTCGCTCTCTGCTTCGTAACAGTCCAGCCTCTCACTGTTCCAATTACAGCGCTCTACTTCGTCATCGATTACTGGCTAAAGAAATATCTTCTCCTCTACGTTCTGATCACAAAACACGAGTCTGGCGGCTCGTTCTGGCGGGTGCTTTTCAATCGCATGGTCTTTGCTACTATTCTTGCTAACTTTGTCCATGGCATTGTCGTTCTTGGAGCCGGAACCTGGCAGATGGCCGCCGCCTTGGTCCCTCTCCCCTTCATCCTCTTAGGCTTCAAATTTTACTGTGCCCGTACCTTTGACGACCAATCTAAATACTATACCAAAGGTATTTTGAGAGATCCTGAAAACATGGCCGACCCGGGCAAACAAGCGCGCCGCAACGACCGCGTACATAAGAAGTTCGGCAACCCTGCGCTCTACGCCAAACTCATGACCCCAATGGTGCACGCTAAAGCCTCCCGCATCCTTCCTTCTCTCTATGGAGGCAACCACAAGCACGAACAACACCCCGCATTCTTCTCCGCCTCACAGAAGCAGCAACACCAGCGCGTCGACTCCACAATGACAGACATAGCAATGGATCCCATGTCCGCCTCTTTCCCGGGCAAAGCCGCACATTTTACACCCACCCATACACCCTCCTCCTCCACCGGCCACTCCGACAAAAAGGGTCTATTTGAGCTCGTCCCCGAAAACAAACTCGATTTTGGATACTTCAAATCCCGCTCCGAGTTCGCAGACGAATACGGCGGCGACGGCGAACTCTACGGTCGACCTCAAGATCTCGTCTCAGAAGGCGGCCGTAGCACCCCTATGTCTTTCATGCACGGTGCGCGCGATGGCTCCCCGAGCTCTTCTCGCGCAAGCAGCCCGGGGCCATATGGGAGTCCGAGGGACTATCGCGCTTTCAGCCCCACGCAGCAACTGGTGCAGCAGCAGGGGCAGGGTGTACATCCCGCATATCGCGTGCCAACGCCGCAGCAGCAGCATGAGCGAACGGGAAGTTCGGGGAGCAGGGGGAGGGGGTTGTATCAGTATGGTGGCGGGGGCCAGAGGACGGAGAGTGAGTCGAATCTTTTGAGGGCTGCGCAACCTAATCCAGTCGACGATGGTCGGAGTCAAAGGGAGATGTATGGGCTTGATAGGTGGAGGACGGGTGGGAGCGGGTATGCGCCTGTGGCGAACAATCCCGCTGAATTTGAGGAGCAAGGCGGGTTGGGGACGGGGATGGGGTATGATGCTTATCGGGGGAGGAGGTGATGAAGGGGAAAAAAGGGGAGAGGGATCGTTGTATATAGGGAGGAAGTGGATGCAGAGGATGAGGTATGATGTTACGAATATAGAGCGGACGGCTGCTGGATTAGGGTAGCCGGATTAAGAGGGAGGGGGTTTGCTTTGCATTGCGTGGCTAATTTATCTCCTCTGGGTAGAGGAGGGGCGTTGGGGAAGGGAAGAGCTTGCTTGTAAGTGATAGCTTGGTATAGAAAAGTCACGAGATATATTTTCCAGAAGCCTGAGGGCGCTTTGATCAGCTGCGGTTGTTCAAAGTCGTTCTAGCAAGAGGCTGACTATGTACTAAAGGCTTAAATTGCAATGTTCGTTTTGACGTGGCTGAGGCCTTTTATTTTGGTAGTGTAGTGTCAAGCAGATTCTCGAGGAAGGAATTCAAGCTTTGCAATAGCTCAGACGCTGCAAGACCTTGTGATAGGATGCCCATTAAAAGCGACAAAACGTGGCGAGGAAGATAGCTTGAACGCCCCCCAAAAACGCCCATCATTATCTCCTAAGGAATCAAACGAGATTCATCCTATAAATCGGGGTGAAAATTATGAAAATCTCAGTTCCGATAATCGTGGCAGTTTGACGGATTCTGAGACAGCAAAGAGGCAGACAATTCTTTACCGAAGTCCTGACGGCAAGAAACATCGACTCGCTGAGACGGAAGCAGGTAACCTCGAGTACCTTTTAGATAAGTCTTTGAAGACGGAGGATGAAGAGGATAATGAAAAGTTGAAGACCGCACGAGCATTCTTCGTGTGAAAAGCTCGGAATGAAGAGCAGAAAGAATAGCTATTACTCCGTTTATCCCAACATATCTCAACAATTCCTACGAAGATAAGAAGACTTACTTCAGATCGGCGATGAAGGGAAAAAATGTCATTTCTTGATACTCCATGAACTCCTATCTAGGTGATACACCCCATAAAAATCGCTTATGTATGGTTTAATGAATGTGATAGGACCGGTCCTCCCAATGGTCGAGTCCTGCTCGACGCAAATAATTTTCGCTGTTACCCTCTTCACAACATTCCATTCTCAACTTCCCCGTTGCTTTATCACGCAGCACAGCCGCTAAACTATTCCAAACACAATGGAAAATCCACCACTCGAGCGACCCCTAGATACCACTCTCACCTACCCTCCCACCTCCTTCCCTGCCAGCATAATGGTTAGCGGCGCCCTCATTCACCGCGTGATACCCTTCACTGCTTCCAGATTTCTTCCTATCACTACCACCGCCATTGATCGGATGCTCCTTGGGCCCACTAGCCGAATTGCCCGCAGGTGATTTCCCAGGAGCTGGACTAGCCCCAGCATTCCCACCCGCCTGTCCTACCCTACCGGTGGCATATTGAGGGGCCTGGGGCGGGGCTTGTCGACGTCGAAGACTTCGGACAGCAGGATCGGATACCTGCCTAGAACACTCATCCGCGACTGACTGGCGGCGACGGAGACTTCGTGCATCTTGCTCGAGGCTATCGACGTCGTCGATGGCGTGGAAAGCATCGAGAGGTTCTTCGGGGGAGGGGAGAGCTCGCTTTGCCTGAGAGGATTGTTGGGGCTGCTGGGCTTGGGCTGTGTGGATGCTTTGAGGCTGCTCAGCTTGAGCTGTGTGGATACTTTGAGGTTGCTCAGCTTGGGCTGTGTGGATGCTTTGAGGGTCCTTTGAGCCAGGTCCCCCAGCTGCGGTAACTTTACTTCCGGCTGGACCTACGGCGGTTGGAACCGGGTGGACTGCTGCTGCGGTATGGATGGAGTCTTGGTTGTTGGTATTGGGATTTTCATTGGCTGCAGCTTTGTGTTGCTGATTTTGGCGGCCGGCGCCAGAATAGGGGCGTCCTTGCTGCTGTCCAGGACCCGCCTGCGGACGCTGCCTTCTTGTACCACTCGGCTCTTGGCGACGCTGGAGGCTTGAATCGACATCATCCTCGTCTTCGAAGTCACCAGCATCGTCTTCATCGTAGTAGTCGTCATATTCGTTGAGATAGTCTTCATCAGTGACCTCGGCTGAGTCATCTCGTTTGTCCAGGCTACCTTGCACATCAGTTGTGCCGTCAGAGCCGACATCTACTGAGCCTTGCCCTCCACCAACATTGCCGGATACATGGACAGGGCCGTGATTGAAGGGGTGGCCCCAGAAGTGTCTCTTTGTCTTCATGGACGACTGTCCACCACCGAGACTGCCTTCAATATCGGTACTGCCATCAGACCCCACATCTACAGAACCTTGGCCTCCAGAACCATCGATACCAGAGATGTGGACTCCTCCGAAAGGCCACCACCAGTGCCTTTTGCTTACACCTTCACCAGCTGATCTTGCCGTCAATGTCGTAGGTTGAGCAATAGTAGAGGTCCCGAAAAGTAGAGCTGACAGTGCTATACAGAGTAAAGCAATTGGAACCCAGCCTGCAGTCGATCTCTTATACATGATCAGGAGATCAAGATGGCGCGACAGATGAAGAACAGGTGGGAGGTGGACGTCTGAGGATCTTGTTGCCGTGAGAAGATACTGATTATAGTTGGTAAAGAAAGTCCTATACTGAGACCAGTCAGATTTTGTGTGATATCCTGAGTACCTCTGGGGACTTCCACATTTATATAGCTGCGAAGATACCTAAATCCAGGATAAGTCAATACAATTTTCTTTACCCTGTCAGAACGGGCGATAATTTGGGCAGGGTCAAGTGTCACGGATACTTGCAGAGCCTAACTCATGACCCAAAGATAGAAGTAACAACAATTTCTGGTACCTTCACCGAACATTATTCGCCCCACCGAGGTGAAAGTGACGTCTCAGAGAGACTTGAAGTAGCATGTGTCCTTGGCATTCTCAGATTCTGTAACGGGCTTGCGGAATATCTTGATACTGATGACCTATACGATTACCTTTTAAAGATTATTGAAAATAATAAGGGGCAAAAAGGATGGCCCCAACAACGTGATCTTGGATGAAGTAGTTGTCTTCAGGGTCATGCGAGATCCGGCGCCCAAAATCGCGATTCCCTTGCAGCATTTTCAACAACTTGGTCTGTAAGCTAGCATGAATGACAGATAAGCACAGCACATCAAGAAGAGAACATATCAGCGACATCAACCGGGAACATCAAGGTGTGATCAAACTATCTCATAAAAGGTAGCGAGTCGCTAGCGAAGGCGACCCATCTTCTGGCCCGACGTCCAAGTGTTCGAGACATCTAGACCACGCTTCGTGATGCGACTAACCCCACCAAGAGTCATCGAAGGCTTTCATGTTCCATGATCCACTGCGGAACGTTAATGTTTTATATCGTATGTCGGATGTGGGTCCAAAAGAGGCCCACGGCAGACTTTACATGATACTTCGCATTCTAAATTGTCATCAAAACCCTTCGAACTTTCTTGTGTGAAGACTGGGGGGCTGTTACATCAAGTGGAAAAGCATTACACATCTGGAAGGTCATCTAGTGTTTTTGCAAATGCCAACCTTTGTGAAAATTGTGATAGCTTCGACATAAGCGAAAAAACCCTAATCAAAACTTCGACGACGAGCTCATGAAGTATAATGCTTTCAAAGGTCACGCGAACATCGGAGCCATTTTAGCACGAATAATACCCTCACCGCTGTGATGCAAGTCAGAAATGAGTCCCATCGTTGCGATGTCATGACATCAAAATCAATTTGAGACACCGCACGAGCGGATTGCTCGGACACACTCTGGGGCATCCTCCAAAACTGTGTATTTGCAGCATCGCAGTGTGGGGCCGACAAAATTCCAGCTTTCAAATGAGGTCCAAAGGTTTGACGTTCAGGGGCGACGAAGAGCACGTTTTAGGATACTGCACTAGTTCTAGCGCAGTATTATATTACGATAGTCTTGTTCAACGTCACGAGCCGTTCAACCTCGAAAGTTGTCGCTAGACTTTCGCCATCGCTCTTCTCCTCCTGCAGAGGCTCTACATTTGAGCTTCTCATGGTTTGGAGATCAATTTCTCCTCGTGGCTACATGGCATCAACTGTGACATCTAGTACAGCGTGGCCGCTCTAACAGCCCCGACCTCCCATCCAATGGAGAAAGGGATGAGACCTATGAGCAATTAGGATGTCTTGCCCTCCCAGAGACTCAATGGTCTAGACACTGTTTTGAAAACTTGAGGATGGCACTCGCAGGTCAGGAAAGCGACCCAATCCCCTGGTCTGGCCCCGCCCCTTTCGGTGCCCCACTCCTATTTTCGTGGGAGTGAGGGCGTGGTATGTTGACAGGGTCCCACTCAAAAAGGATACTCATACTTTCTGTGTTTGAAAGACAGTGTGCGACTTTATGTAAGTCTAAGTGTGGGGGTCGTCGAAGTATTGGCCCATCGGCCCCTAGACCCAAAAGGGACCGGTAACCAACTAATGAAAATGACAGTGGCACATAAAGATTGCATGGGAAGACTTCTCTCGACAAAATATCTCATCAGACCCGTAGACAAGTCAAGATATTTGACGATAGACATCATCTGGGTTCAGGGTGAGAGTGGCTCTGCCCCCTTTTACGCTCACGTGTTGCAGGTTAAGGTCAGATCGGGCCATAGACTAAGTGTACGTCACCAACATTGCTGCCGATTTTGTGAAGAAAGTTGCGTGCTAGGTAAGCAGACTGAACGTATCATTTTCCAAAAATCCTAAACTTATAGTAAGCGAATTAGATAGCCCGTAATAGAATTACCAGCCAAGAATGGCCGCAGCTCAAGCGCTACCTCGCAACGAATACCTTTTGATGTATATGCATAATCTAAGCTTTCAAGCTGAACTCGTCCATCTTGACTAATCCTTTCTTTCGAGCTTGACCCTCGCAGCAGCCGGGCTCACCGCCGTAGCTTTCCCCTGACCGTCAACGTCAAACACAAACAAATTGACGCCCCGCCCAGCATAGTGCTGTTGATCCACATAATACCAGTCACCGTCTACTCCATACGATCCAGAAAAGGCCCCGTTGCCCGGGACTCCTCCGACTGCGTAGCTGTTGGTCTGTAGCCTAGTCGAAGCTTGAAACGCCACTCGTCCTTCTCCACTAGTTTCTTTCAGGTATGATGTCAACAACCGAGGCTTAACGCCGTCGAAGAAAGCAGAGGCAAGTACGTCTGTGCCGTTGGAGATCCAATTGGATATGCTAAGTGCTGGATCGGCCCCCTTGATGGTAGATTCGTTGTGAGAGATGGTGATGGAAGAATTCAAATTCACATCGGTGGAAGCGTATGTGCCAACATAATTTTTTATGGCTTCCGCAGCGGCTTGTGCTCTCAATGCAGGTAAAACTGTCTCAGTCACAAGATCAAGGATTGCAAAGTCAATAGCGCTGCGCAGAGTTTCGTTACCGCTGGCACCGAGGAGATTGAAGCCTGCACCGTATTTGGGGATGAGGGCAGCAGTACCACCATAGCTGCCAGAGTCGCCTGTTTTGGTGTAGATATCTATGGTCCCGTTTGAAGATGGGTCGACGTAACGGATGATCTCCCAAGGAGCGCCAACAGAGTAAGTAAGGCTTGCGGTGTGGGCGTTCGGTTTCATCCACCTACGGGTCACTTCGGAAGGGAGGAGTGTAGAGTTAAGAACACCAGTGCTGAATTTGGCGAGGTCGTTGATTGTGGAGAAGAGGCCGCCGGAGGGGATCGTGAAGCCGCCATCGAAGAGCACCCCACCAGACCCATCACCAGCGAACACATAACGAGCAATCTGGGTGTCTGTGGTGGGGATAGAAGAGTTAGACGATGCCATACCGAGGGGCTCGAAGATCGCTTCGCGGTAGATCGTATCTATGGTCTTGCCAGTAATGTTGGAGATTGCAAGTCCAAGTAACATGAAGCCTTCGTCACTGTAGGCTGGACTGGTCCACGGCTGAAAGACTGGTGGCAAGGTTCGGATGCTCTCGATAAAGTCTCCAGGGGAGCAAACAGCAGTACTTGAGATATTTGAACAAGGTCCTAGCACGCTAAGGTCCTGAGGTGGGAAGCCATATTTTGTCACTGGATCGGAAGACTCCTTCGAGCCAGCAGCTGCCGCAAGAGCAGATACAAAAAGTGCATCGGAAACAGGCCACCCTATTTGTGTAATACCTGCAAGTTGAGACGCAAGCGCCCAAAGAGTGATTTTGTCCCATTGGGTCGTGTACACGGGATCTAGATCGCTCGCAGTCTGAGCAACATATTCCGCCAGCCCAGGGACTACTTGGCTGACAGGGCGATCCCAATCCTCATCGGACAACTCGATCATGCCCGCGAAGGCTGTGAAGAGCTTGGTGACGCTGGCGATTTTGTAGACACTGTCTCCGTCGACTTTTGTAACTCCTTGTTTCGCATTGGCAACTTCAGGAGCTGTATGGTGATATTGAAGCTTTGCGGCGGCAGGATCATATATCGAAAACATGCCAAGGGAAAAGGTGACATTACCTGCTTCCGCAAGAAGACCTGACGCTGACGTTTGATTTTGCTTTAGGTAGCCATCGAGGGTCTCGGTGATGTTCTTCCAGGCTTTTGACAGAAGGCTTTTGTCACTAGTCAAATCAGTTGGCGGAGGGTATGTTGGAGTGAGGAAGTCGGAAAAAGCGCCTGTGACTGAGAGCAAGACAAGGGCAAGGGCTTGCAGAGGGAAATGCATGACGGTTCAATGATGAGGATCTTGTAAGGAAACTGTTCGCTCACGAAAATAAAGGATGGGCAGAAATGGTGTGGATTTCCTTTCGTATTTGTACTCCTCAACATTTCCCAATCATAAGAGATTGGGACCAAGCCATGAATATTTCGTCAGCTGAAGGCACTGCCTAATTTGCCGAGACTCACGATCCACATGGTTTTTCTTTGTTTCATGCCAGACCTCGCATGTGTTCCTGCGCAAGTAAACAAATCGAACCAATCATGGAGATATCTTGAACAAGCTTCTGATGAGGGAAAAAGGAGGCGGTGTTACTAATGTAGCAAGAGACTAACCGAAACAGGCTCAACGGTGCGCGCTGAAGTGAGGCTTGGCAGATAGCACCAGGGTATGGCTCTGGGTTACATCACGACGAGATTGATCATGTAATACCTCGTCAATAACCTTAGTTAGATGAATGGCTGAATATCGGTGCTAGCATCGCCGGAAATTACTTACCGGAGTCTTGGGCTTCCCCTGGAATAGGCTAGTTCAAAGAAGAGCTCAGGCTACTCTCCATGCTGCGCAGCGCACAATATCACTTGACTGAGAAGATCTCTACCAAACAGGTTGACTTAGTTTCCTGAGGAATGTGGAATGAGGGCGGAGCAGCCTTGAAACCTGACACAAAGTTGATGTTAGATCTCGTTCGCTCCATTGATCATGGCGAGAAGAAATTATCATCATCTGACTTACACCGAACTTGCACCATTGCGCGAAGGTCAGTGAGACCCAGCACATATGAAAGAGAACGGTAGAATGACATGTGTCTCCCAATATACCGCATGATGGTTTCACCCTCGCTCAGGTTTGACATCTCATATTATACATAAATTATCACCCCCCTTGTTATGCATCACACTCTCAACGATGCGTCTCCCTCCGTCCAAAAAGGATCCACCAAATACTGGACCCACCCAAAACCTACGACGTACCATCCTACTCCTCTTCCGACACCCTCACATCTGTCTTTGCCCCGGCGTTAATCTCCTCCGCTACACCTTTGCATGCAAGCTCCTTCTGTTCATTCGCTCGTTCTCGTTCGCGCCGCCGAGACGAGGATATCTCCATCGCAAAAACGAACATGATCCAGAAGACGTATTGGGAGATCATGTCGTATGCTCTCCATTTGACATCCGGATCTTCATCGCCCTCTTTCAGCACGCGCTTGCCTTCTTCGCTCTTAGTACTGGTGGGACCTTGTTTCAAACGACGCTGACCGAGTCGGCGTCTATGATGAGGAAGTCTAATTGCCAGTGTCGTCTGAGTGCCGCGGTTGAACGGTGCAGTCTGTCTCCTAAGACCAAATGCGAGGTTCTTAAGCCTAATTGCTGACATGTTGCAGTGTATAATCTTTCAATTGATGGTGGATGAGCGAGTGTGTTGTGGTCTGCTCTCTGGTGTGGTATGAGAATGCTTTTTGGCGAAGTATGAGAAGGAAAAGAAGGATTGTGGTGGCCAAAGTGCCACCAAACTCTATTGAAAATTGATCCGAATGAATGCGCTTATTTCGAAATGGAGTTTTGCTTTCGACGAGGCCGTTGCTTTCGTTATGATGGCTTGATGCTTAATTTTTGAGGAAAGGTGAGTATTGAAGATGCCGATCATGATAGGAGTCAAGGTAACATAATCTGGAAAATGTAATGCCTGGATAGCCGTTCGTTTTCAGAAACCTATCCACTTTTAGCTGCACAGTCCGTCAACAAGTTCAGTGATGGAATCGAAACCTACAAAGAAGCTGATGAGGAAACCTTTAGGCATCTCTTTCGAGAATGCGCCCATACTCCACTTCTCAAGTTCCTCAAGTCGCCATCGTGCTCAGCGATGATGCCGCCCTCCCTCCACCCTTGCTTTGAACTCTCCCATCCCCCTCCCCGCTCCCGCCCACAGAAGCCCCACACCGAAGCCTTCAGATCATTGTGCCATTTTAATTTTTAATTTTATTTTTTTGGTGCAAGTTGAGGGGCAATTAGGGCAGACGGGAGAGTGGTGCACATGAATGGGAAAAAATCAAATTCTAAGTAACCAATCAATATCGCCAAAGGAGGCCTCAAGATGGCGAAGGGGAGACTCCAGAGGGCGCCATGCAGAGGCCGGTGCATGGCCCTTGAGCTCGCCCCGGCTATCGTACACGTGTTAGCGCAGGTCCAAGACGGATGCCACAAAGGAAAGGGGGCAGAAGAATTGGGCACAATGACCAACATATCATGAGACTTTGGTCACACAGTTCTGCAATGGATTGAATTACTTACAGAAATGCTCCGAGAGCGAGCGAGTAGGCCGCACACCGGTGCATGGCCAATCCCTCTGGAGTCTGGCTTCCCATGGCCCTCACCAGAGCCTCCTTGAAAATTCTTAATCGCGAAAAGAGTGTCATGGTTAAGAATATATTTTAATAGATGTGAGGAGAAAGGAAGGGTCAGTGGGTATGAACACGTAATAAACAGAGGCTGTGACATCGCTCCTTCCTAAGAGAAACAGCAGTAGCAACAGGATGCAGAAATACAGAAGGAGCACCTGCCACGGAAACAACCAGTATACATAATCAGATAGAGAACAATACAAGCTTCAGGGAGATATCCAAGATACTGTAGTCCTGACCCACAAGAAAGATGCAGACAAAGATTGCAGATAAAGAGAGGGGGGAAAGAGGCAAAAAGGGATTGAAGAGGAGGACGAACGCCCTACCCCTCAAGTACCGTGATCCATCGGAGATATTCCGAGTCTCTTCTGGAACCATTTTCGTGGTTGGCCATTTACAAAATTTGCCAGAAGTGAAAGGCGGCTTCAACTCAAGCCTCAGTAGAAAAGTAGTCGTACTCCTCTATAGTTTCCACACTATCTCATACGCCCCTTAATTGCACGATTGGTCACAGCAAAAGTTCAGCCCATTGTATATTTCGATCCAAAAGGTATGTGGCTTCGTATGATGGCGTTTACAACGGTTTGGGGGTTGGCTAGACAACCCAGCCCGGTGACCTTATGGGACGTAGTTTATAGAGACTCCACTCCAAACTGTAACTGTAATCGTAACCTTGACCACTAGAAGCAACCATTCAACGAAAGAGAGCACATTAGTAGCCTACCCATCACGATGTGTGACTCACCGTGATATGTTTCCTATTGGTCAATGTTTGTAGGTTTCTGGGGAAGTGCTGGTGGCGGAACTTGGGAGTGTATGTTGACGCAAAATCCTGAAGCCTTCCTAAAGGGGCATTCGAGATGCCTAGAATATCCTTTTCTCAGATTTTCGGTGGATGTGTATTGTCATCAATCAGCTCTATAAGTAGCAAGACCAATTTGTCACACCCTTCAATCACTGAGTCCAAAGACACAGCTGCTTTTTCTAAAATAGTGGCCTCTAATGTAATTGAGCTCTTGAATGAACGGAAAGGTCGTCCATAACCAAGAAAGTGCCATGGACGACGGCTTCGTTGCCCTCGGTATTGATTGAGCCTGAATCACATTTGTGTCTCTCGGCATCACTTTCATCCACTCGCGTATGACCGGGGGTGATGGCTTCCCTCAAAAGTTCCGCTGCTTGGGTGCTATGAAGTCAAACACGCAACGGCATAGTGCGTGTGACCCCACATCACATGTTAGAGAACGCAGAGGGCACCTTTGTGGTTACGCCCCTTTCGTCAGGACTGATCACCAAGATCTTTGCTTAGCTTGGCCAGAGTTTCATTTAACTCGGTGGTGGTCTAAGGACTCAACTGGTGACGCCACCCTCGTAAAGCTTTGTTGCTGAATGGCATACCATTGGCACCACAATTGGAACCCTCCAAAAGCAACTTTGTGTTGGGTCGACGCTAATCTGGTGGCGGCTCACTCAACAGCCCACGTATATCCATAGCTAGTCTTTCCTCTTAATCTTTTTCCAAGCAGAATCTTTACCCAACTTCTTCATCACTTCATCGTGCATCTGCCATCGTAAAGTCCTTTCTAATCACTGGATTTCCCTTGTAAGCCCATTCTTACCCATCAATCACCAGAAAGACGTCATCATGGCCATCCGATTTGATGGAGGGCCCATCATCAATGTGAATGCTCCTCTGAACGGGTCTATCATTATTCAGGCAGGAGGCCACATGGCTGCAAATGTTGAATACAGCATGCCGCCGTGGCCTCCACATAGCCAACAGTACACACAATGGGTATATTCTCAAAATGAAACTCCGCAAGAAATACAGCAGCAGGCTTACCATTGTCAACAGGGGCCTCAGCAAATGCAACAACCACCGCTGCATCCCGGATTCGTCCCATATCCTCCCGGAGCGTGCTACATACCAGCCCAGCATCCACACCAGCAAACATACGGCCCATACCATCCTCCGTATAGGGTACAAAAGCCATGCAAGAAAAAGAGATTTTCTCAAAAGCAACATGATGTCTGGGAGAATGGAGCTTGGTATACCAAAAGGGGCCACAAGTGGTTCAATTACGACCACCATGAATACCAAGCCAAACGGACGGATGCTTGCATTATTCCCAAGTATCGCCAACTTCCTTCGCCGCCTGTGAGCCCTGCAACTACTTTCGCCCACCAAATGCCTTGGTTCCAGCAATATGCTATTCCTCAAATGCTACTCGCTCCGTCTGGACCAAACGAGGCTTCCATGGCTGAAGACGTGCTTTCCCCTGTCGACATCCTCTCATGCAGCGGGGCTCAAGATGGCTCACATTCCTTTGGCCAGAACACCCTTGCCTCGGATCAGATGGCATTGCCACCAGACACCCTGGAGCAGTCCGAGTCTTCCTTCGAGGATTTCAAAATGGAGGACTGCAATTGTGACTTTACCTGGCTGGAGAGCACGTGGGAGTACTTCACGTGTGACAAATGTTTGAGCTTCTACCAAGAGCAAGCTCATTCATCCAAGACGCCAGATACTGAGCTCGTCTCTGAGCCAGCCCGAGAGGACAGTACCCCTCCGGCTCCTGTTACCACGCATATAGGGACGCCGGAAGAGATCGCCGACGTACCTTCAGTGATTGAGGAAGGGTTCTTTGCGGAAGCTTTTGCTTCGGTAGAGGTGCCCAATAGTCTCGATAACCTTTAAAATCTCTCCCTGCGGTCTTACGGCGATGCGTTGGCGAAGCGAGCAGCGTGGAACTACTGAGCGGAAGTCAACGGCTCGGAGCGATGTGTGACATTGAGCGTTGGCGTGATTTCATGGTATGGCAAGCAAGGGCGATATACGGGGCGCATTGCTTTCCTAAGGAGATGTCCGTTTCGGCAAGATCAAAATTCTGGTATCGGGACATGGTGTCTTGCTGTTCAGGACGGGTTCGATTTACCTTTTTTAACGCGAAGACAGTAAGCATACGTCAAGTGTTCATGACGTCTTTCATGGTACATCTTGGTCATACAAAAAGCTTTGTACATAGCAGGGCAGCCGGTCGTGAGAACTCTAGTTTCCCATAGTCCTTTGATTCGTAAATGTGCTTTCCTTTATTGTACCGTGGCATGCAACGGTCGCATTACCTGCCAGAGCCTCTAAAGTGCTTTGTTTAGGTATCCATCTTCCAGCGATTGATGTACATGTCAAAAGACAGTCCACCTTCTCTTTGATTTTGCATACAAAAATGGTCTTAGCGCCCTTAAATGTGAATAGCGATTTTTCAGCCCTAGAACTAAACCTCCGTAAAATTGAAAGGTCGCCGGTCACCGTTTGTGGACCTGCCTCTGTCAAAACGAGACATCAATGACATGTCGTTGCTAGGACGTTGAAGAAGATGCCGTTGCAAGGCGCTCAACAGGACATATGCGTGGCTTCCGGCGTCTAAGTATTGCTCGGTAGCTCTCCTTGCTTGCACTATCCATTTTGTGGTCCTCCTTGACTGACTCTGCTTCTTCTAGTATTCCATTGTCGAATTCCCCTACACGCATTCATAGACTTTTACGGATACAGTCTCGCATACCATTCTGGGTAGGGGCCAGCGCAACCGTCTACACCTTAGGCTTCTATGCTTTTTCAGTATATTTGTCTCATACGAAGCCGCTCGATCCCTCAACAGACCCCCAATCAGACACTTCCGAGAAAGATGTGTCTGGCTGCTATAATGAGATAGCCAACAAGTTTGACTCTGAGGTTGGCGGTGTCGAAACCACCACATTACTGTGGCTTCTGCGTAGAAGGCTCGTAAGCCAAGTCGATGGACATGTTTTGGAAGTGAGCGCAGGAACGGGACGCAATCATAAATACTACAATGTCAAGGCATGCAAGAGTATAACTTTCGTTGATCAATCGGCTCCCATGCTTGAGATCGCCATACAGAAGTGGAAGGACCTATGGCCCCAGCCACCTCCTGATACGGCGATAGCTTTCAAGCGGCAAGCAACGCTTGACATCAAGGAGAAGCCGAAGAACGGCTATGACTACATCATACAGTCTATGGGTGTATGCTCAACGCCTGTGGCAGCTGAGACCATTGCACACCTGGGGACTCTACTCAACCAGAAGACGGGCAGAATCTTGCTGCTCGAACATGGTAGAGGCCGCTACAACTGGATCAACAACTTTCTGGACCGCTCAGCTGCTCGACATGCTGAAAGATTCGGATGCTACCACAACAAAGATATAAGGGAAATAATTGAGGAAAGTGGTCTGGTCATAGAAAGGATTGATCGACCTTACTGGTGGAACATGGGGACCGTCTGGGTAGTTGAGGCAAGGCCAAAAGGATGGAACAAATTCAAGCAGTGGACAATGAATTGATAATGCAGCTGTGGTAAGAACCACGTGATTATGTCATGATAATGCTGGCTTCGATTTGGAGTATTATCGGTTGACGACTGTCAACCTCCAACAGTGTCCTTGGACAAAAAGCTGAACTTTAAGGTTGCGCCCATGCAGGATCTGAGATGTCCCTTCATCTATCCTCTCAAGGCAAGGCTATCCAGATCTCAGTCGCAAGCTATCCGCATTTGCAGTGTGCATCCACTTGGAGGCGCAAACTTAACATGACATCCACGAATTGGGGCCAATTCACACCTATCTTCCATCTCTTTGAGAGTCGTCACACCACAGAGTACTCTATAGCGACTACGCTCAGCAAATGAAATTTCAAGGTACCGAACCCGCGCGTTGAGACGGCATCTACGGCTCAGATAGCCATATTAAGACATGATTCATCATGCCGCTACTCATCTACCTTTCGCCCCTTCCATTCACTCTATGTATTTGCAATCAGCCCCATGATCAAGATTATGACGATCGCAACCGTCTGTTATCTACCGTACCTCATGTCTATAAGAACACATCCTGCCTTCATCGTCTCTTCCTTTAAGCACTTGCTCTCAAAGCAGATCACTCATCAAGCAAGGCAATCTCTGTAAACAGTCAGGTCGTTCATTCAAGCAAGCGAACAAAACACTCACATCCCATCACAACATCCTCTCTCCCGTACAGCTTCAATCACAATATCCGTCGAATCCACTGCGGACCACTCAAATAGTCCTTCTAAACACCAACACTTCAACCCAATCTTTCACAACAAACAACCCAGACAATCACAATGCTCGATATCCTCTCCCTCTCTAACTCCGCAATCCAAGCCGTGCCCTTCTTCCCCTCCCTATTCAGCTTTGCTCTCATCCTCGCTACCAGCCTCGCCTTCGCCAATCAAGCTCTCGATAAGGAATTAGCTGACTTCGAGATCGTAAGCCCCTCCCCAACCTCCTCCCATTTCCTTACTCGCCTCTCCATCTTAAGTCAAACTTTCACGACCAGGTGTAAAATGATAATCCTACACCGCACTTGTTCCCACACCAATCTGTACGTGGTCATTTTCTGTATGGCCGAGAAATGATTCCTTCAAGGCACGAAAACTGATTACAATAGGGTCCCGTGCACACTTTCTCCGAGATCAGTGGCAGTAGCACGCAATATGGGTTTTCGTACCTGTCGCCGATGTGAGTAGCTGAATACGATATGGGTAATGCGAAGGAACTTGGGTCGGCGCTTGCGTAGTCTTGGTGATGTATGGTATAGCATGAATGATAATCACAACGAAATACGGCAGTAGTGGAGCCTGACGATGGAGCTGGGCAAATGTTTCTATCCATCGACTTTATCATTCTCGATAATAGGAATCCAAACAAAGTCAACCAATTCAACCACTACTCCTTTCCAAAAAGTCGTATCTCTCACAGCTTGCTCTTTCCATCCCTACTCCTCCACCTACCCTTCTCCATCTCCTCACTCAATACCATCCCCTCTTTCCCCCCTCGACTCCCATCCCCCTTCCATCCCCCATCTCCACCAACAACCCCTTCCCTCCACCTCCACCTCTCTCCCAGCCTATCCCCCAGCCTTCCCTCAATCCTCTGCACAACCTTCTCCCCCAGCACAGGCAAGAACTTGAACCCGTGCCCGCTGCCCCCTCCCGCCACCATCAGGCTTTTCTGCGTAGCCGGGTGAAAGTCGACCAAGAAGTCGCCAGTGGGCGTGTCTGCGTACCAGCAGATGCGCGTTTGGAGCCAGGGGCGGGAGCGTATTGGTAGGTGAGCAGGCTGGGAGTTTTCAGAAGGGATGAGAGGGTGGCTTGTGGCAGGGAAGAGGCCGCGCAAGAACGACCGTAGCGCAATATCACCCTCAGGCGGGATAGGGGAGAACGTCGCCGCAGGTACAGAGGCTTCAATTCCCACCATCGTCACCTCTGCTCCTCTTTCCGTAGTACCAAGAGCACCAGCCCCACACGGAATATGAGGCACCACCACCCTCACAGGATTAGCATACCCATGCCCATGCCTCGCGACTTTCACCTCCCACCCCCTCCCCCTCCCCCTCCTCCTCCCCCTCCGCCTTCTCGAGGCGTGGGCGGTATGACAAACATCCCCGTTCCCAGATTCAGCAGCACGCGCATCCCCTTCAAACCCTCCGCTTCCGGCGCCGTGAGAGGCGCGTACGCGACTACTTGCCCACTCGCTTCTACTCTCCCGCGGAGGTCGAGGAGGGAGGGGGGACCATGCGCCTGCGGCGAGGATGGTTAGGTCTGCTTCTATGCTGCGTTCGCCATTGTGGGGGGCGGGGGCGAGGGCGAGGGCGGCGCCTGTGCATTGCACTCTGCGGCCGTGTGGATTGGGGGAGGGGAGAGAGAGGAGGCGGTGGGCTTGGCCGCGGACGAAGGTGATGGGAGAAGGGGAGCGAGAGAGGGAGGATTGGTGGTGGGGGTGGAGGTTGCGGGCTTTGGCAAGATGGAGGACTTGGGACATCCGGGATGCCATGGCGGCGCTGGCGTTTGCCCAGCCGGAATGGCGGTTGAGGTAGCCAGTGTCGCCTACTGCGCTTTCTTCTCCTTCGATGTTACCGTTTGCAGTCTCAAAGGTGGAGGGAAGGCCGGCGGCCTTTCTGATGTCCGTCTCCCCTTTCAGCTGTATGGTCTTCACACCCAGCACTTCTTCACAATTCTTGCAAGCGCTGTCGACGTAGTCGCTACCTGAGTTGGTGGAAGTCACGAGAAGGCCGCTCTCGTGGTACACCCTCCCTGCTTCTTCTTCTTCTTCTTCTTCTTCTTCTTCATGGCCATCGACCTCTAATCCAGCATCCTCTTCGCCTCCTCCCACAGTGACATTTGACCCTTTGTCATTCGCCTGGACTTTTCTTCTTCGACGGCCAATCCCCTCCCTCCATTTCTCCTGCGCCTGAGCTGCGAGTTCTGTGTATGCTGGGTCGGCATAGTCGGCTCTCACGATCCTCGAGGAATCGATGGAGGCTGCGTGTGGGTTCTGCCATGCATTCTTCCCTGCCTCATCGTCTCTATCAGATAACGATGGTAGATACGGGTCTAGGAGGGTAAGATTCGTTTGTGCGTAGCGAGGAGAAGTAAGGAGGGCATGAAATGTAGACACTGTGAAAGGTGAGATTTATCAGCTTAGTTGTGTGTAAGTCTTCAATCTAGGATCGTAGATGGAAGACGAACGGCCAAACACGCCTGCGCCTATGACAAGAATTGAGGACGGTGGTGGAGAGGAGAAAGGACGGTCAGCCATTGGAGATGATGAGTGCGAAAATCACTTGGCCCTCATTGTGAAAATCGAACATGAAAAGTTTGCACCATGACGTATTTCTCACCTAAGACATATGGGAGTGGTCATGGCAAAAGGCAGCCAATGACTCATGACGCATAGCCACTGCCAAAGAATGTTGGATAGCTGGGAAAGTTTGCATTCCACTTTTGATTTTTAGGTAGAGTACCTCATCTCCATTCCGTTCTCGATCCATCCACCACCTTTGTCCTCGTAACAATCTAATTCTCATTCTCCTTCCTCCTGAGCTAACATGAAAATAGTGGTAGTGCGCTCTCCGCGCACAGCCTTCGTTAGACGAAATCTCCTATCGACCAGCGCACGAGATTATCCGTGCTGAAGACATTCTAGTAATGTATGGTGTATCTTCGATTGCCAACCAACGCCTTGCATAAAAATCGATTCCGTCCGAAATAACAACCGAAACTCCTTTTGGGGTATGTGCAGTAATAGGTGTAAGGAGGGGGCGCCGAAGGTGAAGATATCTCTGCCTATCGTGCCATTGAATAAGAATCCCAAATAGTCATGACTCCGTAAACTCAAATGATGTTGTGTAATAGTACAGTCAAATCGATACTGGTATAGAGGGTGGTAATGCGTGAAGAAACCCGAGTCATTAAGCAGTTCAAGCTTTACGGAAGTCTGTGACGAATTAGCAAATATGTACCTCTTGTTGGAGTCAGGTTCCTTTACCACTCAGCACTGGGTAGATCATTTCGAAGGCCTTGTAGATCTCGTCCCGCACCTTGGCGCCCGTGAGAACGATTTTGCCGCTGACGAAGATCAAAAGGACGATCTTTGGCGACATCATGCGGTAAATAAGACCTGGGAAGAGCTCAGGTTCGTATGAGCTGAAGTGATGATGGCGCGATGCAAGCCCCTCCAAGCGAATGGGGAACTTGATGTCACAGGAGCCGACAATGTTTTGAATCTTGAAATCCGTAAACTTGGCGTTGAAGCCGAGCTTCTGGATGATACGAGCGTATTTGCGAGATGCAAGTCTGCTATCATCCTCTGACTTGGCACCGGTGACGACCATCTTGCCAGAAGCGAAGATGAGGGCGGTGGTCTTCGGCTCGCGAATGCGCATGATCACAGCTGCGAAACGCTTGAAAGATTTAGCACACCTGTGAATCATGTCACAAGTGATGGTGTTACCTTTGGATTGTACTCAGCATTGCGGGCGTGCAATGCAATTGTCTTCAGATCCAAGCGACAATCGAGATTGACCGTGGCAACGATGTTTCTGAAGATGGCCCATTAAGCCTCAAGTATAACAAGAGGCAAGGCGAGGATAATACTCACTGCAAGGTTGGAACAATCCCAGCCGTCACACTCTGACCGCTAGCAGCTGGCGTCGCAGCAGGAGTCGTGGGTGTCACCCCGTTGCCGTTTGTCTGTGGGGCAATCACTCCTTTTTGTGGCTGCTGTTGCAGCTGCTGCTGACGATTTCCACCATTCACAAGTCCGTTCGCCTGGGAATTACCATCTTTCTCAGAAGGCGGCGTCATCCCACCGGGGAAGGATAGGGAAGCGGGCGAGGTGAAGGCTTGAGCCTGTTGCGCGGTCGTAGGGTGTGAGGTCAAGGTATCCATTCTTGCGAAGTGACTGATTTCGTAGAAGCTAGAAGCAACTACTAAAAAGAGTACTGGGAGGGCTTAAAAGTGGCAGTCTGTGTGTCGCAATGTCAGAATTTGTTCCTCGGAGTAAACCGTCCGAGCTTGATGGATGATCGAGGTCCAAGTGCGCGAGGTGCGACGATGGAGGCGATCTCGATCGAAGCTGGAGCAGGTACGAGTAGTGGTGATCGTACCGTTTGCGGGAGATGAACAAGCGAATGTCTCCCCTACACCAACTGCCTGATACAGTCTCAAAGCTCTCCAGGTGTCGAGGTGACACAAGTAAGCCGACACTGGAATCGGTGTGATTCTTAACTTGAGTGACGGTCTGAAGATGAGTTGAGGTGAGGTTCACGGTATGGTTCACGGAAAGAAGTCGCTAAAAACAAATCGGAAGGAAGGAGTGATTATGAGGTGCGCTCGTCGGAGCAGTAAGGGGGAAAGACCACGCGCCAGGTGATCAGTTCCAAATGTATTAAATTTATCGAATGCGACAACGCCTATCTGATGGATTCGGGATGGAGGGTGAGGTGCGGGTGATGGTGGTTGAGCGGTAGAGTTGACGAGAGGATTGCGCAACGTCAACTAGCTAGCCTCACGAAAATTCTGAGGGCCGCCAAGAAATATGGAGAGGAAAACGGTGGGAGTCGCCGGTCTTTATATAGCCAGCCTCCTTGACTGCCAAGGCCTCAAGGCAGCAATGTGCGGCTGCAAAAATGGCGTGAGACTAGTTCATTCTAGGCTTAGACACTTCCTCTAGCGCTCCTTAGAGAGGACTAGCGCTTGCTTGTGGCACCCTCCCTTTTAGCAGCTCTCGTAGCGAGCCTATCATCTCCACGCTATCGCCCCTTTAAAGCCGCCGAGAGCCGATGAAACTGCGCGCGGGCGCTGGGATTTGTGGATCGCTCGCTGCTTTAGAGTGGCAATTTGCGTCTATTCATTACCAACGCTTTCTCTCTTCCTCTACACCCGCGGGGTCAGAAAGTGATACAGAAGACGCAGAATACGATCAGTTGCCTCTTTGGAGAATGGTGAAGTGCATTGATGCGACGCATGCCATTTCTTGCTTCTCACCTGTTTTTCAAAAAGGTAGGACAGACTCACAGAGGTCCACAATTTGACGTATCGCGGCGTCGTAGGCTTGAGAATGAATCGCAAGGGAATGATCATTATCGCAGCCTCATCTGGTCTCCTTTCCCGTTAAATTCCGAATTGATACCGAAGAACAGAGTCTCGCACGTTCTTTTACAAAGACTTTTACAAAGATTGAATTGAGTCGTTTGACATAAGGACTACCTACAAGAAATCATAGCACCATGGATCTCAATTGTTCATCTGTTTCGCTTACGATATATCAAAAGTAGATTCAATTCGTTATCACAGCGTCCAGCAAGCTTTAGAGGATCCTTTGCCTTGTGCTCTCCTGCGCCAGTAGACGGGTGACTCTAGAGCACCCACAGCGCGGACAGCTTAATATCGTTCTTGATCAATTTCCTGGAGAGCTGTTCTTTCGCTGCTGAAACTTCGCGCACACAACAGACATTAGGCCGTGCATCTGATAGTAGAAGGATCCATCACCGAATTCACCCAAATTTCGCTTTGGCCAAAGCCACAAGCCCACTCATTGTCCTGGCCTCCTTTTCTCTGTATGCCCTGATACGCTCCTCTCTTTCTTCGGCTCGAAGCCTCAATGCTTCTTCTTTCCTCAGCTCCCGTTCCGACTTCTTGTTCTGCATCTCGGCTTTCCTTCTTTTGAGCCCCTCAACCCCATCCTCGGCATCACCTAGCAAATCACTGTCAGGCAGCTCAGCCATCCCACCCGCTTCAGTCTTCCCAGCAGCAAAGTCCCGATTCGAAGCAGCTTTCTCCTTTTTCTTTTCTAGCATGCGGCCTTTTGTATCAGAATCTGCCCGCGGAACGAGCTCGTCCTGGCGCTCTTTCTGTTCTCTACGATCAAGCTTGCGCTCATATCGAAGGTCGTTGCGTTGGTTTTCGGCGTCCTCTTGCACAAGCTCTAACAACTGTCAGGGTATAGACAGGCACACTAAGCATTCCAATGGCGTACCACGTTGCAAAATTAGATCCTGGGAGTTTGGGATTGCAGGTCCCAATTTTGTGCCTCGGTCCTGTGTGTAGGCTAGAGCATTGGGTAAGGCCGGTCCAAGCTCTTCATCGTCACTTGCATGTGCATGCTCTTGTCGATCCGCATCAAAAAGTTTCTCCCCGACTGTAGGCTCAGGTGGGGCAGCTCCTTCGGGTTGATTCGCAGACGCTTTGGCTTTTTGCAAAGTAAGAGGATCGTACCATCCCTCAGCTAGTTCACCACGATTCCTCGCACACGTCAGCAAGCCTTGATATACAGACTCTTTAAGATAGAAAGTTTTATGGCGTCATACCATTTACCGAGAAAGCTTTTCCAGCGCCCCTTTACCTCATGCTCTGGCATCTCTTCCATAAACTTATGCTTCTGTATATCAAGATAAAGCCCAAAGAGAGGCTTGTACTCTGTCAAGTCATGTTGGACAATCATCCGTGCACGAAATGGTAGCAGTACCCCCGGACGAGGGCCTGCGCTGATGTGATGATCCGAATGCTGGCGCTCAATACGGTGCTTGAGGAGAGAAAATGCAGGGGATCGCGAACGTTTGTCAGGTCTTCGATCCCTTCGAGGACTTCGTGAGCGATGTTTATAGTCACGCGACTCACGGTATGACATGATTGTTGATAAAGTGTAGGTATAGAGAGGACGAGTAGTTTTGTACCTTGAGACTGATTAAATCCAAAATGACGCTATAAATAAATAGCGCCCGCTTTAAACCCTTTTTCCAAAAAACACCCTCTGACAGTAAGAGTAGGTAATGATCAATGGTCCCTAGGCCCAATGTTCAAAGCTCATACCGCAAGACGAAACGTGATAGCCACCGAGAAATAGCCCAAGCAGTTGCTGGAAGGCTGAGCACCTGTTGTCTTGGAATTATCGTCAACTTGAAAGGGGACTACAAAGATTTGCAAGGATTCTGACCTTTGGCTTCAACGTATTCTGATGGGCTTTGTACGATCAGAAACACAAGCAATAGCTTTAGAAGCGATGTACGTCTTTTTGCATCATGCCTGATATAACCCCTACATGTGGCGTGGTGAGTTGCCAGAGGCTGAGCAGGTAGCCTTATGTCGTGAAATACTTTGGCCAGAGTCACGCTGTTCCTTCGTCTACCCTTACTTATCTTTTCTTTGAAGAAGTTGAAGAGGAACGAGGAGAAGTGTTTCTTCTGATAGTTCCGAACCATCCCATATTGAGTTCCCTTTTCCCTTTGCGTCGTCCAAGCTTCAACAGCGGTATCTGCTCAGATCTGAGAAGAAGCGTCCCTTTGAAGTGAATCTTGACAGCTTGTTCAGGATACAATATGAGTCATACAGTCGCATGACTATTCTTTGATTTATAGAGTCCCTCTTTTGCTGGGTTTCACGCAATGTGGAAGGCTTGAGCGCTGGTGCTGCGATCATCAATATTGCAGCGGCAGGCGTTCAAGTATCTATCAACTTGATATCACTAGCAACTCAGATATCTACAGCAAATGACCGTATCGCAGCTATCGGACACGATGTCTCCCTCGTTTCCGGGCTGCTTCGACAACTTGAAGATCTGATGCAGGAAGGAACACCTCAAGGAGGTAACAATATATTTAACCATGCTGGCTTGGAATCTACCATGCATGCTTCAAGTACCTGTCGTCATATCTTCGAGGACCTGAAGACAGCTGTTAGTAACGCTAGTTCTCAACTTCAAGAGAGTGGGGATGTTATGCCAGCTCAGCTCAGACTAAGAAAACGTGAGAAAGCAAAGTGGCCATTTCTACAACCCAAAATAGATCAGTTGAGAAGAGATCTTCAGGAAGCCAAAGGCATTCTCATACTCATACTCCAAGTTGCGACCTTGGGTTTTGCTAAAAAGTTACGTGAAACATCAGCTGTCAAAGCCGAAGAAGCTTATGACATGCAAAGCGTGATATGAAGCATAGTCGCCATTCATGAGGACTGTTCTAGGGCTAACTCTTCGAAAAATCACCTGTTGTTAAAGGCCCGGAAGGTCCAAGAGTCGGAAGTTGAAAGTATACAATCGCCTAACCAGCTACGAAAAGGATCATCGAAAGGCTGCTACGGAAGTACAACGTCGATAAGCCACTAACATAAACCCCAAAGATGACACTAGTGAGCATTTTGAGAGTCAGATACCAAATCCATATGCGATACTGCACAAATTTCCATTAGAAAGGCCTCGAGATCCTTGTACTGCCCGAAATGTTGCTAATTAACAGCTTCCAGCGTCACCTTGTATAAAGATGTTACTCTTTGTGAGTCCTAGCCTTCAAAATCTGTTCGACAAGGTCGAGCTATCTTGGACGAGTCAAGTTGTAGAATAATCCAGCCAAGTCTATGAGCAGGAACACTCCGGCAAAGCGGCACTCCAAGGAATATCTTTGGCTGACATGCTGCAAAACTTGTATCCATACGAGAAAATGGTAATCAATCAATTTCTAAACAAGCAAGAAGTGCCGCCTTCAATCGTATCATCGAAGAGAACTAAGACGAATATTACCAAACGTAATATATTCTTTCGAGAACTGCCTGGATTTCAGGTTCTTGTTGAAAGGACCTCGATCCCGCTCCCTCCTATACCTAATAGACCGCCGCCTCAAACGTCAGACACTACAAGTTCATGGGAGGGCCAACAGCTGGTTCCACAGACGAGCTTCTTCCTCTAGCCGAGCGATTCTGTGTTACTCTAGGTGCCCAAAATGGGGCTCCAGAGGTTGAGACAGTGTTGGTAGAGTCGGCATTTCAGCCGGCTGCTGCTGTTGAAATGGCGTTGGAGCATGTCTCATAAAGTACAATGCACCGCTCTGTCGAGCCGGTTGAGGCGGGCTCAGGAAAGAAGACGAGAGCATTCTACGTATGCAAACACAAAGATGGATCGACAAATGCACCGGCAGCTTCCTGACCAAGATCTACGTCCAAGAATCCATGGTTAGGCACTCTACCGGACACCGAGTGAAGTCTTTCCACCCCCATCCATCAACCCACCTCATTTGGAGTGCCGAAGTAAGCCGCGCGCTGCAAAATTGGTCTCGACGAGTGAAGCTACTGGGATACAGATAGTTGATGATCTGCTAAAGAAGTACACGACTTACTTTGATAACAACAAAGGCGTCGAGGATTGGCAGATTGTGGTTGGCTGAAAGCACAGGCATGTAGGGGGTAATCGTTCAATGCCAAAACCTCCGTCGAATTTGCAGCAAAGGTATCTACCTACTCAAACCCTCATTCACGCACATTCGACTTCTTCCGCCCACAGAACCAGCCATCCAAACCATTCCTTGGCCTATCGCACATCCAGAACTCCAACCAGACGCACCCATGGATCCAATCCCTAAGTCATTATACCATCACATACTCATCACCACCATCAATATGCAAACCCTCGACGCCCTCTGCGACGTCCACATCCCCTTCGAGCTCTTGCTCGACCTCCTTGACGACAAATCCCTCGTAATCCTCCAAAGACTTCTGGACGTGGATCTTGAATTTGATGATATCATTGAGCATCTTCTCAACCTCCGAATGCAGCTCCTCTCTGAGAGCATTTGCATTAACAGTCAAGTGCTCGAACCTTCACATCTGTCAGCAAAGCTTTCCAATAGGGCAGAAAAAGAGAACAAGAAGGCAAGAACATACTCAATATTAGTATTCATCTCCCTCTGCTCCATCAACTGCACACTCTCATCCAAATTCGCCCTCATCTTCGCCAACTCCTTTTCCATCTTCTCGATCTGCGTATCACTCGCCACCTTCTGCGTCGCCGTCACATCCTTCGTCTTCTCATACTCCTCTTCCGCGGCATGAACCTTATGCTCAAGACCCTCAACCTCGGACCGCTTCTCCTCGATCGCGTCTTTCGTGTTTTCTAGCAGCTCGTGGATCTTCATGTCGGCGTCTAAGGCGTTCGTGCGGCGCTCGTGGATCTCCTTGCGGAGAGCAACGAGTTGGGCTTTGATCTCGCCGCGGAGATCAAGCTTGAGAAGAGAAGCGGGGTGGTGGCCTGTTGCCGGGTCTGCGAGGAGGCGGTCACCGCTGGTGCCTCGTTGTGAAGCGCCGAGCTGGGACGACGAGAAGTTAGGTTCCTCAATGTTCAGCGTGAGGTGGAAGTTTTGGCCATTTGCATTGGCTGCTTCTATTGGTGAGACGGAGACTTGATAACAGAGTGAGTTGTACTCGTTAATGGCATTCTCCAGGTTTTCTAGCGCTTGGTTTGCATCAGTCTCCCTCTGAGAAGAGCGTAATTTAATGTCATCGAGTTTGATGATCGTGGCCTCGAGATTCTTGTGGAGGCGCTCGCGCTCGGTATTCATGCGGTCGATATCCTGGATCGTTATTCCGAGCCTATCGACACCGCTTTGAAGCTTCATCTTCTCTGACTCAGCGGTGTCGATTTCTGTGTCTGTTTTCTGGATCTCCTCTGTCAAGAACTTGTTCTTCGCATCGTGTCTCTCGCACTTGCTTTCGACACTATTATTGTAGTCCTCAAACTTGCGCTTATCATCTTCCAAGATCTTGAAATGCTTGTCTAACTTGGCTAGATCTGGCGCACTTTCCTCTGCTTCCTTGATTTGCTGTACAAGTGATGCGTGCTCTGCTTCGAGGATTTCCATCTCTTTGGCGTACTTCGCATTTCCCTCCTCGAATTCAGCAGCCATGGCTTCAACATGTGGTATCAACAGCTTTTCTGCATTTTCATCGTCATCTCCTTCGTCAACTTGCAGCCAATCTCGGTACGCTCCGCTGAGAAACCGGAAGATAATTCTGTCTCCGCTGACATCAACCCCAGCCTCAGCGCACGCCTCATCGTAGTCTCCTATATCGTATTTGTCGATCATATTGGCCAGCTGCATCATCCAATGAAGCATTCCAAGGAAAGTAGTCCAGTTTTGACCTCCCACTGCCTGCCATTGAGATTTTGAACAAGAGTTAACATATGGATAGTAAAGCTGCTTAAGGACGAACGGCCCTTCTACATCAATATTCTTCATGAACCGATACGCCGGATCGATCCTTCGATAAAGCCACTGAAACATCGCCTCGAAGTCCTTTTGCGTTGGCTGCGTCATTGTCTTTTGTGATATTGAGCGCTTCATTTCCATTTCAAAGTTATTTCTCGTCAGATAGTCCAAGATTTCTTGTCCAATTTTTGCTCTAAAGGTTGGATCTCTCCAAGGTCTTGGATCTCGTGGGTTTGTCGCTGGAGCAGGAGCTTGCACGAAGAATGACTGGTGGCTCATCGGACCGGTGGAGGATGGGCGCGAGTAAATGCTGCTCCTTCTCTGCATGCTCTGAGAGCCATTCATCGATGATTGATGTGCTGGTGTCATTGCACCAGGCGCGAAGCTCATTCGTCCAGCAGACGCTCCGTGGCCGAACATGTTTGATGAAGAGTTCCTTTGTACTGTCGAGGGTCGGCCGAAGTCCGGCATGTTGTTTCCTGATGATGATCGCTGAAACGACGGCTGGGGAGGTCTTCCTGGCGCCAGTGACATGCGTGAGGAGGACATCGATCGGCCATGGTGTGCTGTTTGAGGGGCTTGGTTCTCTTTGAAATTCGACGCAGAATTGGAGCGCTTCAGAGCTGAAGCTGGTTGAGGTATACCAGAGTTGTAATTATTGAGTCCTCCGAGGGTCTATAGTAGCATGTAAGTAATGCGCCGCGCAATAAGCAATTGTAACGCTCACTTCTCGCGGCCTCCGGACGGAGAATAGGCCTGTGTCTTGCGACATCGCCGCCTCTTTCTTGCGCGTTTTCTCAATGCGATCCTTTTCAGCTTGATCTTGATTTGTCATAGACTCGTGCTTGTGTAGAAAGAAATTGCATGCGTTCTCGAGTGTGTGAAATTGCGCAAGCCTCAGTGTTTACCGGACAATCCATGTAAACAGAGCGCTTGTTAGCGCGTTTAGCGTCCAGAGTCTTGGCATTTCAGCCTTACAGCGCAGACCGAGGCATTGCGACTCTGCGAAATGGAAATGTCCATTGCAATTTCAGCATAATTCTGTCTTTCCAATAACTTGTTATATCTTCATTCTACTGAACTCAAGATTACTTGTTTGCAGTAAATATGGTGCGCGAAGATCTTGTCAGCTCTGCAGTAAGTATATCTCCAGTGGCTTATACAGCGTGGCGCTTACCATCATAGGTAAATTGTAGGACCTCCAATTAGCAATTATCTCTTCAGTCTTCTGACGTGCTGTTTCAGTCCTTCAGGACCCATCCGTGTCGAATTCTCCCCAGGATAAAAAGATTGCGTTCTTACAAGCGAAAAATCTCACGCAAGAAGAAGTAGACCTTGCCTTTTCGCGGGCAGGAAGCTCCGTGCCAGTCCCCCAACAGACGAGCCAATATGGATTCCAAAGTCAACCTATGCCAAGAGCCAGATTGAGCCCTAGCTACGGACACGGACACGGTCCATATCAAGCTGGGCCATGGGGCCCTTCACCGTAAGTGAGACGCGGGAATTGATGCATGAATTTGAAGCCTAATGCTGCAAAGGCCACCGCAACGAGATTGGCGAGATTGGTTTATAATGGCCACTGTAACAAGCGGAGTTGGCTATGGCCTCTACACTGTGGCAAAAGTTTGTCTCCCCGCGGATACAAATTATTAGAATGTTGACGGATTGAAGCGATATATCCTACCTCTAATAGCACCGCCAACCCCACCTCAACTTGAACAGGACAAAGCAGCAATTGATGAATCTTTCGAAAAAGCGTTTGCTTTGATCGACCAGCTCGCTTCAGACACAGCAACGCTTAAAGCTTCAGAGGCAGACCGTCAAGAGAAGCTTGATACTACCCTTAAAGATGTCGACACCGTAATTGCAGATCTCAAGGCAACGAACGCAAGAAGAGAAACAGAGAATAGAATAGCTGCTGATCAAATCCAAGGTTTGAAAGATCTTGTACCGAGAGCATTGGAGGGCTGGAAGGCAAATGGAGATGCAAGACTTGACGAATTGTCACAAGAAATGCAAAGTCTTAAGAGACTCTTAGAGAACAGAGTCGGCAGGTCTGCAGGCACTTCGACGCCGATTGGCAGAGGCTACCCAACTCCATCCACTAACGGATCAGAGAAGTCGAGGGAGAATCAATCAAGCACATCGCCGGCTGAAGGAGACACCGTGTCAGACACACAGACAACGAAGGTCGAGTCATCGCAACAAAAACGAGGATTACAAGGCAGTGAACGAAAGGCCGCTATACCAGCATGGCAACTTGCAGCTGCTGGGAAAAGCAAAGAAGACAGCACAGCCGATGCAAGCGCCTAGCCGATGTGACCTTCATCCTTCGCTCGTGTTTGACAAATTGAAAAGTCTAAGAGGAGAACCATGTCTGTTGACGATCCACCTCTGTACCATGCGCCTCTGTTGCGAATCGCCCTACAAGCCTTATTAGGTATTTATGGGGTGCAGCAGACAGACAGCTTGGTCTGCATGGAGCGTCAGACGAGAGCTGGAGAGGTTTCTACGAAACTAAGGCCAGGATCTGTTGCACAACAAGTTGAAATTCATGCAGAAGTCAGGTGGATTGAGGAATGAAAGCAGGTTCGTTACGAATAGGGACCGGCTGGTGGGGCTTCGAGACCGGCCTATCACAACGCGGCCTCGAGATATTTCAGCTTCCAGGCGGTGCCTCTCTCTTTAGCCCCACGGCCGTATCGAAAGGCTGATCAACCAAAGGGGAAAAAGCTTGTTGTTGAATACATCTTGTGCAGTTTGAATAATATCTACAATGCCCTCAAGAAGTAATTGCGATGCGCGCCCATGCCTCAGATCTCTACCACCAGCGGTGTGGCGCAGGATATTTCGAATATTCATTCATCCAGAAGAACTCGCCCACCTCTAGGTCTGCTGTAGGCTTCTATCGACTGCTTTTCGTGACATGGTTGAGGATCTGTTCACCACAAAATGGCTGAAAAGGTTTCAGATCTGCTTCGATTTAGGTACGACCACCAAAACTTCAATCAAGAGACCGCTCATGAAGTTTTCAGGTTATTACATTGTGTGGAAATCGGATCCGAAGAAGCGCAATGATAACGGGGTTCGGCATAAAGTAGCTTTTTCCACGGGGTTGCGTTCGGCTTTGATCACTTCACTGAGGGTGCACAGGGCTGCAGAGCCGTCTTCAGGATTAAAAAGGATCGTTCACAGTACAGAGATCTCAAAAAGATCCTTGACTTATTTGTGCGACCCGAGGCGTTCCATCCACCCAAGGGGTTATATTGTGCTTCAATTTGAAGTCAATGACACGGAACTTCCAGACGCATCATTCGATGCAAAAAGCCGGGAGCTTTCATTAGATTAGAAAGGGATGTGCAGTCAGAACTTTGAAGAAGAAGATACATACAGCAAGGCCCGACTTGCATATGAAGCCTGGTTCGTCTCGGCAGTCTGCTATCTTCCATGGTTATGGAATGGTTTGCTGACTCATAGTTTCAAGGGTTTCATTGCTGACGACGAAGATTTACTTCCTGGGTTTAGGTGTGGCAGGCTTAGTATCATCAACTGAGAGAAGCATGGACTCCTTGCGCACTTGAAGGCGACAGACGCCTCTAGTAAGGAAAGCAGACACCAAAGGATTATGCGGTGGCTTGAAAGACTTGCCAAATCTGAAGGTGTGGACCTTAGAGAATCACCAGAGGAGATGTTCATGCTAGGAGAATCCGAAAGGGTTGCGTTGCACGCTTTGGATTTGACACGACGTAGAAAAGCTATGGATTATCACGCCGAGGATCAAATTGGAGAGAAACGACGGTGGAGTGCGGATTGACTCTTTGATATGCTCCCTCGGCAGGATCTTTCCAGAGGCTTAGAAACATTCGGCAGCAAAATCATTGCCCAACATCTAATATGAGCGCCTGTTGCACATGTCCAGTCTGTGCTACCCTGAAAGCTGACGTGGCATCTGACGTCGATAAAAATGACTTTCGTACGACGCTGAAGATTCCAGCCGTCGTGCAGCAGTCATCATGCGCCACTCAAAGTCTTACAACTAAGACAGGCCGTACAGCACAGCTTGGGGTGAACTGTAAGTATAAATTCGGCGTTGATCCCATAGCTCTCTACTCTTTTTCATCCTTTCTGCAACAACCTCCCTAGAGAATTCAGATCACAAAGCAAGCCTTATTAAGCAGCTTCTAAGATAATCATCTATCCACATGTCGTCCCATCATGGCTCACGCCGTTCCACCTACTCAAGCCGCGAAACCAATCGCAGCGAACGTGGAGGAGCAAGTCATAATGGTCACCGACGCTCAGAAACGTATTCAAGCTCAGCTAGACCTGGATGGCCCCATGCAAATGATCCTTTCACTCAACACGACATTTGGAGTGACGGCGATATCATCGAACTCACGATCATTCGTCTTACTGTGGCCGAATCAGGACTGAACGACGAAGAATTCGGCAAAGTCGCTGCAGGCATTGCTCAGTTTTGTAGGGAAGGTCTTCGCGATAACAAAACAAGGCACATCACTACTGGAGAATTTATTGAAGGTTGGCATTACATGAAAGATCCCGAGAATCTTAGTCTCCCACAAAATCCCTACAAATCATGGCGACGCGCGTGCGATGCCTTTTCAAGCGGTACCAAGGGCGAGCCTTACGACTTTGAAGCTTCGCCAAATGAAGTCAGTTTAACAGACTTCAAGAAACACTGTGAAGACTCCATGGTGGAGACACTTCGACGAACAGCAGACACCCATGTCGTTGACAACCTTAGGGGGTGTATCAAGAGGTCTATCGATGAAATGAGTGAAGGCCGCCTGGACGATCATAGGCCTCATCGCGGAGATTGCAAGCTTCATTATCAAAACGGTTCACATTCTGACGGTCATAGACACACTGGCTCCGGACATCGGGAGGTGAGACATGAGCTTGATGCTCGTGGCCGTACCAGTACCAGCAGTCATCTTTCCAGAAGCAGTCATCGCTCAGGTACTGGCAGTCATCACTCAGGTACTAGCAGCAACACCCTTGGTCCAAGCAGTACTACTTCAGGTCAACGCATGAACGGTTCGACGAACTCACGAAGCCACTTCCCCAACCCTATCACTTCTGGCCCGGCGCGTGTGAACACCAGGAGCAGTCGTAGCAGTGCCAGCTCGTGGGAAGAAGTCTCAGCAAATGGTAGCGAATTTGACGGTCCCTATGGTGGTAATTACCGACGATAAAGCTGCGAACCTTCGAGCAGCAGTGCGGTTATCACTCTTCTAGGGCGGGGAATGCTCACAGTGGATGAAGGCCCGACACACATGATGTTAATGACGGTACTTTGTCGATTGATCAGCGGGAGCCTTTCCCGTACTTGCAGCTGAATCTTGCATTGTGTCTGCGAGAAGTAGGGGAGACATCATGTCGGTATCAAAATGCCTCGAAAGTGTGCGGCTGGTGGTCTCGATGTAGCAATAGAAAATTTCATATTACTGTGAAACACTCATGTGCCGGTGATGCTGCCCGACGTTGATTGCTTTTTGCGCCGCTCTTTGACTCTCCGAAAACAATGACGTTGCTAGCAAACTCAGAGCACCGAAAAGCGTATTCTTCATGTCATCCTCGTCCCTAAGTCCAGGGGACTGGAGGCCTCGGCCCGTGAGGAGCTCGGTGCGGCCCGCCCGCTGTCAAAACGATTCCAAGAGTCCGGGTTAGGTTTTGGTGCCTTCACCACGCACTTGAGTTCTCGTATGATGTTCACTATTCTGGACAGATGGACATTGTAACTACCGACAAGCCCTCAATTAAGAGGCACAGTCGAGAAGTCTCCCATCACAAAGGTCTGTTCCCTTCAATAGGACCAGTATCGGAAAATGTACACTGACAACACTTAGCCTCACTCCGTCGTTCCACCAAAGGTCCTCTCGATATAGTTGAGTAAGCTTGGACTATCTTCCTCTCAAGCTGTTCCCATCTGATAAGTTCAGTCTACTATCAATCCCCTCATCCTCCCTCCCACCACAAGACACCAACTTTTCACCACCCTCAACGCCCCTCCCCACCTCCCCGCCAACCAACCCTGTTCCCCCACCAACACAAATCGACATCACCTTCCTCACCTCCCCAAAACTTTACCACACCCTCCCGCCCCCTCTCTTCGCCTCCTCCGCCCTACGCTCACCCAATCCCACATCCAACCCCTCAACCCTCTTCGCATCAAAAAACTACCACGCCGCAGCCCTTGCCTCCGCAAGCGCGATCACCACGCCCCCCTCACCCCTCCCCCACCACCTTTTCGAACTCCTCCACATCCGCCTCGCGTCCCTGACACAACTGCATCACCTCCCCCTCGCGATCGAGGAAGCCCGAGCATTGGAAGATGTGCATTCGGCTTTCTACCGCGTCCCTAGGCCTGATGATAACGGGTATGACACCTGCAGTCTCCCATGGAAGTTAAGGATGCTTGTGACGAGGTTGCTCGCTTACACCCCACCTGACCCCGGGAGAGCGGGTGATGGAGTGAGGATTGGGGCAGGAGGGGGAGGGGGAGGGGGCGGTGTAGCAGGCTTCTACGAGCTCGCAAGGGATGCGAGGGTGGAATTTGCGCGGGCGAGGAGCGAGGAGGAGAAGGGGCTATGGAAGGAGAGGGCGAGGGAGTGTGCTTGGGGTGTTGTTGAGGCGTTGGAGGGGGAGGGAGATTTCAAGGGTGCGGTGGGTATGTTGAAGGGGATGGTTAAGCGGGAGAAGAATCGTGGGGGAGGGGAGGTTGGGAGAGGGGGTGAGGGAGAGGGGGATAGGACGAGGAGGCGGCTGGTGCTGCTTTACGTGAGGGTTGGGGATGTTGATGCTGCGAGGATGGTTCTGGAGGAAATAGATAGGGATGTGGAAGGGAGAGAGGTTTTGGAGGGGTTGGTGAAGGTGTGTCTTGGGGACTGGGAAGGCGTTGGTGATCGAGCTGCGGGTCAGCGGCAAGCAACTGGAAGGGAAGACACAAATCTGAAGAATAATGATGCTGTGAGGATGTTTTATGCTGGAAAGATTGAGGAGAGCGTCACGCTCCTGGAGTCACTGGTTGAGAATGGGAGGGTGGACAGAGAAACTATCTTCAATTTGGCCACTTTATTTGAGTTAATGGGAGAGCGCGGCGTGAAGGAGAGGAAAGAGGAGCTGGTCGAGCGTGTGCTTGAGAAGTTAGGAGGAGATGAGAGCGTGCTTGCAAAGGCAGACTTTAAATTATGAATATTGTTCACTGCATCATAAGACCGAATTCCGCCGTGGAGCATACCAGGCTCGCATGTCCCCGCCGTATTCCTCTCCACATAGGGGCTTCTCTACCCAACCTTCCTTTTCAAAGCAATAGTCGGTGACGACAATACCGTACGCCCTGCTAGTACATTCTGTTTGTGCATGTCGCGCAATATGGATTTTGTTCCTTGAATGGGGAGTTTTGTCTCCGAGTGATGTCGAAATGAGATTCATCCGAAAGACGTCGAAGCAGAGGCTCCACTCCTGACTCTCTTCCCACCGTCGCCATCAGTCTTCTCCATAGCTTCACCCTCCCGCTTCTTACCCCTCATATCACCAGCCCCAGGCTTAGTCCTCGCCCATCCATCGAAAGGGCTGACTTTCTTTCTCTTTGGCATCTCTTGAGACGCATCATCCATGTCCTGGTCGGGTGGTGATGTGGTCGCATATTCGCCTGGATTCTTCGTTGATCTTGTCCTGTGAACCGTCGTTGGTGGCGTGACTGTCTGAAAAGATTTCTTGACCGGCGTGGTGACAGCTTTCTTTTGCGCAATGCCGTTGTCTTCAATTTCAGTGGTAGCTTCCTCATCAGCAAGTTCCGCGGCGGAGCGTTCGGCTTGCTGTTGTGGTGTAGGGAAGAGGAGGCGGGGTTTCACTGAAGAGCGAGTGAAAGGTCGCAGTCTGGTTGTTTCTGGGGCATTTGCGTCATCATGTGCATGTAATGAGCTTCCGCTTTCCGAATCTGAACTTTGGGGGAATTTGCGATATATCTTCCGGCCACGGCTTGAAATGATCAATTTAAATGCAATAAAGAGGGATCAAGAGTGAAACTTACAAGGTATACACGATGCCTTCGTCGCGATTGAACGCATCCTCGATCTGTGGGTTAGTCTCCACATGACGCTGCTTGCGTTTCCTGCTCGCTCGAGGCTTGGCCATTTCTGGTTGTTGATTTTGCTGAGAGCCATCCACAAAAGGATTGTCTGTTTGCGGACCCACTTCTGGTACTCGGTCTTTGGAATCAGTGAATACTTGCACTCTTTCATCCAAGTTTTGACCATCTTCTTCAGGATCACCGTACAAGTTGAAACCAACGTTCCTTCGGTTTTTGCGATTCTTACGAGGCGTAGGCATAGCATCTTCAACAGAATCTGGACGGGGAGGAAACAGAACTCGAGCGGCTGCATCTACTTGTGGTCTTGAGACCTGTTTCTTTCGCGGGGCGCTGGCTGGTGTTGGCAGCATGTGCGGATTGACCTCTAAGGGTTGGAGATCTGTGTTTCCACCACCCTTTGGCTGATTACTAGAGACAGCGTCTCTCGAGTCATCTGTGCCATTCATGATATCGTTATACTTGGTCTTTCTTCCTCGGCTCAAGTTCCCGCGGGGAGACGTATTCGTTGATGAAGGGGGAGAATGAGGCGGAATACCTGAAGATGCAGGAGATGATGATTGCTGTAGTCTTGATGAACCGAACCTAGAATTGAGATCTCCTGGATCACGAGGTGGGGTTTGTGTACGGCTGATGAATTTAGTTGAAGATTGCCGGGCGCTTTTCCGAGTGGGGTAGTGTCGTGAAGTGTCACCGTGCCGTGGTGTTGGCGGAGTCTCAACTACACTGGTTGCAGGAGGTGTCGCTGCCATGCTACCATGTCCAAGAATGCTTGCGCAAGTTCAGTTGTTGATCCGGCCGCCCTGCATCCAAATGTGTGGTGCTTTCCAAGAGGGTGGCAAGTAATTATGGTCAGCTATCCCAGGTCGCAATTGTTGTAAATGCTTCTGCCAGTTCCTCTGTGCGAATTGACCAAAGTGAAGTTTCCTTGAGCAACAGAGCAATGTTCCAAGCTATGCTGCATATGTGATACTGGGAAACGGTTGAGTCGTCAAGTGCGAAAGAAGGATGTAGGAGTAAATGGCTGGCGCAGGAGCTCAGAGGAATGAGGTCAAAATGCTTGGCAGGGATTTTTTGAGCGGGCTGGGATTGCGGAGGAGGCTGGAACGGCGCGTAGCCTGAAGCAGATAATCAACAACACGTGCATTATCAACACTTGCCGGCGAATCGATTGGCTCCTGCATGCTGTAAACAATTGCATATGCCAATGAGCCTCTAAAGACCTCTCTCCATCCCCAATGGCAGAAAACGGCGACGCCGACTTGGATTCCTTGTCGCTCTCTGACACCGAGGCTGATGAGACAGAGGATCTCTTCGCATCACCGTCAAAGAAACAGTCTCGCCCCCCTAGAGCGCCCGAGAACACGAATAAGTCACACAAAGAAGCCTCTGCTCCGCCGTTGGACTCAGACGAGGATGCCCTCGCAGACCATGAGGAGCGCCTACGGCACGAGCTTGCTTCCCTGCGCTCCATGAATACGGTCGTATCTGGCATTACTGCCTCGTTGGAAAAAGCGAAGAACAATATGGAGACTGTGTCAGCCACAGTCAACAATGCTTCAACGCTACTCACAACCTGGACGCGCATACTCAGTCAAACAGAGCACAATCAGCGGCTAATACTGAACCCAAATTGGCATGGCGCAAGCCAGGATCTTGTCGATGCTGAGAATGAGGAGGTGCAGAAGCAGCAGGAGCAAGAGAGAAGAGAGGCCGAGGAAGAGAGAAGGGCCAGGCAGAGGGAGGCAGAGAGAGAAGAAGAGGAGAGAAGAAGAGCGCTGGAAAGTACGAAGGGGACAAAAAGTAAGACAGGCAGGGTGACCGGAAGAGGAACGACAAGAGGCAGAGGCTATGTTGGCGTCGGTGGTCAGGGAGGAACCAGAGGCACTGCAAGAGGCAATACTACTGGCAGAACGGCAAGTGGTATTGGAAGGGGGCTGGGTGGATCTCGAGGAAGAGGGAGAGGCATATGAGCTGCTGTATGGAGTTTTACTCTTCCATCTGCTTTGAACATTTGTGATACCCCCTTCATACAGACTTTCAGACATTGACTGCTATCATATTGACTGAGCAAGTTGAATAATGAAGAACATTACTGCTTAATTTGATGCACGGAAAGATGGCCTCCGACAAGACTGATATACCTGACCGATATCAACAACAACTTATGATACATCATACAAGAGCATGATTCTTCATGCCTTTGACGCTCGAGTATCCAATAATACGCCCAAAAGGCTTGCTCCGGCCCCAGTCGGCTCCCACATCATGAGACTCAGGTCCTTGTTGATTCTGGTGTATGATCTCAGCGCTCTTGGAGCCTCATACCGCCTCGAGGAGAAATGAGACTTGCTGAACTATCTTGCGGGGAGGAAGGAAAAGGGGATGGCAACGCCTTTCAGAAGGTGGAAATCAAATACCGTGGTCTTTTCAAGAAGCATGGAGCATCAGGAGTTTTTGACATCTCTCCAGGGCTTTCAGATCATCTTGAGGTTTCAAGAAAGGGTTGAAAGGGCGCATTGTCGAGCGCACCAGACCAATAAAGTCCATTCTATGCCTTGGTTGCGACTCTACTCTATGTGCAATGACTGCATCTCGACCCTGCACAACCTTCAATATCAATGTGATTCAAGACAGCCTTGCATCAACGCCGAAACCACCAGGTCTGTCGTCAAAGACAGATCAGCGCGAATCCACACACAAATATGATGCGCCAGAAAGTTCCTTATCATTTGTCTTGTGAATTCTTGGTGAGGCCTTTTATGAATTGTTTATCTTCAGGCTGGGCGTCACTAGCTCGATAGGCACCTTCCTCTTCTGTTCACGCTTGCAAACGCGGTACCGACCCCGCTTCTTCACGGCAGGCTGGTACTTAACGGTCGCCGTTCAGGCTTTGATCAAAATCTGACAACTCGTAAGATCCGGACGGGTTCCTGCATCCTATTGTGCAAGAACAGTCAGAAAATGTTGTTTCCCGTTTCAAAGCTGCTCTTGGCGCTTGTTCCCGAAATCGTCTTAGCCGCACCTCCTGCCAAGAGATGGGGCCAGCAGTATCATGAACAAGATCAGAAGGGTGCTGTCGCCTCTGAGAGTGCTGTCTGCAGTAAAATTGGTGTGAATCTGATCAAGGATGGTGGTAACGCTGCTGATGCTGTTTGTTTACCCCCAAACATACGAAATTAACACAGTGTGCGCTGACCGTAGGCAATGCACAGCTTGTGGGCACCGTCTTCTGCATTGGTGTTATTGGTAGATATACACTCACCCGGTCATGATTTCTTGCGTTGTTGACGATTGCTTAGGCATGTATCATAGTGGACTCGGGGGTGGTGGTTTCATGATTGTGTAAGTACGAACAAGGAGGGCTGCAGCAAACCCCTCTGACAAGGAACAGACGAGGCTCAAATGGCTCATACGAATTCATCGATTTCCGGGAAACTGCACCCGCCGCTGCTTTCGAGGTACTGATGGTAAAATACTATTACCTGTGTGACTTGAGACTGACAGGTATCTAGGACATGTATAAAGATAATGTGAATGCTTCCATATACGGTGGACTAGCAAGGTATCGTTGTTGTATGTGAAGGCATGATCCCCCACTTACCCATTCTAGTGGAGTCCCCGGTGAAGTTCGAGGTCTCGAGTATCTTCATAAGAATTACGGCAAATTACCGTGGGAGCATGTAATGAAGCCCGCCATCAAAGTGGCTCGGAATGGCTTCACTGTCACGCAAGACCTTGTCAACCAGGAGAAGAGCGCCGTTGCAGGCCTAGACAATTTCCTGCTTCAGGACCCCGGCTTCGCAATTGATTTCGCGCCAAATGGAACCCTGCTCGGATTAAATGAAACAATCACCCGGAGACGCTATGCTGATACGCTTGAAGCCATCTCGAAGCGTGGCGCCGATGCTTTCTACACTGGCCCAATCGCAAATGCTACAATCCAAGCCTTACAAGCGGTGAATGGCACCATGACTTTGGACGACTTGAAGAACTACACAGTAGCGATACGTAAACCCGCCACTGTTGACTATCGGGATTACAAACTTACAGCATGCTCTGCTCCATCGTCTGGGGAAGTGGCTCTCTCTGTCATGAAGAAGATAGAGGGATATGGAGATATTGGACAACCTTCCACTACCAATCTCAGCACTCATAGGCTGGACGAGGCAATCCGATTCGCTTATGGAGAGGTAAGTCGATCTCGATGAAAGGCCGACTATGCGTGTCGCATGCTGACTTTCTCTGGTATTGAAGAGAGCAAAGCTTGGTGATCCAGCCTTCGTTCCAGGGCTAGACGAGTATCAAAATGAGATGCTCAACGAGACTACCGCCGAGATCGTCCGCAGTAAAATCTCTGACACAGAAACCCTAGATGTCAAAGCCTACGATCCTTCAGAGCTCATCTCTCTCGAATTGTAAGTACTTATTTCCCCTGTTCTCTATCTTTACCCCTATCCGTCGTCTTTCTCTCCTTCTAAACATGTTGTTCTCCTCAGAGGTAGCACGTCTCACATCGTCACCGGCGACGCCAGCGGCATGGCCATCTCTCTCACCACAACGGTCAACCTCCTCTTCGGCTCCCACCTCATCGTCCCCGAAACCGGCGTCATCATGAACAACGAAATGAACGACTTCAGCATCCCCGGCTCCTCCAATTCCTTCGGCTACACGCCCTCCCCCGCAAATTACATCCGCCCTGGAAAGCGCCCCCTCTCCAGCATCTCCCCCACCATTGTCGAGCACAAGTCCAACAACTCCCTCTACTACGTCATCGGCTCCGCAGGCGGTTCGCGCATCATTACGGCAACGATCCAGAATCTCTGGAACGTGCTTGATCGGGGGGATAATGTGAAGCAGAGCTTAGCGCGGCCGAGACTGCATGATCAGTTGGCGCCGAATCAGGTCAGTTTTGAGTATACGTATGATAATGAGACGACGGCTTTCATGAAGTCGTTGGGCCATAATGTGACGTGGGTCGCACCGGGGCAGAGTACTGCGCAGGGTTTGAGGAGGCTGTATAATGGAACTTTTGAGGCGGCTGGGGAGCCCAGGCAGAAGGCGTCCGCTGGGTTCGCGGTATAAGTATTTGCGATCAATAGGTGATGAAAGTCGTGACATCTTGTGGGCAGATACTGACAGTATGAGGAGTCGCTGAAATGAGGAAGACGTGGTTGAAACAGATAGTAGGAACGGTGCCTTTGCAGTACACTTGATGCCCATGGGCGTCCACTTTACAGTTCTCAGTAATCATAATGGCAATGTCTTGCCAACTACTCTATCTCCAGCTCATCCTCCGAATGCCCGGCCGCTGCAGCTGCAGGAGCCGTGCCACCAATACTCTCCCTTCCCGCCTCTCGAATCCCCTTCTCAGTCACAAACCGCGTCTTCTTTCTCGCCGATTCAGACCCTGCCATGCCCTTCCTCTTCAGACTTGCCTTCTTCAGAGGGCTCAGATGCACCTCCTTAGCCTTATTTCCCAGCAGCGCCTGCCTCGAGGCTTCCAAATCCTGCTGATCCCCCTGCTGCTCACTCGACAATCCCTCTCTCGCTTCTCTCGCACCAACATCACCCTCTCCACCCCTTGATCCATTTTTTTGTTCACCAACCCTCGCGCTCTGCTCGCCGCTCATCCTCGCATACTCGCTCCCAGCTCCATTCCCCTTCTCCCCCAAGCGCCGCCGGATCTCATTCTCCCTCTCCCGCTCCGCAAATCTCTTCCTCACTCTCTCCTCCTTACTCTCGCCGCGCGCCGTCATCATATCCTCCCGATCGAGCAGCTGCGCCGCACTTCCCCCACCCCCACCCATCTCTCCCGGGAAAGCAGGCGCCACGAAATACCGCGATGAAGTCTCGCGATCATATTGCTCACCTTCCCTCCTCAGCCCACCTGCACCATCATTTCCGCTCAAGGGATGCCACTCTTTACTCCTCGTCCTCGACCCATTCTTCCCCACGCTGGTGAAAAAACCAGTACGCCCTTTCTTCTTCCCGCCCGGCGCGAACGGCGCAGATATTCCATTCACCTCCATTCTCCCGCGCCGATTGCGCTCGATGACGCGATCGACGTGGAATTCGCACACCTCGGTATGCCGCTTGTCGACCCAGTCCGAACACGGTTTGCCGTCTTTGCGGACGGCTTTGCACCAGCCTAAATCCCGCGCTGTGCCGATTTCGAGGATCGTGTCGTCGCTGCTGTTGAGCGTGAGGGAGAAGCGGCCTGTGTCTACTTTGTGGGCTGGGGGGGCATGATGGAGGGGTTTAGGATGGCGAGGACGGTGCCGAGGGGGAGTTTGTAGAAGCGCGTGTAGGCTGTTGTGAAGAGGTAGAGGTCGAGGGTCCATTTTAGGTCTGTGAGGGTTAGGACCATGAATTTGCCTTGGGTGTTTTGGGGGAGGAGGTTGTGGCTTCCGTGAGGGAGGTTGTAGGTTCTGAGGAGGTGGTTTTGGGCGTGGCTTTGTGGGTCAAGGGGGTGGATTTAGAGGCTAGGACGCCTAGGACGACGTAGTCGGCCTCGAAGTCGTCGGGGAGAGAGTAGTCTGGTGATTTCACGTTGGCCAAAAGGTCGGGGATGCGGAGTACGGACTTGTCGGTGAATGTGCGGGTGAGGAAATGGTGGGGTAGCAGTCGTCGAGACAGGTGTGTGGTAGAAAATGGCTCAAAGAGGTGCTCTGACGATTGTGCATCTTCATATTTGACGGTACCAGTAGCTCGCGTCCGACTTGTTGACTGGGATTTTGCGCGAGGTTTCGAAGCAGGTTTTGCGTGGAGAACGTCTGGCTCAGCGTTTGGGTTGATCCAGATATCGCTGGATGCTTTACTCCGTTCTTTCGAAGATGTGACGGTCCTACTTCGTTTCACAACACCTGCGTTCGGTTTATTCATCGCTTGTAGTATCTGCTCTCTGCTAAAGCCTCCACGATCCGTAGAATCTTGCTTCTGAAAGCCATTTCTCATCTGAACGGATTCACTCTCTGCTTTTTGTCTGTATGAATCGATTTCCGTTTGATCTACAGCAAAGTTGGCGCTCCTTTGATTCTGCCGCCTGGCTTCCCGCTCTAGCCTGGTATCATCTTGCCGCCGACTCTCTGCTACGCGCTCACTGAATGATTTTTGCGGCCCTGTATGACTTTGTGGAGCGTTCGAACGCAGCGAGTCGTTTTTATCTCTACCAGCGGCGGTAGAAGAGCTCCAAAACGGGTCTTCATGTTGAGTTTGACCTTTCGGAGGCCTCCGTAAGGAGACATTCTTGCCCTTAAGCCCTTTATCTATGCCAAGTAAGACTCGCCCCGGCGATCTAGCTTCTGGGACAGCCGTAGCCCTTTTCTGGGGAGACGCGGGGACATCTATTGCCTTTGGAGGATCGAGAAGGCCAGTATTTCTAGATGAAGGCGGTACATTCTCTCCTTGAGGACTCCTAAGGCGCGCATGACAATTGGGCTCGATCTGTGGATTCTGCGCTTTTCGCCGTTGAAGTTGCTTCAATTTCAACTTGGCCTCGAGAGCTTGTAGCTGCAATTGTAGAGTCTCTTCATCCTCATCACCGTCAACATTATTGATTCTTCGCCTATTCCTCTTGTTTGCGCTGGATTTTCTCAACGGAGAAGGAGTAGGGGATGTTCGACTGTCTATTTGGCGAGCTTTCTGGCGACCGCTAGGTGAGCTTAACAGCGCTTCATGTGGTGACTTTGGAGGCCAGCGCGACTCCATTGCTTCAGTGAATGAGCTGCGGGGAGATGGCGATATTAGCCTAGGGCGGGCCTAGCGTCTAATCACTCAAAAATGGTTGCGCATGCGCTTTTGAAAAGCACCAGTGGCTCATCAGACGATGAAAAACATTCTTCCTTCAAACCAATTCGTTCCATCTGAAGGCGAGCTAGTATGTCGACGTTGACCTAGAGCTGAACGTCCAAAACCAATCAAGTCGCGTAACGCGTGAAAATCGGGATTACCAAATTATTAAGGTTGAGTTGAACTAGTTCCCGCCTGTCGCCTCGCTTTCCAAAGTCGGGCCGAGGGGGCATCAACATTTTGATTAGTCTCTTAGGCAAGATATGAAGATTACGTTTAAGATCTGAGATCCATGAACACCCTCATTTCTAATAATCTTAATGATCCTGTCAAGGAAAGTTACCCTGGCATCGGTCGACTTACGATTTGCTCCCTCTGAGCTTCCATCTGCATTTCAATCGTCATCACATCTCACCTTTAGAAATTGTCCGGCTCTCGCCTCCTTCCGAAAATAATGCCATCAGTAACCATGAAAGCGTTCATGACGCGAACCCTTCGCGCTCCGGTCCTCTATACCATCAATATTCCCACCCCTGCCTCCACTGAGCTCCTCGTTAAAGTGTCATATGTCTCTTTGAATCCTACAGACCGTGGGCTCCGCTCCTTCTCTTCCCCCAGGATAATCTGATCATGTAGACAAGCATGCCTCGATGGCTCTCCCGCCCTCGAAAGTCATCGGCTGCGACTTTTCCGGCATCGTTGATACTGTGCCCTCTAGTCCTACTACTTTGTACAACAATCCTCAATCCACTTTGAAGAAAGGGGACAGAATTGCTGGTGTGATTCATGGATGCAAGGATAGCCACACAGGTGGTTTTGCAGAATACCTTGTTGTAGACGCAGGAATGTGCTTCTATGTCCCTGATAATGTAAGCTTAGAGCAAGCTTGCACGCTAGGCGTAGGCTGGATAAGTGCAGTGCAAGCACTGCCGCAACGATTGTTTCGATCTGTGGACGGAGATTGGAAGAATGTAGGCGACAGAGACGCAGTACGTTTATGGCATATCAACATTCGAACGTAAGCCTGATGCTGATTTCTGTGCCCGTATAGCTTCTTATTTATTCAGCCGCGACAAATACGGGAATGCATACCATACAGTATTCTCGCCATCACTACCCTTCCATGTTCATCATTGCTGTTGCTTCGTCTCAACACCATTCTCGCCTGCTCAACCTTGGAGCTGACAAATGTTTTGAGTACAAGTCCTCCACTCTTGAGCACGATGTCAAGCAATTGGGAAAGAATGTCACCAAAGCACTAGATTGTCATTCCGAGGGGTCGAGTACGGTATCGTGTGCGAGTTTGATGGGGGGTGGTGAGGGTGGACCGAAGGGCAGTCTAGTGAGAACGCTGCCGCCGGGGATGGTGAAAGGAACCGTACCTGCGGAGGTCAAGGTGGATGGCTGGATTCTCAGTTACACTGCTTTAGGAAAGGTTCGCCATCCAAAACATTCTTTCTTTACAGTTCATATCGCGCATCCTTTCTTGACCACTGGCTGAAATAAGATTAGCCGTTCTGGTTCCTTTTCAAGTACCACCCTGCTTCCCAAACCGACTACACCATCGCATCTAGAAACCTCAAGGAGCTCACGGAATTATTGAGAGCTGGGACAGTGAAGACTGTAAGACATAGACTTGTAGAAGGAGGTTTAGCGACGGGGATCTCGAAAGGTTTCGAGGAAATGAAAGCGGGAAAGGTGAGGGGTGAGAAATTAGTAGTCAGGGTTGGCGGTGAGCAGTGAGTGGCTTCTGTCTTGCACACAATGGAAGGTTGGATGGAGAGTACGAATTATGTTGGCTTTTTTTGTTTACTTGCTTTGCGTAAGACCATCGATCTGAACGTACGGTAATCCATGCATGCTCGTTGACGAGGAATTATCCGTTTGTGAATGTTTGTTCCCTTAATTCGACGAGAGTCTTCTTCAATTCTGAACACAGCTTTGAATGTTCCATTTAAGTTGATGGGTGTTTGCAAGTATCATATTCGGTCTGAATTGCAATAGAGGACCTGACGAAAAACTTTGATGCAAGTGAATATCCCTGGAAAAGTGTGAGCGAGAATGAAAAGATATTTTGAAGATATTTCGTCGCTTGACGCCTAGGGGGACAGTCTGAGAATTACGTAGGAATTACCCGCAGTGCGCGTATTTTGCCACTTAGATGTGCGTTTGATACTTAGCTCATATACTGTCTGCGTAACACTGAGACTGTCAGGGGTCATTTTTGGCCTCTGTCGCGTCGACGCGTCAATTAAAACTGGACTTTCTAGATCGATCAACAACCAACATGGAATTGGATACTACACGCAAGTTGCTGGTACTACCTAAAGATCGATCCCCTGACTCAATCATATGCACTTTCGCACATCCTCGCACAGCAGCACCAAGCAGATATTTATTCGACCCAAATGGAGGCATTTACGAATTCATACGCATTGCAGCTCCCAAAAGCACTTGCCGAAGTTGGCTTATAGATGCTCCCGCCCGAAATGGGGTAAAATTCCAGGACATGCAGGAAGACGGGGTATCTAGCAAGCATGCGACAAATGACGTGGGAGAGAATGAAGAAGGTAGAATCGCAGCGCAGCGCTACATCATCAGCAAGGCAGCAATGCTCGTCGCCACACCAATCGACCCTCTGTTCCTTCTGTTGCCAGCACTTTCCGGCGAGCCAGAGAAGGAGAAGCACGTGTTTCTGTCTTGCGATGACTATGTCGAGAAGCTAAGTGATTGCTCGAAACAATTCAAGGAATTGAACAGGCATGCTGGTATCTGTGCAAGATTCGAAAGTAGACTGCAGGTCGTATGTGACACTGTTGACGCTGGAGGAGAGCAGATGTATCGCTTAAACAACAGCAAGCTTCTGCAAGAGCTGATTTTGAAAGCAACGAAAGTCGTCGAAGACGGCTTGCCTGCGAGCATGGAGGAAAAGTTCGTGCGAAGAGCTCTCGACGTGCCTGTCCTGGGTATTAAAAGGGAAGAAACATCCATGTCCGAATCTCAGCCGGCAACATGCAAAGAAGATTCATCCGTAGAATCTCAATCAAGCACTGCGACTTTATCTGAGGCTGCATCGGTCTCAACAGACATCACAGTTCCTGATACAGTTGAAGGCCAGGCTGATGATGGAATTCGCCAATTGCTACGGCTGCGTACAGTCTTGAACTATATGATGACCTCCTATATTCCTGCTCGTCTGGCAATAGAATTGAACGCACTTCTAGCTTCACCGGAATGCAAATTAAATTTCCAGTTGCTCAACACACGGCTAGCAGAAATCACCAGAGTACGGACTGAGGCGCTCACAGCCACGTCAATGAGTGATTACAGCAACAAGAGGAATGCCTATGAAGATGATGAAGTTGCTGAGGCAAGAGCTTCGAAAAAAAGAAAGAAGGAAGAAGAGGAGAAAAAGAAAAAATTGGAGACTAGAGGGATCAAAGACCTGAAAAAAGCCGACATCAGTGGAATGAAAAAGATGAGCGACTTCTTTGGGAAGGCAGCATCCAAAAAGAAGTAGGCTTACCTTTTGCTATTCGAGGGAGCCTCGATACGACCAAGATGAGAGCAAGATGCTCTGATCTCCATTAATGTGAGTACATCAAGGAAGCCAAACATTCGAATACCGAGAAGAAGCGAGAGTATCTAAGCTCGCGGCGCACAGTTCCTCTGTTTCTGGTGTTTACAATACTAGTGAGTTCTGCAGCGCCAGGATTTGCCTTAATTTCTGCCCAGATCCAGATCAAGTACCTTGATCATTTCATCGCTTCCGCGAAACGAGGATGCATCTTGAGACCCAAAGAAGCCGCCCACCGCGATTCGAACGACTTGCTGCCAGAATCCAGCAACTAGGTCTTTCAAGCCTTCGCCACTCTGCTTGAAGTCTGGAAAGGCATTTACTTCCAATAGAGAGGCATTGCCATCCTCATCCACCATCCAATCAACACCAAACACTTCAAAAGCGTTCGGCAGAGTCTGAAAGTGAATCATCTGCTCGCGAGCAGCAGCTTCAAAAAGTGTTCCGGTTGCTGCCTGTATCTGTTTAAAAGCTTGCGTGTGCCAGTCCTGTGGAATAGTCAAGGTGGAATTTGAAGGGGGCAAATCCCAGTAACGATGAACACTTCCCTCGGCAAGGGTCCCGGCCTGAAGACACGTATTCGTCAAATGTACCCTTTCATCCATGTCTCCGTCCTCACCAGGCTCTTTGTACGGTAAAGACGCAAACAACGCCAACATTTCCCGGTAGACATAGACCTTCAGCGCCCCTGAGGCTAGAACATAGCTCCGAATATGGAACTTACGCCTCCCTAGTTCTTCAAATAGAAGTGGTCTATCAATATACCTCTGCACAACAAAATGCCTCAATTGGCTTGTCATCGTGCCAGCACCCATTCGCTCAGCTCCATTTATAACCACAGGGGTATCTGTCCCTCCGTCGTCCTCTTCTTCGTCTTCGCTTGGCTGTTCATCCTCCCATTGCTCGAAAATGCGCCTCAGCTCCTCCTCGCTACTGAATAACCTCACCCCTTGCCCCTGCTCACTCATTCCTGGCTTCAGGACCCACCATTCTCTCTCCTTGCTCACAAAGCTCTCTTTCAACCCCCAACACTCCACCAGCGCTTCGTCAAGAAATTCTGCGAAGTCCAATTCAAAGCTCTCTGTTTCTGGGACGTGTCCTCTCAAACTCCTATCGCTAGGATGCTTGGTCAGCCAAGTGCTGACAGTCTGCGAGAGATAGTGTTTCCGGATCAGAGCTTTGCGGATTACGTATGCATTCGCTAGACTGGTATTAGGATGGGCGAGGAGGTGAGAGAAGTCGACGAGTTCGTACGAAGTCAGCTGGAGGAGAGGCGACGAGGGTGTGGGAAGTTGATTTAGGGATTCGATCAATTTGAGCGCGAGGGTGTTAGCTGGTGGGAAGATGTTACGAAGGGCGGAATGCAGCAACGGAAGAAGAAAGTCGTCTGCGTCGACAATAGCGTAGATATGAGGTATGGGAGTGTCACGACGTCTGAATCTACCCGATGCGTCAGCATCAAACAGTCTTAGAGCGCCGGTGTGACACGATCCAAGACAAGAAAGTGAGAAACCCATTCTTGCAGTAATGACAGCGATGTGAAGTCAAGCAAAGGCAGCCAATGCAGATCTCTATTCTTTTCAATGCTTTAAGTCATAAATGCACGCTTGCTGTCCGTACCATGTGCTTTGGTATGTACTCACAGCTTCATCTCCCCATATGGCACGGTCGACGCATGCATGAAGTTCGCTTTCAATGGTGTGACACTTTTACTCGTTAGCCTACTACCCTCTACCAAACATCGTGCGTTCTCCTTTCCTCGCTTTCGACGCACAGCAAGGAGACTCACCTCGTAAAGCCCTGCGTGATGGCCCATCCATCGCTCCCCTCCCCAGCATCCTTAATATTCCTCGCTACATCATCGTACTTGGGCGCCCACGTGAACGCCACCGTTTTGCCCTCCAGATCGCCCTTGGCCCCTCCGTCCTCATCCCCCTCCCTAATCATATACTCCCTCTCCGCCGCCTGCTCAGCCTCGCTCTCCCCCTTCCCTTCCTCCCCCACCACCGCCCCACCAACCTCCTCAAAACAACTCCCACTCCTCCACCTGCTCTCCAGAATCGGACACACCATCACTTTCTTCCCACTAACACCCTTCTGCAACGGCACATTCGCATTCCACAAATCCGCCCCCTTTCCAGCCTCCCCCTCCCCCGCGCCCCAATAATTCCCCCCACCGATCTTCTCAATTAGAGCAACGCTGTGCTTACAAGCTTCTTCGACGATTTCTGGATCATGATTGCGGGTCCAATGCGCGAAACTCAGCGCGATGGCTTTGACGCCGAAAGTGGCGGCTTCGAGAGCGCCGCCTATGGTGCCGGACGAGAGCGAGAAGAGAGAGGTGGTGTTTTTGCCGTAGTTGGGGCCGGAGACCACGAGGTCGAACTGCGTGTAATTAGAGATGGTGGGTCCCGGTGGGTTGGGGAGGGGGGAGGGGATTAGAATAGGAGCAATAATGGATGCGTAGGAGGGGGAAAGCTGAATACCCCGCCTTTCATGAAAGATGGCTTTGATTTTGGAGAAGAGAAAGACGCGAGAGCAGTTGGTGGCGGAGGAAGGGAGAGAGGGGGAGTACATACAGGTGTCCGATCCTTGAACAAATGGAACAAGCCCAACTGCGTACAAGTCGCCGGCGTTCCATCAACAAGGACCCATTTCTCCCCCTCACTCCCACCCCCAGTCGTAGTCGTAGCGACACCGCCTCCACCACGGTACGGTTGTGTCGACGACCCTTCGCCCCCACTATGCGGGTCTTTCGACGGCGTGTACGATACAGGTTGAACGGTCTGATGCACAAAATGCGCTTTGCCGATCCAGGAACGCTGTTGGTGGGGTAGGACTACGGAGATGATGTGCCCGGCGGATTGGAGGGCGGAAATGAAGGGGTGGACATAGGGGGATGATTGATTGCTTTTGAGTACAAGATTTAGGGAAAAGGATTGTGCGGATGGAGGATGGGGAACTTACGATGGGGGGCCATCATCGTTGGTCACGAGGATGTGCATGTCGAAGGTGGTGCTGGGGCGATGTGGCTGACACGGATGAAGAATCGAAGTCGTTGTTCAGGATCTAAAGCTCTACGGTTAAAAATAATAAGGTTTCATTGTGCGAGTTGTACTACTTCACATAGGTGGCGTTTGGAGCGAGACAAAAAAACAATGTTTGCAAGACCGATATCTATCCTCACTATTGATCAATGATGACGTGTTGAATTGTTATAGCTAATTCACGCTCAACGAAGGAATCAACGTCTTTCTCCTCCAAGCCTCAAACCTGTAAAACATCCGAGAATCTGTGATCTAAACCTCAAGTGCTTGGTCCGGCGGGTGGGCCTCTATCTCTTCTGGTAATATTTCTTAGATTATGGAGTGTGACCTTGGCTACTTGCTTTGCTGCACGGGCTCTTGACGCAGCCACAGGACCAGCTGTGGGATCTCGCCCCTGATCAGGAAGCGGAGTGTTTGGGTTGGCGTTCTCATTGTTGACCGCATCGGTAGCATTTTGTGAATCATTCTGACTTGCGGTATATAATTGATTGTTCCAATGAGCCACATCGTCACGAGATTGACCATTTGCTAAGGCAGGTAAGGTTGGCCTAGAATCCCTATCGCCCGCCGCTTGAGGATGACGAGCATCTGGTGCCTCAGCATTCTGCGCTTCGCAACTCATTTGGTTTCCCTCGACTTGTATCGATGATAGCTGAGTCAAATTTTGACCTCGGTCGGTGTTGTCAGGTATGCCAAGAGGCCTAGGAGTAATATCCGTAGCGAAAGGGCCCAATGGTGCGACGTTGGAATCTTGTCGAACCGTACCGGTAGAAGTAACGCTTGCTTCTCGATGACGATCAACCCTCTGAACGGCAGGGTGTGCTGCTTCTTCTGCGGTTCTAGTCGAGGGAGGCCCTACCTCCGGGGGAATGAAGTTCGGCGCCAACTCGTCACCTGGGGTAGCGTAGACGGGTGTTCCTTGATCGTTCGTCTGAGTTTCGGAAGTGCTACTGTTGATATCGGCACTTGCATGTGATGGGGGGTAGATAGCGTCCTTCCTCTTGTTCGGTCTCGTGATTGATGAGGCTGTCTCTCCGGGCTGCTACTTGGCCCCCAGCCATCATTTTGGGCCGCGAATCTTTGCGTCAGGTTTACAGTTGACCGAAGCTCAGCTCCTTGGACCGGAAGATGTTCTGATTCATGAGAAGCAGTGTTCCAAAGTCCAGCTAACCCTAATACTCCCTCAGGCTCTACAGGCTCGTCCACTGGGTCGTTGACCGCTTCAAGACCCAAATCCTTCGGCGAAGGAGTTCTTGGACCTGAGTACGGAGGAAAAGTCTCTAATTGAGGCTGCATTTGCGCTAGCCCAGTGTTCGCCATGCCATCTGCACGCTGTGCTGGTGCTGGATGTGGTTCTACTCTATCCAAGTCCTCTGTTTCACGGTGCTCATGCGTCCTCGAGGGACCACGACGCGCCTCACTAGGGACTTTCAGCGGAGTTTGCGGCGATTCGATCGATGTAGGGTGTTCCCCAACAGTTTTCCGGTTCGTCGCTGAAGTACTACTCTCTGGCTGTGGAGTACGCGGTGCAGGCAAGACCTTGTCCTGGTCGCTCGACTGGTTGCGCCCTTCAGCTGCGTTGTTTTCTTGTACTACATGCTGGTTTGCCCCATCCAAAGATTGTCTCGCATTTTTCCCGTGCGCGGTCGAATTTTGCCGGGTAGTAACACCCTGTGCCGAATTTTGCTCCTGCACGGTCGAGAGTTGACGAGTGGTAGCACTTTGTTCCACATTTTGCTGCTGCACATTTCGGGGTCTGTGGGTGGCATCACCATTTTCCGTCTTTTGCTCCTGCAGGATCGAGGCTGCGTCAGTGGTAATACCAGACTGTTCAGCCCGAGGGCTGTCCAGATTTTGCAAGGTGGTATTCTCAGTGCACGGGGGATTATAGTGCTCCTGGCATCCCCCGTTACAGCAACAAAAAAAAGTGCCACAAAGGTCGCAGAGGCTTTCACCTGCGTCCCTCATATATCTCCCTGCATCCTTGATATCGTCCCATCTATCCTCAACAAACTTTTTGCAGGCAAATCTCCAAGAGACACGGGCTCTCAAGAGACCTGGAGGTGCAACTGGATTACCCGAGGATGCCATTGCAATTCAAATTCTGTATAGAAAGTGGCAGGCTTCTTCTGATGGATTGATTCGGGCGGGTGGTTTGCTCGATGGTGGAATGGATAATGACTTCTCTCTGAATTATGTAATGTAGCAGAAGCTATACCTATACGTGGTATAATCATAAATTGGTTGATATGCTTGACTGATCGGAGTAAGATGCCTGACTTAGTGGTTTTGCTAATGAAAAGATGGAGAAGAAGTAGAAAGGGGTTTTGGTGACAGGTCCATTATACCCCGTCAAATTACGAGGAAGGCGCGACTACCCTGTCGCTGAGTCGACGACCGTAACATCATTAGCAAGAAGGAATGCTCAGCAGGGAGACCTAGGCTAGGAAAGATCAATTCTGGACATGCGTTAGTCTTATGAAGAAGCGATTCGTAGCCATTCACTTACATCATCGAGCCATGTCCAGGCTCACTGACGACCACAGCACCAGTCTCATCCATCCTCGCTCTTGTCATAGAGGGATCTCTTACTCTGTAATACTGCTCTTCCCATGCAGACTTTATACTCTCGACCTTATCCTTTGGAACCAGGTGGACAGTGCAACCTCCCCATCCTGCTCCAGTCAGTCTGCTACCATAAGCACCATGATCCTGTGCGATATCACAAAGTGAATCTATTTCCGGGCAACTACATTCGTAGAGGTTACGGCAAGACTCTTGCGTCTGGTTCATAAGCTTCCCAAGTTGCGGCAAGAGCGCCGGGTTATCTTTGTCTTTCAGAAGCGCCTTAAAGTCTAGGACTCTCAAAGCTTCTTGAAGAACGTGACTTGCACGGGCACCGAGATGAAAGTGCTTAGCTTGAACCGGAAACTTTGTCATATATCGTTGTTCGATGTCAGAGACGGTAGTATCCATGACAGACGCAATGTCCTCGCGAGTAAAATCTTGGGAATTAGTCAAATGCTTTGAAACGAGCTCAAGTACCCCTTTTACTCTCTCCTTCAGCTGCGCAGGATCTTGAGGAATAGTTTTAGCATCTTCAAAGGCCGACTGAAAGCCTCGAAGACTTCGTCCCAAAGGACCAGCATCGTCTGACACTTTGATGCTCTCCTTGGCTGCTAGGACTTCTGCAGCGAGTGTGCACTCAACGACGCGCAGATTATACTGATGAGGGGCTGTAACATGTTTGTCGGCCGTCACAAAGCTTTGTGCAATCATGAAAGTCATGGGAGGGTCTAGCTCTGGAAACTTGATGGTTTCGGCGTGAAGGTCTGGGAAGAACTCAACACTTACTGCGTCTCCTTTAATGGAGAAGACGGATGCCGCTTGATCCATGCCGCCTGAATTGACACCAACAGAGCGTTCCGACACTATAGCCAGCTGTACCAGGTCTTCCTTGACCACTTTTTCTTTGCCATTAGCGCGCAGCACAGCCAAGGCAGTTGCACAAACGAAAGCAGCACTGCTTGACAAACCTGCTCCTGCAGGCACTGATCCGTCAACTAGTACATGCATACCACGAGCATGGAAGTTCGGGTCAGATTTGCGAAGCAACTCTACGGCACCTCTGAAACCTGATTTGAAGTAGTTGGTCCATTGATGCGTTGAGGGATCAATCTCTATATTTCCTTCGGCGGAAATGTCAAATTGCTCTGTGTTGTACTTCTCGTCATTCACATTAGCGCAAATCACTTTTGCGCCCGCAATGTTTTCCTGTGCAACCGAGACTGCAATGAGCACATCTGCAGTGATGGCCATTGGCAAAACCTCGTACAGCGAATAGTCGATGTGTTCGCCAATGAGATTGACTCTGCCCGGACTCCTTGATACGAATTGAGCATTTTGCTGGTACCTGGCCTTGAAGGCCTGAAGCAGCCGTGAGAATCGATCGCGCTGCTTGGGCAAATCATCTTGGGGATACAGGTCGTTGATGTCCCTTATTACAGGAACTGGGCCGTCCATAATTCTCAAGCGAATGTCGAACGGTGGCGCCTGTCAGTTGACGTCTCTGGCTGAAAGGTTTGCCAAGTTTGGAAATGATGATGCCTGTGATGCAGATCTAGTATGTTAGCGAAGGGAAGAATGGATGTTCATTGGGACGGGATTCCAATGCTCAAGCCACACCGCAAATGAATCGTACAAGCTAGAGCGAGATAGGTAAGATCAAACGGTAAAATACCACGCCACGATTTCGTTAGTTCGATTTCCCCACAGCCGAAATCGGCATTAAGGTTGTTCACGCCCGTCACTTTTTTGGTGGGCACTGGGCAGTCAAATTCGTGTTCCAAGGGCAAATGAGAGTTGACTCATACCACCCATTTTCCCTGTACATTCGCAGAGCACACGATGCTCAAGCTCCCTCAGGCCAGAACGGCCGCACGTGCCTTCTGTTGCCCACAAAGATGCCGCACAACTCGCTGTCAACACTTCAGTACAACTTCCCCTGCTGCCGCCCTCTCCCCCTACCGCAAAGGCTCCAATCCATTGTCGCCAAAAGATGTCTCCAAGAGGGGGCAAAGCACAGCTGCTGCTCCTGTGCTGTAAGTTAAGGGTGAATAGACACGTACAATACAATGGGACTGATATGCTGCTCACAGCCAAGAACGCCCCACTCCCAGCCCAGCTTTCAACCAAGACAGTCGAAGAAATGATATATATCCTTTACGAAACACTCAGTCACCACAAATGGACGACTCGTGAGTGGACACCGGGCCAATTGCACACGACGGACAGGTTTCTGACCCACTGATGAGTAGATTTGTGGGTTTCAGTGGCGGCAAGATATTTGAGGAGATGATGTTACGACAAGGAGTCAAACACATCTGTAATTTCTGAGCTTACAACCCTTTTTCTCACATGAAGGCTAACAGACCATTAGTTGGCTACCCTGGGTGAGTTCGCCTCAAGCATCGATCATCTTCTCGATAATGCGCAAACCCATGAACAGCGGCATTGACTCCTCCCAGGGGTGCTATTCTTCCCGTCTTCGATGCTATCTACAATTCACCGCATTTCGAATTTATCTTACCGAAACATGAGCAAGGCGCAGGTCATATGGCCGAAGGATATGCACGCGCTTCCGGCAAACCAGGAGTAGTCTTAGTTACCTCCGGGCCAGGAGCAACAAATATGATAACCCCGATTCAAGACGCTTTAAGCGATGGGTAAACATGACTCCTATTCCATGGTCGGCAGTCATTGACGAAAGTAGCACACCTCTTGTTGTTTTCTGCGGTCAGGTACGTTACCACGAGTTACTATGTCAGTCATAACCAGCAGCTAATCAAAGCACAGGTTCCTACAACTGCTATCGTAAGTAGATATCCGGGAAGCAAGTACAGAAATAGATTGTCTAATCTTACATTTGCTCTAGGGCTCGGACGCTTTTCAAGAGGTATGACAGACAATTCTTCTTTTTCACTTTGCCCTTGAAAGACGTTGCTGACTCCAGGATCGCTGTCCAGGCTGATGTCGTCGGCATCAGCAGAGCTTGCACGAAGTGGAATACAATGGTCAAAGATGTCGCCGAACTACCAATGAAGATTAAAGAAGCTTTTGAGATCGCAGTATCAGGCCGACCAGGACCTGTGCTTGTAGGTTAGTGGATACCCGAGAATGCGACCCTATGAGTGGTAGAGTTGATAGTATGTACATTTTAGATCTTCCGAAAGATGTTACGGCAAGCATTTTGAGGCGGCCAATACCTACCGAAAGCACCTTACCGTCACATCCAAGCGCAGCCAGCCTTGCTGCTAGAGATCTAACCAAGAAGCAACTCGATGGTTCCATCAAGAGGGTCGCAAGGCTTGTGAATATGGCTAAGAAACCAGTCATTTACGCTGGCCAAGGTGTTTTAGCTCTGCCAGAGGGGCCAAAATTGCTCAAAGAATTTGCAGACAAAGCTAACATCCCAGTCACGACAACCGTGCAAGGCTTGGGAGGTTTCGATGAGCTTGATGAGAAATCTCTGTATATGCTTGGAATGCACGGTTCGTGTTCCGCGAACATGGCCATTCAGGAGGCAGATCTGGTGATTGCACTGGGCGCTCGTTTTGATGATCGTGTGACTGGTCTCATATCCAAATTTGCGCCTCAGGCCAAGCTGGCGGCTTCTGAAAAGCGTGGGTGAGTACTTCTTGAGACCTTCGATATGAACGAGACCAGCTAAGTCGGATTTCACTTAGTGGTATTGTGCACTTCGAAATCCTACCCAAAAATGTAAGTATTCGAGTTTCAATGTCAAGACCAAAGCTGACAAGAACAGATCAATAAAGTTGTTCAAGGTAAAATTTCTTTTTCTCAGACGACAGGTATCATATGTACAAGCTAATACTATATCAAAGCGAACGAAGCCGTCGAGGGCGACGTAGCTGCCAACCTCGCCCTTCTCCTCCCACAAATTCAGACCGTCTCCAGCAGACCTGAATGGTTTGCGCAGCTTGCCGACTGGAAAAAGCGCTTGCCCTTCAATTACGAGAAACAATCTCCCAACGGTCTTATAAAACCGCAAGCTGTAATCGAAAAGCTCTCAGACTTGACAGCTGACCGCAAAGATCGCACTATCATTACTACCGGTGTTGTAAGTTCCATCTACTGCTTTGGTGATTGCAAAATGGTTGAGACTCGAGCTAATGCCTTTTTAGGGCCAACATCAAATGTGGACTGCGCAGCACTTCCGATGGAGGTATCCACGAACAATGATCACTTCTGGTGGCTTAGGGACGATGGGATTTGGGCTTCCAGCGAGTCTGGGCGCCAAAGTTGCCAGGTATACTATCAATAAGTCATCTAATGCTGAGCCTTAGCTAACGCTCTCTTTCTCGACAGGCCTGAAGCGCTTGTCGTAGACATTGACGGAGGTAAGCAAAGCTCAGATATCGCTTGCCTTGAAGAGTAGAGTAACCGAAGACACCTAGACGCCTCATTCAACATGACCTTGACCGAGCTCTCCACAGCTCATCAATTCAATATCGGCGTCAAAATCATCATACTAAATAATGAGGAGCAGGGTATGGTGACGCGTAAGTCGCTCCATACCACCACCTCTGGACTCTGCTCATATAATCTCATCATAGAATGGCAAACCCTCTTCTACGAAGATCGCTTCGCACACACCCACCAAAAAAATCCAGACTTCGTAAAATTAGCAGAGGCAATGGGTGTCCAGGCCCAGCGCGTCGTCGCCCCCGCAGACGTAGAAGATAAGCTGAAATGGTTGATTGAAAGCGACGGCCCAGCGCTTCTGGAGGTCATTACTGATAAGAAGGTCCCTGTCCTCCCAATGGTTGAGGGTGGTAAGGCGCTGCATGAGTTCCGGGTTTACGATGAAGGTACGTCACCACCTCCAATTCAATTGATGATATATGCTCTTGGAAGGATGAGATGCTGATGTCCAGACTAGAAAAGGAGAAGGCCCGAAGAAACGATCTGAGAGCCAAGATCAAGAAGGATAAGGCGAACGAGGGACAGCACTGGACTTTTGACTGATGATCCTGGGATATGCGTCCCGTTGATATATATACACGGTTGTACAAGGGGCATTCATGAGGCGAATCAGGCGCCTTTCCGAGGACATTTTGGTTTGTACCAGGGGTCGGCGAAGGGGAAATTTGCATGAAAGATATCTCGAGATGTTGACCCAGCTAGCTCTCGATTTCAGGAAACAGATGTTACATATACTAGTAGTTGTGCGCAAAAAATAATTAAAAATTTCAAAGGTGATACCGTGAGTCAATATGTCGTGCCAATTGTCGGAACTTTCGCAACGTCTATGGCTGCTTTTCTGACGCATATAAAACAACAGCCTACAAGCAGTGCAGTGGTCTAAACTTGGAAAACAAGACGGTAGTATCAAGGGAAGAAGTTGATCACCTTTTATGCATTGTGTGATTCTGATGCTTAATCTACTGTACATTCCTCCCCACAATCCTACGTCTTTGCCTCAGTAACAACACCCTCGTATTCTCTACTCTTGATATAGTCAAGCGTCCTTTGGAAGTGTTTCCGCGGCGCCTCAAGACTAGACGTCTGTTCGTTCGTTTGCAGATTGGAGTGGATTAGCTCGATCAGGCCGTTGATGTATTTGGTCGTAACCTGTTTTGACCGGTGATGATTAGCACGGGGCTGGCAGAATGGGCAAAGATAGTGCATGAGAAGAAACAGAGGGCAAGAGGGGAAGATGAGATCTTAACTGACTGTCTCGTTCCCCTGATCAAAGTAATAGACGTATCGGTTTAGAATTTCGACAAAGAGCTCGACTGAGACGGCGGTATCCATGCATGCATCTGCGACTCGAAGGGCACGTTGAAGACACTCGAGGACTCGTTTACCGTCGCGGTAGAGCTAGTCAGTATCAGCAACATATTCTGACCAGATCGAATGGTGGAATGTGGAAATGACTTACGTTTTTGGCGTCTTCCTCGCCCTTCGCAGGGATCTCGACCGCCCACCATAGATGACTGGCTAGATAGACAGCGCGACATTGATCTGGTTTCTTGAGAAGCTTGCTGCCATGTAAGGCGCATTTCGTGATCAAAGTATCATAGTTCTCCTTGCTGAAGCCTCGTGTGCCATGTAGGGCGCCAGCTACGACGCACACAGCTTGAAATTGAGCCCTTGAATCTGATATCGATTCTTCGTAGATTGTGAAAGCTTGCGCGAAGAACTCGTAAGCCACTTCTTCGAGGCCACCTTGATCGGCTACCTGACCACAGGAAATAAAGAGCCGGAGACAGAGGTCTGCGGCACCATTGCGCGTGTAGAGGCCGGAGATCAGAGAGTGCATGAATTTATACAGGGCGGAGGATTGGGAAGACCAGTTGTCGTCAAAGTGTTCTCGGGCTTTATACTTGCGAGCCAGTTTGATTGAAGAGGTGATGAGGACGGGTGTGGTGTATTTGATTCGCTCGTTGCCGTCGGAGAAGGCTCTACGTGTGGTTTGAAGAAGTTGAAATTGGGTGTCGTTATTAGGGGATTGGATGAGGTGGACTATCCGCGCAACCCATCCTTGCTCTACGACTGTCTCGTCGGTCTCGGCACCTCGCCGTTGCGTAGGCACGCCGGGATAGCCAGCTGGTTGTTGCATGCCCTCCCTAATCAAGACTCTCAGGATCTCAAGAATGCCGTCAAGGTTCTCAGGGGTGGTTATCTGAGTTCGATTTCGGAGTACACTCTTGGCAACCTCACCAGCAACTGCTCTTCGAGTGCTATAAGTTTGTGCATGAAGTAATGGAACAAAGTTAGGTAAGGCTAGAGCGGTGAATAAAGAAAAGTAGGCTTTAATGGGCGCGTGTAGAAGAGCGAGGATGTTCTGCTGAGTATTTTGAGAGTGTAAGTCGGCGCTATTGGTATATTCAACGACCTTTTTATTAGCATATGCAAGGACTTGATCAACATATTCTGCAACTTCGTTAGTGTACGAAAGGGTTTCAAGAATTTGTCAAATTTACCTAATCGTTCGGGGTATATATTACTGAATTGTGGTTAGCAGATTGAGCAGACATCACAAGTCGGACTTACAGAGCAAGATTTGTTAATGATACAAGAAGTGCAATTGTGTCTTGGATATGTAACCTTTGCGCGTTGACAAGATGAATTACTTGATCGTAGAATATTTCGTAAAGCTTGACATTTTCTGGTATACCTCTTTTCCTTGAGCCACCTTTTTCATCGGCTCCAATACCATTTGATGGTCCAGCCTCTTCCTGCTGAGCTTGCTGGTCTTGAGATGGCTCAGAGGGATTGGATCCGTTGACGTTCTCCCCATTTGGCTGCTTGTTCACCAAATCCCCTCTTTTGCTTCGGCTTCTTTCTTCTCCTTAGATATCTTGAGCTTTTCAAACAGAGCCACGGTGGCGTCCTGTTCAGACTTTTGACGATCTTCTGGTGTTTCCGACTCAGCCTCTCGGGCTGCGTAAGCAGATAATCGGTCCATGAGTCCAATGACAATGGCTTTGATATTTACGTGTGGGTTGAGTTGGGCGATGGCGCCAAGTAGCTGATCAAGGGTGATGAGATGAAATTCATCTGGAAAGACTTGCGTGATGACTTGCGGAATGCTTTAGCTGCGGTTTTGTTCATTTCATAGTGATACGTACCTTCTAAGAGATATTCTTGTGCTAGCACATCCCTACAAGCTACTACCTGCTGTAGTATGGGTTGTAAGATGACCGTCTTATACGTCTCCAGGTCTACTAATTGGCTCAATCGTACTAGATTACTTCCTACTAGTAATTGTAGCTCTTGTCGCTCTTTCGTCCTTTGCTCTCTTTCTCTTGAGTGGCCCTGGTGTTGTAATCTGACCCATAATTTATTCATCTCCACAAAATTCGTTAAAATGAAGCTGATCGAGTCCTGCAGATTCCCCTCTGTGCCATCTCCTTCTCCTGTGGGCAACGAATCTCTTGCTTGCCCGCTGAGGTAGTAGCGCAGGAAGAGCCCCCGGACCGGGTGCTGTACACCTCTGCTCATTTCCATCATGTCTTTCATGATTTCCTTCACGGGTGCATCTTCGATACTCATATAGACAGTCCCAACAGTTACCATGAGGTATAGCCTAGGTATGATGTTGCCTGCATACTGTACAAGCTCATAAAGATCCGCTAAGTGGTTCACTGGATGAGCTTCGCGGAGGAATGCAGACAAGTGCCGGAGTGCATCGAACACAGCCATGTAGAGTTCGTAGTATTGTTTGGGGCCTAGGGAGGACGTCCGAAGTTCTGCAACCAGGGTAGAACTATTGATTCGATCAGCCACATCTTTGTCTTCTCTTAACAGACATAGAAACAATTAGTGCGAACCTGCATTTCAATGCATCCATGAGCTTGCCTGGAGTCTCCAGACATTTTCGCATCATGTGTGTCTGTTGGCGCACCACCAGCAAGGCATCTTCAAGAAGACGCCCTTGGTCCTCAACAGTAGGCGGTGAGCCCATTCGCTCGGACATATTGGGATTGCGATGCTTAGATCTGCTCTATACAACGCATTTCGATCACATTTGAAAATATACGACTTGGAAGGAAGCTCTCAAGCTATACTCACTCGCGGGGTGATTCCGAAGTTCCGACGGCGGTCTGCCCACATTTGCCCGCAGGCGCAAGAAAGAATGTTAAAGAGAGGAAAAATGAATAACGGCAATTCATTGGTGAAATCATTTAGGCATGATATTTTATTGATCATTCATTATATTGTCTAAAAGTTGTATCGATATCTTTCAGTTGCCGGAACACCTTCGCTGAAATCATAACGCTGAATCGCTGGATGTCTGAATTATGAAGTCTATGCACTGCATGACGAACTGCCTATTCCTCCATCGCTCACAGGCACGTTGATCGTTATCGTACAATCCGTAGTAGTAAAAAATTAGGGTATAGTGACTTTCCCCGCCTTCATTTTGGGCGACTGCTTTCACGATAGCGGGCCTGTCAAGCCAAGCTGAGGATGGATTCCTCTGAACAGGTACTGTTGATTGCCATCGTTGACAAAAGGTAGCACGTCATTACCACGACAGGCTTGTAGTGCTTGTTGAAGAATATGTCGAGCTGCTAGTGGAGGATGCATTCCAAGCCCGATAGGTGGTATGCCATTTGCCATCGTCGTAGCTTTGTGGCGAAGCTGGAATTTGAGTAATTGGAAGTATAGCTGAGGAGTTTGTGTAGGAGTTCTTGTTCCAGGAGATCACAGAGCTTGTTGGTGAGGAGGTGGCGGGACGTGGAGTGGTAGAAGACCTCGAAATTGATGACAATGTCGATGTAGGAGAAGTGATATAGCTTGACGTGTATACCGGCGTACTCGAGCTTGATACCGAAGTATATGGAGGCCGAGATGTCGAGGAGGGACAAATTATAGTTGAAGTCGTGACAACCTCCGTAGCGGTAGCTGTTTGCTTCGATGACGGTGTATCTGCGGCAACATTGACGATCTGGATCTTTGGTTTCGGTGGCTCCGCTGTCTCATGCACCTCTTGCGTCTTGACGACCTGTACTGTCTTCTCTGGACCCTCCTCTGTGACAACTTTGGTGGCTGTAATAGTCGGTGTTGTAGGTGGAGCTTGAGTTGCTGAAGTAGTCACTGTCGTGGTGTGATCTTGTGTTTGCGTAATCGTTGGGGATGATGAATCGTTGTCTCCTGTGTCGGTAGGCGCAGGATCGTTGCCTGACCCACCGTCAACTGCAACCACTGAGTATTTGGCACGAGGACGGATTGCTGGTTGGTTAGGTGTTAGGGGTAACGCATTCGAAAACAAGACCAACGAAGAGGTAGAAAGAAGGAGAAGAGGTAGTATCGAGCGCATGGCGGTCGATTGTGTTGTATGATGGACAAGAAAAATTGGAAATCAATGGAATTGAACCTCGAGGACGTGAGGTGGGATGGTCGCAGTGGTACGTGCAGATGCAAGCGTGGGGAATGAACAGCGAAGAAACCTTCCGTATACATCTTTCTAGCCAACTAACTAATGATAGAAACATGAGGGGCTGGTGATAGTACGTTGTGGTGGATTGCCGAGAAGGTGGTTGGGAACTTTGGGATGGCCGGTTGGAGGCTGGAGTTCGCGCTAGATTCTAGCGCAGATCTTCCTTATCTTATCTCGTCAATCTCGTCTCGCCCCGCCCTACGTATATCTCTTGGCATGACTTTTCCCTCACATTCTATGCACACTTTTGTATGCAGGCTCCGACAACTAAAAGACAAACCATGTCTAGAGTCACTCGTTGTCACCTTGATGCATAGTATTGGCGAGAAAACTCTCCTTCTGATGGGTCATGAGAGCCTTCATGCATAAACTGGGGTTCTCTTAACTCACAGACAACGAATGATGAATTTCCTGAAGCGATTGAGGTTCACGCAGGCTGATGACTTAATGCTTCGTCAGACGTGAGAAGCGGCATGAGACCGGTGTTCGAGAAACATAATTACCTGCGAAAATGAAGCTTTCTTACATTCAATTTCGCTTTCTCGACCCTATCTTGACCATCCAATCTACTTTAATCATTTCCCCATCATGTCTGCTATCCCAAAGGGATCGCTTGTCCTCGTCACTGGCGCAAATGGTCTCGTAGGTTCCCATGTTGTTGACCAGCTTCTCGCTGCTGGCTACAACGTCAGGGGCACTGTCCGAACAGAAAGCAAAGGCGCTTGGCTTAAGACTTACTGCGATGACAAGTATGGTGAAAATCGATTTCAAGTTGCACTTGTACCAGACATGGCTTCCAAAGGCGCTTTCAATGAGGCTATCAAAGGTTGAAACAGATCACATCTGTCAATATATTCATGTTGACCTATATCTCAGGCGCTTCTGGAGCTGTCCACGTTGCAACCAATTTCAGCTTCAACGATGACCCCAATAAAGTTTCAGTACATCTGACATGCAAAGAGACCCGTCTAACTCTCTCAAGGTAATTCCCGGGGTTGTTCAAGGCATCAGAGATGTGCTCGAGTCTGCACTATCCGAGCCGAGCGTGAAACGCTTCGTCTTCACCTCCTCCTCTACAGCAGCGACAAACCCCAAGCCAGACGTCTCCTTCTCCATCCCAGGAGACATGTGGAACGCCGAAACAGTAGAGCAAGCCTGGGCGCCTCCACCTTATACCCCTGATCGTAAGTGGGACGTATACGGCGCGAGCAAAACGCAAGCCGAACAGGAGCTCTGGAAGTTTGTCAATGACCACAAAAAGGACATTGGGTTCGTAGCTAATGCTATTCTGCCAAATGCGATGTTTGGACGTATCATCGATCCAACCAATCAGCCCGCCAGTACCGCTGGATGGATTACTGGGCTGTACTCCAATGGTTTCACCTATCAGCAAGATATCGCGCCTCGTAAGTGACCTCTAAACACCAGAGAGCGCATGACAGAGGGGTTCAAAAAAGCCGCCAGCCTGAATCAAGGACTGTGCGGCAATTTCACCCAAGTACTAATTCTCTCCCAAAAACAGAATACTTCATCAACGTCGCCGACTCCGCACGCCTCCATGTCGCCGCCCTGATCGACACCACGATCGCTAATGAGCGCATCTTTGGTTTCAATGGACCTTTCAATTGGAACGACATCCTTCGCGTTTTGCGAAAGCTTAGACCAAACCATAAGCTGCCCGAGGATCTTGAGGACAACAAGCAGGATCTGAGTAAGGTCTTGAAGAGGGGACGTGCGGAAGATATTCTGAAGAAACATTACGGTGTGGGTTTCACGTCGTTGGAAGAGACTTTGAAGGCAAATATTGCGCATCTGGAATGACTGAAAAGTGCCGTGGGGTAGGTCTATCGAAAAATGGCGGGTTGAGAAGTCCCCTCGTTTGGTAGTGTTGCGTTGGCTTGTGCTCTAGTAATTATGTTGAGAGTGTGCGACTAAGCACTAATGAGCAGTCAATCATCTCTCATGGTATTGCCTGATCATTACCGCGAACTGAGTATGCATGAATAGGATACCTTCTTAAGGTGTCGACACGTAAATCGACATGAGTTGTTCTTTGTCCTTGGGACTTAGAAGGGCCAAGCTCTTCGAGCACATCATTAATCGACGCATGGAATGTGTGGCTTTATTGACATAACAATACTTGGTATCTGCCTATGCCTGGGCCTGGTCGCTCCGCCATGCTCTGCACAACGTCCCCCTTTGCCCGTCTCCAAATCTCCAGAGTCGACTCTTCAAGCTCATATCACGAAGAGCCAATCACCCACTCGAGCCTCGGCATACCAATATTTCTTGACCCAGCGCTCCGGTTTGTTTGTACGCCAGGCCCGAACTATGTCATCTCAAAGGTAAACGTGCCAGAGCCTCTGACTTTCATCTGAAGAATCATGTATTGTAATCGTGGCATCTAAGATGAAGCATGTGCGGCTGCTTTGAAAAGGGGGCCGAGCTTGCCTAGGTCTGCTTTTTGGCGGAAGTGACAGTGAGGCCGGTCACCTATGGCGAGGGCGACTTGCTTCTCGTTGAAAGTATCTGGAGTGTCGGGGTAAGGTATTTGGTTCGTGATGTGTACGTTGCGGTCTTCAGGAGCAATGCCTTCTTAAATATCTGATTCGAAACCGTTGTCACTTTCGGTTTCATCACTTATGGTTTCATCGCGCATGAAGTACCAGTCGCCGTCGACTGTATTCATGCTGAAGTTACCTTTGGCCCAGACGAGGTTTGGCCACGATGGTTGCTTGCCTTGGCTATCTGGTCAGAAAAGCGATCGTGAGATCACGATGCTATCACCAAAGTCCAGGTGAGTTAGGTTTTCGGATTGTGAGATCGTATGGATAGCTAGGCTTAGATGGTCGGTCCTGGGGAGAGATGGTATAAGGACGCTTGAGGGGTTCGTCGCCTAGTTGGAGGGGGAAGTATTGAAAAGATTCAGTGTCACTCGTTTCAATGAGCCTAGAGGTATCATAAGCAAGGCTTCAGCGAAGTCTACAAGTATTGACAAATACTGTCAGCCATTCTTTTACGTTCAATCTTTTGAAAGTACACAAAAGCGACCTACTAAAGCACGTTTGCTGCTTCAATCGAAGATCCCTCTTCTCATTATCATTGAACTTCCAACGACATTTGTTCAAACGAGGGAATTTACTGGTGAGCATGGCGATTGACTGGAGCTCGATGTTACAAGTTCCCACTGATCTGAAGAAAGTAGATATCTGTGGTACATCCTGAATTCTCTCGATCGATTCAAGCTGCAAAGAGAAGACTTATGTCTGTGCTCGAAAAGATCGTGACGGCTTCCATATACTCGCTCATCGCGATCCTTGTGATGCTTCTCTAAACCTCGGTGGCGACAATCCATGGGAGAATAGCAGTCTCCTATACATAGAAGTAACGACTGGTGAGTGGCTACGTCGCTATTGTTCTCACCAGTCTTCGACTCATCATGCCAAGACCCAAGCAAAGCCAAAGGAGCTTTCATGGTCTTGGTAAACACTCTATTGTTAGATTACTTGTCGCTCTCAGTCTCAAACTTCGCACAAGCCTTGTCGGTATATGTAGGAAGGATGACATGAAAATGAAGCCACTTGAGCGATCCTCGGCCGTGATTGATCACAATGCTAGAAAAAGGGTCTATCTCTGCACTTTTGACTTCAGTTCGACGAAATGTACCGCATTCTATCGCATATTGCCATGATCGTGAGATAGTAGCGTAAGCTGGCAGCAGAGCCTGGCCTCATTCATCGATGTTAGCCTGGTCTTCGCGCTCCCAACGCGGTAAGTACGAAGCAGTGAGGATTATGATCTCTTGAGAGGGGTGGTTCATCCCTACAGACATTGTGTTGGTGGAAGATGATTTTGACCACGGAGAGCAAGGTCGTGTGAGCGAGCAATGCCTGAACGATAACTCATAGGACAAATGGACGCAGCTGTTCCGTAGCAAAGGGGATATCTATATAATATGGCCTAGTTGCTAGGAACTCAGATCCTTCGGTTCGATTGGTCACCACGCAACGAGGCACTATCGAATCGTTGACGCTGGGTTTCTGACTGACCTGCATGCGGGCTATCCGGGTTTCGGAGGTGTGTCGCATCTATAACGTTCGAATGCCAAGGTAAGTCGAAAGTATTGAGATAGGCATAGTCCTTTGATGGACTGGTTGCACAGCCTTGGGGCCGCGCTTCCAAGGGAGCGTTCCATTCCCCGGGCTGACGGCGGATGCATAGCCTTGTCCGTAGATGAGGAAGAGGAAATTTAACTATCTTTGCCCACAATGAAGTATCTACAAGACTCGAGGTTCATAGACTATTCGAAATATAAAAACCCAAAAAAAACAACCGGAAGCTCATTTGAATAGGGACGGGGCGCTTTAACTCCGCCTAGCCCCGTCAGCCTGGTACCTCACAGCGAGTCTTGCCTCCTAAAGCGTGCTAGCCTAGCAAGCTAGGCCAGAAAAGGCTTAGATGGCTTCGCGGCCTTTCCTTCTGAGCACGCCTGCTCCGGGAAGTCGTGTTTTTAAGATTTTCAGCTTCGTGTCCCATTGGTTTCGTTTGAAGTTGGTTCCCAACCACTTTTATATATAAAAATTTATATATATATATATATTTAGGATATAATATATTAAGATCTCACGCCGAGTTTTTTAAGATTTAAAAAAGATTAAAAGCTTTAAAAGTTACCGTTGATTTAAAAATTTTATATTAAAAAAAATAAAATTTGCTTTTTCATCGGAATTTTTTAAATTTTTAAAGAAATTTTTTTCCCTTAAGTAATTTATATATAAAATTAAAAGATCTTACCCCGAGTTATAGCCGTCCAATTGTAGAAAGAAAGTAGTATTTTTTTCTAAAAGGTTGAAGTTCAATGAATCTTCAACGCTAAGAGGCTTTTAGAATCAAAAATACTAGATTTTGGACTTTCCGGTGCAGACCCCCTGCGGGGGAAGCCTGGAAGGCCCCTATAAGGGCGCTAGTTCCCCCTAAGCAGGGGGTCTGAAAGCTTATGGAGACAAAGCGAGTCCTCGCAATCCAGACTGATGAAGTGGAAAGCAATTTCCCTATCCAATCCTGAACCGACATAGTTCCCATGACGAACTAAACAATGGATTTCGCACCCTACCAAGACACCGAGCCCGCATCCACACGCGCCCTCTCCCCTCCCCCGCAAGCCAGCCGTACCCTCTCGCCGCAACGAAAAGCACAATCCCCCAACCCGAACACAAGAAATACAGATCCTTTCGGCGCACAGTCTCTCCCACCACCGAGTTCCTTTAGTGACGACCGGAGAGGGGGTACTGGGTTCGGAAATCCGGCTTTAGAAAATGGCAGGCTAGACGTAAATCTGTTCGAGACGAGCCTGCCCTTGAGGCTGGACTATGAGGCTATGCTTGCGTATTTGGCTTTGCCGCCGGCGGGAGGAGTGTTCCTACTCGTGGTGGAACATAAGAGCGATTATGTGAGGTACGTGGATCAGCAAGAACTCAATCCGTTGTGACGGACCTGGGACCAGACCGCTTGTGCTTGTATTCTCGCTGCCTTTTGTTGCTATCCGATTTCCTTTTCGAAGACAGGAGCAGGGAGCCTGGACGTATGGGAAGGGAAAAACGCAAGGATGATGGCCGAAGGTATACAGCAGAAATCAGCTACGCGGAGACCACGTACAGATTGCACGCCGAAACGTTACCGGGAGCCAAAGTAGACTCCTCTATTGCTGCCCCTTCGACCGTGCTCCTAGTGTCACTTCAATTGTCTTCCCTTAGTCCTGAAACTTTCGATCAATCGTGCAATCCTTTCGAGTCATTCGTCTTGATGTTTTTTAAAGCGCGTCTCGAACCTCTACAGCCATGCTAATCGATGATTGATCTAGATTTCATGCGTGGCAATCGTCACTACTTTTCTCAGCCATCGTCGTAAGTAATAACCACGCGATCGATGAAGTCTGAGCTCCTAAAGAACGGTCAGGTCATCCATTTAATATTCTCGTGGTCAAGTCCACTATCTTGGTTGCTGTTTATGGTCGACATTGGATTGATAGCGTTCCTCACCTTTCGAGCATATAGCGACGGTAACTCAGCTCTTTCATCACCCCTAATTCGCTGCTGACGGCCATCAGCGGACGGTCTCGATAGGTTTGAAATCCCCTTCTTCGGCGGTTTAGCGAGTTCATTCGTCGACGCGGAGTAGGAATGTAAGTTTATTGGCTTGGGCAAGGAAGGGTAGTTGGGCCTGCTCTGTGTACTGTAATGAGTCACTTTTTGTCTTTAAAGATACCCAAATGGCATATGCCTCGCGCAGTTTCATCACAAATATGTCTACTCTATGATCCAAGCAATTACTATCCAACAAGTCAAGCATCGAATCTTCAGGTCAGCCCAATCGTCGAGTCAGCGTGACTCCCACGGCTTGAGAAACGCCAGAACAAAATTGCTAAAGATGAGATGGCACTTATGCCCATGAGATGAAGGTTGTAATGCTTAAAGAAAAGTTAGCAGTTGGCAGACCAGCAATAGGAGCTTTTCAAAGATGTCGCTTGGAAACATGCGAAGAGCATGCTTGCATTTTGATTAACCTAGACAGTAAATTTGCAGGGGCTCTCTGACGGCCTATCCGGCAGGAGACAGCATTGGCAAACAATTCTGTCGGCGAAAGCGACAGCGCAAACAACGATGCAGAAAATATCTGCTAATCTTCAATCTATATTTCTTAAACTATGGTACTTTGCATTATCTTCAGGGGTAGACAAAGGTTGTCTCTATCTTGTATTGTATGTAGGGGCGCGGTATTTCATTAATCTCATTCTAGTATTACTGCCGTGTCCTAGAATGCGAATTATAATATACGTTACTTTCAGACCTTAGCCAATTTGGAAATGCCAGATTCGCCAAGGCGTATCTGGAGGGAATCTTGTCGAGAACAGTTTACAAAATTAATGATGTTGCTTTACTTTATTCATTCACTGCTATTGCCACGAGCTTTCCTCTTCTGCACCCCATCACCCCTATCCTCTTCCAACCCAGTCCCAATGCCCGAATCTCTCCACGCGCTGCTCTGCTGCTGCGTCTTCAAAATCATCCTCGTCGTCTGCCCCAGCGGCAGTAACTTGTAGCGGCTTGCCCACAGTCTTCAAAGCCGCTTCGTCCTCTTCTCTCTTGATGCCTACCGCCGATATCGGGCCATCACTTGGCGGGTATCTCAGCGGTTTCTGCCTGCCTAGCGTAGGGAACGTCCTATGCGTCTCTGATGATTCGTCCAGTGCCTTGAACGTCTCCGATTCGGGCGTCGTTTCTTCTTCATTCTTGATCGATTTCTTCTCTCTTGCCCCACCACCACTGGTTTCAGCATCCATGTAGAGGGACAAGCCAAGCCATGCCACGCTCATTGAAAACATACTAGCCATCCAGAAGCCACTCGCGAAGACCAAAAAGCTCAAGATCCGGTGATTGTAAAGTATCCACCGTAAACCACTCAATCTTGCAATGATGACTACTTCGACGGAGTAGATTTGCATCTTCTCGTCTGCTTCCAGAGATACTGATGCTGCTTGAGGTACGTTGCCCACGCCTTTGGGAAACTCGACAGCCTCGAACATGGGAACTCTGAGGCTCTCGCTTTCCTTGCTAAAGCCGAAGACGTAGAGAGGGAGGAAGGAGAGCGTGCTTGCAGTACTTGTGATTTGGGAGACGTATGTGAGCGTTGCGGGACGGCGGGAGTAGGCAATTGTCTTATTTTGGTTGTCTAGCATGGGTAGTAACGCTGAATTTGATGAGGCTGTTGGAGAGGGCAGCAGTGAGAGGGAAAGCATGAAGTTGCCTGCGCGAAGGTTCGTGGGGCTGCGGGGTAGATGGAAGTGCAGGGAGATATCGTAAGCTTGATTTGAGACCAGGGCTGAAGGAAATTTCGTCAGGCCGAATGGATGGCCATCTCTGGAGTCATGTCAGTCATGGCTCGAAGAACATTGCTTGGGGAGTAGGGTAAATGAGCGTACCCGAATTGGAGGTGCACCACCCTTTCCACTCCTGGCTGAGGGACGTATGCATAGTAGAAAAGCCAGAAAGCTATGCTGGCTACCCCGAGTAGTAGAGTGGATGTAGCTGCAAGCAGACCGATGCTGAGATACGCTTTCTGCGCGGATTTGGAGAGGAATGGGCGAATTGGAACCAGGGCAGTGTCCTTGCTTTGTGAGACCCGCGTGCATTGAATACGGTAGGAAGAGGGGAGAAGTGACCCAACTTACGATCGTCTTGTCGAACAGCTCCGATACCCGAGACCTATTCCAAATATCCATGAGATACCTGCTTTCTTAGGTTGGGGGCAACGGTGGCACGTTGGCCGCCTTGCGTAACCACGCCCGAACGCGCTGGTCACGTGCTTCTACATGGCCAGGTCGCGAATGAGCAGAGGGAAGCAATTTTACTTTGTGATTGGGAAAAGAAGAGAAGGTTGTACCGAAGAGGCAATGATATATTATCCTATATTACAGTGAGGAAGGTGGTCATCTTCCTCGGCTACGTATGATACATTGTTATGACACCCTATCATGCTACCTTCAGCCGTTGCGTTAAGCCAGCCAGAAATGCTTTTGAGGATCGTCGTAACAAAGCAAGAGATATTGGAGGATTATGATTAGGTCAATCAAAAAGTCGTCAGTCCAAGTACTCCCGCCCACCCATGTCGAATTCGCCATCGCTAAGCCGATTAAAGCTGTGTCATGTGATAGCCTGCCTCCTTTTGCTGCTGTTCCTGTCTAGTATCGTTGCGGTCACGTAGCCATTGCGCCAAACCATGCTGGATGTATAGTTCGAAAAGAGTGGGAGGTCACTAGCTCAGAGGTACATTAGATACCGGGCATCTCAGTTGTGCTAAAAGAACCCGCTTGCGGGCCAGCGCTGCTCCCTCTCTTCGCCTTGTTTTAGTAGGTCGTCACATACGGCTTGCACCTGCAGTACTGAATTAGGATTTCCAACAAACGTGACATGTTTATCCAGACATACCTGCGGTGAGTCTTTCACCATGGGAAGGTGCCAAAAGTTGTATGCAGGATTCTTTAGCAGTTCTAGCATGACAACGAGTAGGCCCCACGGATGAGGTAAAACAGCGTGAAGTCGTTCGAGCAAGATGGTGACAATCTGCTCTCGTGTTTCGAAAGCGTCATGATTGGCGAACTCTGTACCGAAAAGATGTAGAAGGGCATAGGCGAAATAATGCGTATGGGCATTGGGCCAACGGAGCTGGTTGACCATGCTACACAATAACTGATAGCGAGCATCAGGACGCAGATCTCTGCACAGCTTTTGAAGTAGGGTTATCTGTGGAGAATCGCTGATGAAGTTCGAGCCACCCCTTTGAGATGCCGCGGTGATAGCAGTTTGAGCAATATAGAGAACTGCCCAATGAATCAGCTTCGCATCGACTTTCGTTTCAACGCTCGTATCGGTGAGAAAAGCGTCTTTGACACGAGCCACGTGTTCGGAATTGATGTTTCTGATTGCAGCGTCTAAATTGAACTGGAGCCTGTCTGTAATTTGTGGGGGACTCAGATTGGCAATAATCCGTGGTGACCTGCGAACTTCTTCAAGACGGTCAATCTTCAAGCCTACGACGAAAGGATTTGGAAGCTCGGGGAAAGAAGACGGATAGGCACTAAGCACAATGTTGAGTAGCTGCGTAGCGTGGCTGGGAAGAGCGTTGCAGAGCCGAAAATGTGTCTCCGCCAAAAATTCGGGGAAGTCGTGGTGCAAAATAAGCAATACTCGCAGGAAACCTCGGTATAAGTCCAGATACATGGATCCAAATTTCTCGGGCTGCATAAGGTGCGATATGTAGGATGAAGCCAGTTCCATTATCTTGGCGAATGCGTCGTATCCCTGTCCAGATTTAGCTAAAAATTTCGTGGAATCAGAACCGTTTGGACTGCTCACCTGGCCATCTGTGAGCTTCAACAAACTTGGCATGAAGAATCGATGCGAGATGAGTGCAAGCCAATGATGAATGAAGCCAGGAAAATGTCGAGGGCCCATTCTGAGAAAATGTTCAGCAAAGACCAAAAGCATTCTGTCGCTCTGTACAGAATTCTCCGGGAAAAATTCCTGCCAATAGCAGAGGATGCTGGAAAGCAAGCGGAAGAAAATGCGCTGAGTCGCATGTTCGCCTCGAGTTACTTGATGATGGTTCATGATCAGTGTGATGAGCGACAATGTAGTGTCCATGACGGCGTATTTGTTGGTTTTCGCAGAGCCGTTCAGGTCACCCTGGCTCTTCACCAAAATGACCGCAAACCGAGCAAGCGAGTCGACCTTGGTGAAGACATCATTGAACGTGATAGGCTGCGGGCGTGGACTTTGCGCCTTGTCAAAAGCCTCTATGACCTCGTCAATGCAGAACCTCAGGAAAACGATAAGAACCTCTGGATTCTGCGTTAACTGACGCACATGTCCCTGTAGCACAAAGGCTGTTAGAACTTTATCACTCGCAGCACCCGGATTGTTCTCGCATAAACGAATCCATTCCAAGAATACGTAGTGAGCCAGATTCTGTTTCACGAGTTCCGCACCATCAAGCACCCCGTCAACATCTTCGTCGCTCCCAATGCTGTTGATCTTTCTCCAAATGTCTGTTTTTGCGTCCATGCTCTTATCCACCAAGTACCATTCAGCAATAGCTGTGAAGCTTTTCGCAAAATCTGCACGTAGTGCGACAGGTCGAGAATCAAGTAGGACCTCGTTGATAATTCGAGACAAGGCGTCGACCGCAGCGTCTTCTTTTCGATTTATCAACAGTGCAAGAGATTCGTCTACTCTATCAAATTGCATGATCTCACTCTTCAGTAGCTCGATTGTGACGTCCGTCGCGAGAAGGTTGGCATCATTCTGATAGTACGCCCACTGAGCGACCTCTTTGGCTATCTCTGGGGATGTGTGGTAGAGCGTCGCTAGGAGATATACATATATTTGCGCTGCAGTTCGGCCGAGGGCAATCTCTCCATATAGATCTCTACAAAGTTTTTCAGCACACATTAGAGCGACTTTGTCATACGCGAGACAGAATTCTTTGACTTGCTCAAGCAGTTCGAATAGCGACGTCTCACGGCGAATGTCGTCCACAGAACGACCTTCGTTTTCCTTCATGATGCTGTCGATTTCTCGAAGTAGATCATTGACTCGACCCTCAACCATAGCAGGGTCAAGGTAGCCATTTGATTGAACCTGCATCACAGATGCCGGAAGTGGTGGGGGCAGCATGCGCCCACGTTGAGGCTGATATTGCTGATGTTGCATGACATGGTTAGGTATAGACATATTCTCTGTAGCTGCTGAGAGATGTGACATTGAGGAAAAGGTATCTTGGAGTATATCGGGTACTTGCCGACCGCTGTCCGCGGAAGATGATTGTGCATGGTTTGGTGGACCACGGGGTTGTCGACCAAATTCCGAGTAAATAGCCATCTGTTCTGGATTGAGTCCATTAGGCGTCTGCTTATATGGCTCAGCAATCTGCGTGCTCCAGCGATTGTGCGCAGGACCTATGTAAGGTTCGTTAGGGTGTTCGCTCCTCCATTGAATGCGAGCGGCTAATTCCCTTTGCACATGTTCTTCAATTTCAGGAATGGCTTGATCTGCAGCCTTGTTCTCGACGATTTCGCAAGCGATGTCCAGATTATCATTTACGCACATCAAGATTGTTCCTTCTGGGAATGCTTGCTCTGGGGAGTCTACCTGCGTTCTACGGATGTAGTTGCTCATGCTCTGTTTCAGCGGATCTTTACACGTGACAAGGGCGAGGTTTTGTGAGAGCTGTTTTGCCATTTGATGACAGGCATGCCGAAGTCTGTCTTCGTCCTCTTCGCAGGCAAAGTCTTTGGATATCAAATTGCTAGTAGCGATAGTAGCAATGGTGACCGATCGCTCTATTACAGATCCAATAATTTCGTAGATTGCGTGTGTGACGGCGTCAACAACTACTTGTCGCAGTCTCGTCTGGTTCGCTGTACTTCCGCTTGGGGGCGGGAATTTTAAAAGCTGTTCGAGATCTGGTAAATCGAGGTGCATTGCCTCCACCTCAAATTTTGGATTCTGTACACTCCCATTGATACCGCCAAGTGGAAGATTCTCGAAAGTCCTGATGCCATCTGGAAGCATATAATTCGTCTGATCGATGATATCGTATGGTCTTTCCATCAAGATTTTGGACGGTTCAACCACTTTGATATCTACGCCAAGCTCGTCACATAAAACTTCAATATCGAATTTCTGGTTTGTGGTTATGTTGACCTGGTGGTAGAATTCCACAAGTGCTGCTAGGATTTCGAGAACCCACGGGTTTGGGGGCTTGAAGATCGTAGAATGCTTTCCTTGAGCAAGAAAATTGCAAACAAAGGGTATCACAAGTAGGAGCTTCTCATACTGATAGCCCTCAACAAGTAAGTCGAGAAACGCAATGTTCTTACGTTTGACTGGTTTGTCTTGAGCTAACGTTAGAGAGCCTAACCAAATTGCTAAGCTCTTCAGGTTTTTACGTTCCGAGGCAGATTGAATTGTCGTATCAGCATTCATAAGGTGCTGGATGATCAGGTAGGTCGCGTGAAGCACTTGATTCCAAAGACCGCTACTGTCGAGAAGGTAGAGCACTTCGAGGTACAGTGGCTGGTAATTTGGTTCTACTTTGGCCCTTTCATTAACGAGGAAGTCTGCAAACCAGCCGTAGTGGTCGTCTCGCAGAACTCTCTTTAGCTGCTCAAATTTTGAGTCGAGATTTTGTTGAGACACATTGTTGAAGAAGAAGACAACCTTATCCTTGATTTCTTCGTCTGGCTCAGAGAAGCCAGGCGCAGGCCCGGAATTGATAGACTTGAGAAATGGGAAAGCAGCCACATGGCCATCCTCTTCCTCGTCCGTGTTAGCCAGCCCAGAGCTGTTCACGATGCCATCTGCACCATTAATTTCGCCATTCTCGAGTTGCACACCGTTCTGGGCGAGGGCATCGACAGCCATTGTATAAACTAGTGTACCAAAAAGACCAGGTACATGGGCTAGGGATTTGCAGTAATCCACCCAGTCAGGCTCCTGAAGTCGGCTTCGGAAGGTCTGCAATGCCTGCAGTCCAAATTTGAACATTGATGCGTCTTTGGGATAATCGCCCAAAGCGTCCAAAACCATCTCTCGGGCGACGCGAAGCGTCAAATCCGAGATAAGTCCAACTTCGATGATGCCTCCAAACAACAGCGCGGTCTTGGACAGCGGGTCCAGCGGATACTCGCTGAAACAAGAGTATTCGTCAAAGAGACCATGAATCATGCAGGCGAACAAGTCTCGCTTAGCAGAATCGTTCGAAGCTTTGCACTCTTGCAAGTACCTAATGACTTCTGTGACATCCAGCTCCTTGCCGTACATTCTTTTGTAAAGCTCTTGCATCTCTGCATCCGCAGTTCGTGGCATTGCGTTACTCTGCTTGCAATCCACATCAAGCCCATCGACAATGCCTTCGCAGAGTAGTATTAGCCTCGGATAGGCCTGCAAAAATGTCCTCTGAATACTTTTAAAGGCCACAGCATCTTGCATGTTCTCATGTAAGATGTCCAGCATATCGTATGCTGTGTGCATACCAAGGCTGACGGTGCGCGGCTCCAATTGCTCATCACGAGAAATGCGTAGCTCATCCTGGGCTTTGATGATACCGAATTTTGACAGAGCGTTAATGAAAGGTATTTTGTCGGAAGTGGCCATCTTGCGCTCAGCCCACTCTCGAAATGGTATGAGCCCATTCCTATGAGCTAACGCAGCTAAGTCAAAACCAAAGCTTGTTGTCATCGTGAGAAGCTCGTCCAACCAGCCCAAGTCTACGGAAATATCGAGCATTGTAGTGAGTTCTAAAGGATCTGCAATGTGAGCTTCTAGGAGAGCTCCTGCAACGGATTTCTTATCGTGCTTCCAGACGGTATGAAGAACATACGAATGTTCCGGTCGATCTCTCTTCAATAAGTAGGTCTGTAGGAACCTTCGAATGAGCTGTTGACAGAGCACCGTCGGCGGTTCGATAGCTGATGCAGAGCAAGACCATAATCCAATCTTCTCGCCAATGATTTCTTCCAAATTTAGAAGCTGCTGATCATCAGGTTCCACTGAATCTGGGAAGCACAAATCAAGCGGGGCAGTGATTGCATCCATGGATATTGTGATGTCTCGTTTGGCTACTTCTGCCACAGCCTCAACACCCTCTGGACCATCCAAAGAGCTCGTGGGGTCGTAAGCTGCTCTCAGGTTTGGTATTAATGATGCATCGATTTCTGCAGGCGAGCAGCGGTAGAGAGCAGACAATATCGCAAAGTGTGTATACTGAGACTCGTAAGGCCCGCGCCAAAGTGCTTGAAGATCGAGCTGGGTGTCGTTCTTAGCGATAGGGAGAAGAAGATTATACAATGAGAGAAAAGACGCCTCGGAGAATGGTAGATTAGCTCGGTCGAAGCCACGGATAATTTCCTGCCAATCTAGATGCACTGATGTCGCCCGAACAGCTGCAGCAAAGTTTGCAGGATCGTGAGGTAGCCAATCCGGAGATAATACCATATAGAGCAGAACACTGCTCACTTGTCTTTCGTCAAGATTCCAATCAACATGTTCCGCGAGAAATTTTTTTGATGTTTCTAGACTTTTGGTGAAATCGGGTCCAGCTTTTCGGACCTCAAGGTAGAGGCCCTGCTCAGTTTGATCTAGTTCCATGACGAATACAAGAGCTTGGATCGCCATTGGTGCCTGGACTTCCAACTTCGAATATCGGTGGTCGACGCAATACTTGACTTTGTTGTAATCATGTTGCGTAATAGAACCCTGAGGAGAATCGTGCAGGAATCTAAGAGCGCAAGTCGCCAGAAGTACTGGATCTACATCCGGGTCATCATTGTCAGCATTTGCAAGGGCTTTCGCAAGGTCGTCAGCAGTGTTGTTCAGCAGTATAGCTGCTTTAGTCTTCAGCTCTTGCTTTGTGACGCGAGTAAATGCGGAGAGCAATATTACTTTGGCGTAAGTGTGGAGCTTGAAGTGCCTAATGAAGATATCAAGATCAAAATCTCGAAACAATTCGCCTTCTGCCCCATCGATTGCCTCAGCGATTCTTGTGCCTTGTTCAGGGTCTTGAATTATCTTGTCTACCTCCCGTACTAAGATAGGGTAGTTTGCTGGGTTCTCGACATTGCGACTGATACCTGGAAAGATCTGTGGTGAGTTCCCACTTAATAATCTGCGGAAGTATTTTGGGAAATTTTCCATGCCGTTCGCTTCAACAAGCTAAAATTGTGTCAATTGTGTTGGGCAGTAAAATCACAGTGTGTAGACCATTGCATACCCTTCTGATGGCCTCTGCTTGCGTTTCCCACTTCGCTTTGCCCTCTTTCTCAGTTATCGAACCCAGCAGAAGGAAAATCTGAGTTGCAACGATCTTGGAGACCGAAGACTGTCCTGAGTTCGCAGAAGACGGCGCAGGTCCCGAATAAGAGGAGCGCTCGAAAGTAGTTGCAGTAGGGGACGTCAAGCTATATTGCGACAGGGGAGGAGAGAATGTCTGGCTCCTAGCGTAGCCTCCTCCACCGCCACTACTTGCGCCTCCTCCTACTTGAGACGCGGGGGTCGAAGCCGCGGCGGAGGACGCCGATTGTGGGTTTGATGCTGGCGTGATGGCTCTTGAACGTGGTGAGAGAAGAGAGTGTGTAGGTTGCCCTTGTTGAGATCCAGCTTGAATGCTTGGAAAGGGTGATGTCGAGAAGGAGGACGAGTGACTGCTGCGGCTACCGTTTTTATGTGTTGAAGAGTTGACAACAGACGAGAATGTAGAAGTGAATGGTGAGGGCGAAGATGTGTTCTTCCCACGACCAGGCTCAGTGGCAGAGGATTCAAGGCCTGTTGAGAGAGGGGTGAGGCCACGCCGAGTTGAAGCACCTGGGGCAGGCTGGCCCCAGGCTGACGGCTGTGTTCTCACCAGCCGTGCGCCAGACGTCTGGTTGGGACTAGATATATTGGCGTTCTGCGTCGTCGATTGTGGGGGATTGAAGTTCATGTAGGATAGCCGATCATTGGTACAACGTGGAGGGGGAGTTCAGAAAGGTCAGCGCTCGGACATTCTCTTATATCTGATGGTGAATGATCAGACTCGAGGTGAGCGGAGGACCTGTGTTAATAGGCTGTAACAGAGACGAGTTTAGTGAATGCAAACACAGCTTGTACAATTGAGCCCTCTAACTCTTCTTAGCTCCGCCTGTGCCTATAGCGCTAGGGCGGCTATTAAATGCTTGGCACTGTCTCCCTGCCAACAACTAGCGCGGAGAGGAATCGAGCGACAATCAAAGAAGGCAAGCGTCGCCTCATGGGCATTGCAAAAACTTCATGAAATTAGACCCCTATGGCTCGCGAATCAGCAATACCGAGACTTTAGAACATTCTACTTCTCTCTTTCATCTTTGTTTGCAGGCTCCGTCGAGCGACTGACGGGCGCAATGCCCGGCGCCATAATAGATGGTCCAGCTGTGTCTATGTCTTGTGAGTGAAGCTCCAGTGCTTCGGTCAACATCCTTCGACCTGACAAACGCCGTGTAGTTGCGAACAACTTCTGGGGCAGGGAAGATGCGGGAGTTCAGCCCCTGCTAGAACGCATGCAGAATGCAAAAGTGACTTGTGATGAACTCAAAGTCTTTTACAATTGTACGTAGCAAATGAGGGCTGGAGCAAGCTGCGTCACTAATCAGTAAACAGCGCGCGCTTCTATTGAAGATGAATATGCGCGGAAAATGATCGCGCTATGTCGTAAACCCCTAGGTTCTTCAGAGTCTGGAACTTTACGAGCATCGCTCGACATCATGAGGGGGGAGGTAGAGTCTATGGGCAAAGCACATCAAGGCATCGCTGGGCAGATGAAAAGTGAGCTTGAAGAGCCCCTGGCAGCTTTCGCGGGAGGAATGAAGGAGAGGCGGAAGATCGTGCAGGCCGGCGCCGAAAAGTTGTTTAAGATTAAGCAGCAGCAGACACAGGCTGCAAACAAGGTGCGGATTCCATCGTGGTCCGAAAATAATTCGCTTACATCTGAGAAAGTCACGCGACAAATACGAGCAGGATTGTCTAAAGATTAAGGGCTATCTGGCGCAAGGGCATATGGTCATGGGTCAAGAAGAGCGAAAGAACAAAGCGAAGATGGAGAAGACACAAATACAGCTTGCATCTACAGGCAACGAGTACGAAGCTGCGATCAAAGTCCTCGAAGAAACAACTGGAAGGTGGAACAGAGAATGGAAGGCAGCTTGCGATGTATGGGCCATTCCACTGACCCTTAGAGTCCATTGCTGATACTTCCAAGAAATTTCAAGACCTGGAGGAGGAGCGGTTAGACTTCATGAAAAGTAGCCTGTGGACCTTCGCCAATATTGCCTCAACTGTGTGCGTGAGTGACGATGCGGTAAGTGATCGATGCGTTGTTGTAAAAGCCTAGCTAAACTTAGAAGTCCTGTGAGAAAATACGTCTATCACTTGAAAATTGTGAGGTCGAAAAGGATATTTCGATTTTCATCCAAGAGAGAGGCACAGGACAAGAGATTCCAGATCCTCCGAAGTACATCGACTTCTGTAGGGGAGATGCCGAGGACAATGCATCAGCACACTCGGACGATGACTACTCCGTCGCGCAATTTCAGCGTACAATCAATCCAGCATTCCGGACTTCCTCTCCGCAGCCTTCTACTTTCGAATCACATCATGATCCTGGATCTGATCTGGCAGCTAGAATGGGGCACGAAGGAAAACTGCCACCGCAAAAACGTGATGTGACATTAACACCTCAAAGCAATCGAAATGGCCAACACGTGATTGCGCAACAATCAAATTTGGGTGGTCAGCCGCCTGTTCAAAGTGACATTCAAGACTTTGCTGCTGTTCCTCACAATGAGTATCCAACCGATGGAATGACAATGTTTTGTCGTACGGCACCACCGTCAGACCGAAGCTCTGCTACCAGCCCAAATCGCCCTTCAAGTAGAGACTCGCAAAGTGAATACTCAAATCCAACATCATTTTCGAGCGTAGAACCTACAAGCGGTTCACAGTCACCCATCAAGGGAGAATATGGACAGGGAGCTCCAGGCAACCTGCCGAACAAAGCAGTCCAGAAAAAGAGAAGTGGATTCTTCAGCAACAGCCCATTCAGGAGGAAGAGTAAGCACGAAAAAGGAGCTCCTTCGCTTACAACTCCTACTTCTCGTAGTAATTGGCGATCTTCCAACGATAAGCAAGGAGAAGTGAACAGACCGAGTTTTACCACTCATGGTGGCCAGGACAGAAATATAAGAGATGCCAACTCCGGCACTCCGGAACCAGTGGATCCTCGGGCTCAGTTTCAGCTCAACGTAGGCAACAACGTGTTTGATGTTGCCTCGCCGGACTCGAAGGGCACCAAGTCCGCAATCAAGGGCTTGAACAGGGCGTCTAAAGGCTTAGATCCAATTGCTGCGGCTTTAGAAGAGCTTAAGGGGGTTAACAAACAATCTTCAGTTCGTATGTCAGCAGACCGTTATGCGGGCGTGGCAACGCCAGGTCCAGCAAGCGTTGCCAGTACCCAACATAACGAACCATCTGCTGCTCGCCGCAAAACTCCCCCTCCATCTTATGATCAGCCAACGAGCCGGCTCGGTGCACCCAAGCCTGCCTTTACTTCAGCCCAAATGCAACAGACTACGCGTAAGTATGTAAACCAAGGCCAAGACATATACGGAGCGTCGCGCGGGAACGCACGCGAAAAGGCTAGAGACATCCCGCGAGCCACTTCACCTCGTCCCATGCGGAGCACCAGTCCCCGCCCTCCTTATCAAGGGCGTGAGAACACAGGACTCCCTCGGTCTGCAAGCCCGAACCCTTACGGTGGATCAAAAACGAGACAGACACCCAACACCAGTCCAAGTAAGGGAAGCTATTCAGCGCATGGCTCACCCAATGATCGTGGTAGGGTACCTTCACCGCAACCACAATTTGCAAGACAAGACCGGCCGCACAGTAGTGGCAACATGGCTGTGCAGCTAGCCGATGGTGCACAGCAGGGTAGAAGGGGCAACAACGACAGACCGATGAGCTACTATGGCGGACAGCGCGGGCCACAGCCAGGCGCATATCCGTCTATGGAGCGTCCAAGAGCGAAGAGCGCAGCTGATGGGAGAAACTTCACGGCCGAAGGCAAGCCGATCTTGCAGATGGGTGAGTATTCTTTCAATCCCATTTTACATGCTTACCTAACATCGCTTCTTAGCTCGAGCGCTTTACATGTATCGCGCCGCGATACCAGAAGAATTGTCGTTTGGCAAGGGAGACATGCTGGCTGTGACAAGATATCAAGACGATGGATGGTGGGAGGCTGCAGTAAGTGGGAAGAATGGAAGGCCAGGTTTAGTGCCAAGTAATTATTTGCAACCTTGTTAGTATGTTGTCGTCGATTGTATATGGGGTATTTGCGGAAAGCTGGGATGGACATTAGCGTTCTATAGTATATTGCTTTACTCATGTCGACTACAGTTCGATCCTTAGTCGCGACTCCGCGAGCGAGGTGTTTGCCGACGGTCTTGTATGAATAGTCATGAGTTGTTGAAGGGAATGTAGTCAGGCGCAGTTTTTGCGGGCGTCGCTTTCTGTTTAGCCGTACTAACTGCGATATCATACAAGAACAGTCCGTGAACTGGAGTCCTTCTTTTGGCCCTTCTTTCCCTTCACTTTCCAAGTCTTCCAGTCCTAGACCTTGCAATGGTCAGTGTCGGTCTCTAGATTGGTCCGGTTTCACTTCTAAAGTCAATATGTGACGGTCCATCTCTGCGCATATGCCGCATGCGCCTGAGATAATGACTAAAACACGGCGACGGAACGGTCAGACTAATATGGCTGTGCCAGAGGACGAAGAGTCTCTACTTCCATCAAGTCATTCGTATCCAGGTGGGTTGAAAAAGGGGGCGGTCATGGTAAAGCTTCCGATAATTCAGGGCAACAAGACCCCGGCAAAGCAGTTTTGACGGCATTGATCATGGTTCTGGTGTTCCTTTGCGGGCTTATTTATTATCTGTTGTATGTCTAGTTCCTGGAACATGATGTAATTTCTCACTCAGTGGCTTTCAGTCTTTACAGTCCACATGGAGGCCATGCTCTGCCAACTGCTTCTCCGTGTGATACAGTTTCTCAAGGATATCAATGCGCGACTGCGATATCACACAGCTGGGGTCAATACTCTCCATACTATCTTGTTCCATCTGAACATTCTGATAGCCTTCCGTCAAGCTGTCAAGTGATTTTTGCACATCTGCTGTCAAGACACGGTGCTAGATCCCCTACAACTTATAAAGCTGGAGTGTACAATGAAACCCTTGTTAGACTGCGTTCAGGCGCACATAATCTCACTGGACCCTACGCTTTTCTCGGAGATTATGACTATGACCTTGGAACTGAGGAACTAACGCTCATGGGAGAACAGGAGCTAATCCACTCGGGCATCGACTTCTTCACCCGGTACGAGGCTCTAGCTACAGCTGACACACCTTTCATCCGTGCTGGTGACCAGAATCGCGTCGTAGAGTCTGCACGTAAATGGGCCGAAGGCTTTCATAAAGCTAAAGTCGCCAGTGGAGCTATCAAGAACCTCGACTACCCATACGGTATCATTGAGATCTCCGAAGCCGAGGGGATGAACAACACGCTCAATCATGGTCTTTGCGCCGCCTTTGAGGCCAACAAGACAGGTCTCGCCGCACAAGCCGAGTTCGGAGCAACCTTTCTACCAGAAATTTCAGCCCGCTTGAAGCGCGATATAGGCACTTCAGACTTAACAGACACAGATACCCTCTCGCTGATGGATCTTTGCCCTTACACTGTTGTGGCGGAAACTTCCTTTTCCTCCTCATCCATAAGGGGAGTCAAACGCTCTATCTCAGGTGCCAACCCCCAAGCCAACCCTTTCTGCGCCCTTTTCAATCTTCCTGAATGGGAAAGTTATGACTACTATCAATCTCTTGGGAAATACTATGGCTATGGCGCCGGTTCCGATTTGGGTCCTACCCAGGGCGTCGGTTTCGTCAACGAGCTTATTGCTCGTCTAACCTCAAAATCTGTGCAGGATAGTACGAGCGTCAATCATACTCTAGATTCTAACCCTAAGATGTTCCCTCTTGGGAAATCGCTGTACGCAGATTTCAGTCACGATAACGACATGACAGCAGTCTTCTTCGCTTTGGGGCTGTTTGAAGGGATGCCGCAATTGAGGAAGGATAGAATCATGAGTGTGGAGGAGATGGAGGGATATACGGCAAGTAGAACTGTGCCGTTTGGTGGAAGAATGGTGGTAGAGAAGATGACTTGTGAGGGCGAGAAGGAAGAGATGATAAGAGTGATTATGAATGGGAAGGTCATGCCGCTAGTATCATGTAGTGGAGATGAGTTCGGAAGGTGTGGACTTGGAGCTTTTGTGGAGAGTCTAGGCTTTGCAAAAGGTGGAGGAAGGTGGGACGATTGCTTCACTGAGTCTGTGCGGACAACGACGATAAGGAAACCAGGTTTGGATGAGACAGCATTGGCGTCGGCGCTGTAGAGGAGGAGATTTTCACTTGATACCCATGTTTTGGTGGAAGGTCTGCCAGGTGATTGAGGCATAATTAGGCAAGGCAAAAGGGGTGTCATTGAACCGCGTGATGAGCGTTGCAAACCAATGTATAACATAGGCTGGCGTGGCCAATGTATTGTTGATCGGATATCTTGGACGAGTCATGCCTGTACTGTATCAAGATAGCGAGAGGAATTGGAAAACTACTGGCAGTGGCATTCATAAACCTTTCCCGAGAAGGGATCACATCATTCGAGAGAATTCATCAACAGAGCATGTAGTGGAGCCAACCCTCCACCTGTAGAAGATTGCTGTGTTTTTTCGCGTGCCTTCATATCGTGATTGAGCAGAATGTAAAGAAGAGATCCCTCAAACAAGCTACAGGACTTCAAATTGCTCGAGAGCTGCACGCTATGCAATATCGCAAGCTCATTACGCTCACGCCTCAACACACATCAATTAATCACACCTCAAACGTTTCCTCTCCACCGCTATGTGGAGAGATCACGCGCACTAAGAAGCCTTCGTTTTCTTCTGATCATAATTCGCAATTTTCCGGTGTCGATGAATCTGCGCGTGTTTGTATTTCGCATAGAGCAGTAACGAATCCTTTAGCACAACGAAAAGACAGCCGCCTGCAACACTGCGTCCAAATTGTGATTGCAGAAATCCTGATGGCCAGTCTGTTGCCCTATAAGTCCAATATGGCGGAGGGAAGACCCATTTCTCCGGTAGGACCTGCTTGAGAATCATCCCAACGCCTGAAGAGACGAAGGGAAAGAGGAGGGCGCTCATGGCTCGCTCCAAGACGACGTTCATGATGATTGGAGCTGCCTGGGCAAGATTTGCGACAACATTCTGATTTTGATTTTGGTTTTGTGCTGGCTGCGCAGCGGGCTGATCGCCTCCTTGCTGCTCGTTTTGGCCAGGCTGCTCAGGTTGAGGTGCCTGCTCAACCTCACCTTCAACCTCTTCCTCCACCTCCACTTGAATGCCTACTTCGAAATTTGCTTCCCCATCACCCCCGCCAACGTTCATCATCAGCCCTTGATTGGCGTCTTCGTTGCCTGCCGCACCTTCCACACCATCATCTTGTCGAGGCTGCACCTGTTTTACCCACACTTTCTCCCTCTCCCTAAAGAAATACGCGTAGGTATAATTGTACGCGGTGCGAACGAAAGGCAAGGCCAACAGGGTCATCGTTGCACTCGGAGGCCATAAAGGCGCGTTCCTGTAAGGTTTGTACGTAACAAAGTAAACGAGCGGAAGGATAGGAAAATAATTGTCGCCGTAATTGACTCTCGATAATAGCAGTGATACTGGAATGAAGGGTACTGAGAAATCGAGACCACTATTATTCAGATCCTGTAACAATATTCGCGCATCGCGATCGCCGAATATGGCGTAGATAGTGTAAGACCCGTGAGCATAGCATGCGAGCGTGACTCCTGCGAACAGGGACAGAGCTGAGATAGGTAGGACCAACTTCGACTTGGTCCGAAGCATTGCCCGAACGGCATTGAAGACCAGGCTCCGAGGGCGTATCACTTTGATCGGGGTCTTGCATTGCGGGCATTCCACTTTCGATTTTGATTTTTCGACTTCTGAGACCCAATCCAAGAGACACTCCTCATGCGCTTGCAAATGGCACACACACGGCTTCCTCCATCTTGAAGATTCAGATGTATCTTCAGCTTCTGTTTGCAGGCATATCCAGCATTTCTTCGGGTCGGGACTGGAAGGCGCCCTCTGCGGTTTCGCAGGCCTCTGATGAGGACTCTTAGGGGTGGATGGGGCTTTTGAATATTCTTCAGAGGAAGGTTTATGTAAGAGCACAGTCTGAGAGTCTTCTGAGGTTGTCGATTGTGTTACACTGTTTCTGCGAAGGGGATCTTCAGAGGTGGAAGCCTGGCGATCTGACTGCTCACGCGGTTGGGCTCCTGATTGATCTGGAGACTGATGGGGCATGGAGGCCATGGTTGACGGCGATCTAGGTCTTCGATGTGTGTCACTTTGCGATTGCAGCAACAGAGGTGCGTGCGCAGGAAAGACAGGAGTCTCTGGGAGCCCAAAGGGCCACATGCAGTGTTCGGGCTGATTACATAAGCGTGAATAATTGAGCTCACACGTGAGCAGGCAACATTGACGTGTTACCCCTGAATCCAGATTCACAAGCTCGACAAAGGCTTAATGATTGACTGTGAATTTCTGCATCTTTTCTTAAAAGGAAGTGTTACCTCCTTCAACATCGATTCATAATTGGATATCATGGTGGCTCGTGGGAAATTGAAGACATATCGATTTCGACAGCGTCATGACTCAATACCTGTATGCTGTCCTGCTTGGGGTAATGTAAAGGTAGACAGCCTTCAAAGTAATCATTGTCCTTAGTAGGTACTTACTGTTAGAGTTACGGCTCGCCGCACATGAGGCTTCAGCCACACATCTACCTTTAGTATCACAAGCCTGAGCTTAGTGCACTAGTCATAGAGAACTCCAGGCCAGTATGATAGATTCAGTACCAACAAGAAAGTCACGTAGACAGCGTGTTCCAAACAAAAAGTACCTTGACGAAGATATCGAAACCCTCAACCAAGTGTTGAGTTCAGACTCGGATGAGGCGGCAGAGATTGCACAGAGCAGTCTGAACGCTGCTCGGGGAGACATTGACTTCAACACCACTGCTCACGATTCTCCGTCCGATACGGACACCTCCGGCAGCAGCGTTGCAAGTTCAGCTGTTCATACTCCGGTCGAAGAGTATGAAGACGCGGAGTCATATGCTAGCGACTCCGATCATGAAGGGCCATTGCCTCGTTTTGATCTACCCTCGGCCAGATTCAAGCCCAAGCAACGATGGGAACGTCAACCATCTAATGTTCGTTCACGAGGCATTGAATACAATCTATCTGACCAAGCCAAGAAAAGCCGGCTTCCCTTGTTGAGTGGGCCTGGGAACGACTTTGTAGCACAGGTAGCTAACGCCGCAGATCTCTGGGGTAATGATGTTACTTTACCAAGGAAGAGCGACCTCCGACAAGCTTCCTCGCTAACAGCTGTCCCGATTCAGAACGAGGGTATGGATGAATGGAGATGGTACTACGAACTTGGTGGCAGAGACGTGTTTGCACAGCGGCAAAAGTCAGATGTGTTCAGTTTGAATGACAGAAAATACCTGCCTCAGCGCGGTGAATCCAGGCTAGATGTACTACTAGGACCCTACGGACGACAACGGATGTTTTCGATAAACACTTTACAATTGCTCGACATTGGCGAGGCCTGGGATCAAGCCACTCACAGTGGGATTGAAGGTAATCTGCAGACCTTATACCAACAGCAAGGACGAGGCTGGTTACTGAATGCAGGCGGCCGAGTGCGAAGCATGGATTGGGCACCTAACCATGAGGCCAGCGCTCAATACCTTGCTATGTCGACCAAAGATTGCCGCTCAGAAGGCATGCCAAAGGAGCCACCATCATTCTCAGCGGCCGCCAGAACTCGTTCTTGCATTCAGATATGGGCATTTGACAGGCAATCGATCCCTAGCCAGCCGGGAATTTTGGCATCAGCATGCTATGAACCAAAACTTGCCCAACTTTTGTGTCACGACTGGGGCGACGCAAAGCAACTGAAATGGTGCCCAGTGCCTCGCAAATTCAGCGACGAGGATAGAATTAGACAAAATCCAGTAGGTCTACTTGGCGGTGTATTTGACGACGGCTGCACGCGAGTGATAGACGTTGCGCTGGATGCGCGTAGCACTGACCCTCTCATTCATCGTGAGTTTCAAGCACCGGTCAAGCGAAAGTCTTAGCTGACAATAAGGGTTCCAAATAGTACAGCTCAGCTCTGCCGCTGTGACCATCCGACCGTTAGGTGAAAGCATCTGTACATGTCTCTGTTGGTTGTCAAGCTTGGAGATCGCCATCGGCCATTCCAACGGCTTCCTCGCTATATATTCTATCAAGCCGGAAGCAAAACCGCCAGCGACAATGTCAAGTTCATCCGAGACCATGTCATCGGGCAGAACTGAGTATTATCGCCCGTTACTGATCACCCACTTACATCAGGGTTATATCTTGTCTGTTGCATGTGCCTATCCTTTGTCTTCCTTGTTATTAGCCTCGACTACGATCTCAGGCTATTGCCGCCTTACTCAACTCACCTCACCCGGACAATCATACGCAGAAACGCGGCGGATGAACTTAGTGCCTGTCAACATGACGTATCATCGTGCTCTCTTGGGTTTTGTATATCCTGATGATGCAAGGGAGCAAATTTGCTACACCCCTATACGAAATTTTGGTACCACCATTGGTGTAGCTGAGGCGACCGCTCAGGGTGGTGTAACAACAATCGATGCAGGCACAACACATGCTGCAGTGGCATTTGGGAGCGCAGACGGGAAAGTGACTGTTTTTAATCCGATCAGAAAGATTCTGAAGAGAAGAGAGCATGCATGGCAGCAGATAGTCTTCAGGCATGAATGGGCTCCTAAGCCACAAAGCAGTCTCCCCAGCAGTCACACAAATAATGAGCAAGAGAGGGCGAGACTGAAGCCTAGACGAGGCACTTCCCGCATCACTGAGGGGTACAAAGCTGAGATTGCCTCAACTCAAATCACCAAAGCTAGGGCAACTAGCGGAGGTCCCCCTAGCGTTTTAGTGACTGTGTTTGAAGACGAACAAGCTGTGACGTTCGTCTGCTGGAACCCAAATCAGACTTGCGGTGGCTGGCTGGCTGCTGCTTGGGGGAATGGGTTGGTAAGGGTCCAGGATCTTGCAATATAGCATATATTGCACACTACTATCACATATCATCAGATATCATACGGACGTGGATAGGCATTCATATGCTTGAAAAGGTCCGATGAGTTTCACTTGCAGGTCAAGATGACTTTCCAAATTCGAAGACTCCAAGATTGCAGCTAAGTCCTATGATTTGCCATCAGCTTAGTTCCACTCTTGGAAACTTCAAGACGAAGAACATTGGGATACGTTTTGAGCGATCTCCATATCCAACAGACGATTCTTCATTCACATCTATAACGAAGCGACGTGCCAAGTATCAACAATGTGGGGGATTTCTTTAGGACATTCGGGTCAGATTGTGGGAGGATGATGACATTGCCACGGGAGAAGAGTATCTTGTCATCACAAACGATCCAGCCTCACATGTTCTCCAATGAGCAACGAAGTTCCTCCACTATAGCAAACGCTACTATGTCACGAGTATACGTCCTCACGCTGCCTGTGGGATCATAGTATCAGTATACCTGATCTTGTGGGCGGTCAGTGGTAAGCACTCGGCCATCACTGCCTTCAACGGACGAGGTCTTGCGCACACATGCTTACTCTGCTTACGACTAGCATTTTAATTCACTATGATCATCATACATGGATCTCGGGGTTTCGTACGCCTAGATCTTCACTCCCTTTTCTGCGACCAGTCCGTCCGGATCACTGAGCAATGTTGCGGCTCGCTTCCCTCGCTGCCACTCTTCTAATTGCCAGTGGAGTTACCGAAGCAACTTACGCTCATGTGTCTCTTAGAAGAGCAGCGAATTTTACGGAAGCCGGAGGTTCATTTCTTGAAACCAATGGCTTCCCAGCTGGTGGAGGCTCCACCTGTTTCACTGGAAGCATCGAAGTGACGGTAACGTCGACGAACCTGAAAATCAGCTACAACGGATCTCCAGATCAAGATACTCTCACAGAATTCAACTTAGAATTCCTAGAGCCCAATTCGGACCTAGCGACGAGACTCGTCAGCAACTCGAGTCCCGTGACTGGCACCTACAGCATCTCTTCGAAGCTGTGCCTACCCAAAGCTCTAGGAACTGCCAAAGAGATCAGCACAGTCCAATTCCTGACGCATGGCGACATAGTCACAAGCACCTACTGGAACATTGCTCCCAATTACAGCTACATTGACGCCTCGACAGCAGCAGGCTATGCCACCTTCTCCTACGATCGCGTCGGCACCGGCCAATCAGACCACCCAGACCCTATCTCAATTGTGCAAGGTCCTCTCCACGTCGAGATCGCACACGCCTTAGTCACAATGCTCCGGTACGGCCAAATCCGGTCTCATCACTTCCCCAATGTCATAGGCGTCGGGCACTCAGCAGGCTCCATCATCACACAAGGCGTGACGATCAAATTCCCTCAGGAGTTCGATGCAGTCATTCTGACCGGGACATCAACCGAAGTGACATCCTTCACGCTAGGAATAGCGGCTTTTGATTTCCAGATTGCCAATGAGACTGATCCGCGATTCAAGGAATTGCCGAATGCCTACTTCACGCAAGCGAACGCCATAGGCATCCAAATTGGCTTTTTCAAATATCCGAATTTTGATCAGGAGAGTTACTGTTCCTTTTTGCTAGGGTGAAGGCTTGGAGGCACCAATTCGGGTTCTTGAGGGATAATGGCCTTTAGACTTAAAGGTTGGACTTGTGTGAGGTGACAGAGTGAGAGAAGACGTTGGGTTTTGAAAATTTAAGCAAATCTTTCTACTTGCATTTAAAACCGTGATAGAAGCACCTACGTGTACACGCATAAAGATGCACGTCTTGCAATTCGAGCCGGCCTAGCCAGTAGCAGCGACCTAATTGAATGTCAACGGGTTAACCTTTAGAACTGAATATTTACAACCCCCAATCCGTCCCTGACATCCAATCCTTACCGCCTGCGGTCACTCTCTTCACGCTGTACTCACCGTTCCGTTGCTCGCCTTCCCCATCTCGGCCTTCCACGGACTAGAAGCCGCCTTCCCCCAAGCCTTCATCGTATCCGTCGGCACCTCCCCATTGTCCTCCTTAGTCTTACACAATGTCGCCTTCCCGCCCTCCCAATCATTATAACAATACCACGGCTCCCACCACATCATGCCGAGGCAGCTACTAAACCCTTTGACGCGCTTCCACATCATCTCGGTCAACGCTACCTCCTGCGGAATCTGGTCGGCGGTGAACGAAGTGGCGTATTCGACACCCAGGGATTGCAGCTTGTACTGCCCTGCGAACGGGCCGGAAGCGAATTTCCCATATTTCTCGGCATAGTCTTGGAGTTGGGTGAGGGTTTCTGTCAGACGCGTCAGGGTAGCGTTCAAGGAGCTGGGGTTGTTGATGTCTGTGGGAGTCATGGGGTCAGGGTAGGCGGAGAAACCGGCGATGTTGAGCATAGTTGCTATGTCGAGATCGAGAAGGTCCTGGGGAATGACTTGCTCAGCGCATGGACTATCGGATTTGTCGCTCAGCTTGGTCTGGCTGGGCGGCTTGTCGCCGTGCACGACGCCCTCTTTCCATTGCACGTATTGTCCGTGTGAGTGCAGGCCGTAGCGGACGCTTGCGTTTGAGAGGCCGGCGGAGGCGATGGCTTCGTTTGCAGCGAGGATCTCGGCTTTCAGGTAGCCGGTGTACTGTGGGTAGGAATTCATTTTGCCAGTAGGAAGCTGTCCACAAAGTTCTTTATCGGAGTCCTTGCCGTCGCGAACGTGGCCTGTGGATTCTTCTGTATAGAGGAAGCCATCTGTTCCTTCATTTTCAAGAAGGATGATGTCAGGGACGATTTTTGCATCAAGAAAGGGTTGAAGCTGGCTTTTCGTCTCATTTCGGACGTTGGTGACCATTTCGGAGTAGCTTAGGGACTCCAATTCCTTGGGAATTTTTATGCCTTGGTTGATTGTGAGTACGACCCGCATACCCTCAGCGATTCCTCGCTGGGCTGTTTTGACTTGGATATCGGCACAGCCGAAGGAGTAACTGAAAGTAAGCTCCTCGCCGCGTGTGCTTGTGTTGTTAGTGAATGTGGTTGGTCCTAGACATTGGCCACGCTCGCCTTCCACCCGTACTGCGTTGACACCAGCATCTCCAAGAGTCTTGACAGGATCCTTCTCAGTGACGCCATCGTAATCATAGTACTTCCTTCCGGTGATTGCTTCTGCGCGCATCAGGGTACCAATGTCGGCACCAGCCCAGAATAGGCCGCCAGAAGGTCCGTCGTTCGACGTCGACAGATTTGCAGGAGAGATACCATTCGCTGTGACACCTTCTGGAGACTTGAATTCATCTTGAGATATGGAAATGCTTGGAGACGACGAAGGGCTTGGGGGAGCAACCTTTGGGTCACCAGCATCACAATCACGGATCTGGTGCCTTGAGGACGAAAAGCTGGAATCAATTGAGGCAGCAATAGAAAAAGACAAAAGAAGCGAGGAAGCTGTCAACAGCACAAATGAGCGTGGGTTTGAGGGGATCCTCATTTTGAACCTAACCTGCTACAAAAAAAAAGAAAGCAAGAAATGAATGACTTTGTGTTCCATGACAGGACAGGATCAGCCCGCCTTTTTGAGCATTTGCCGGGCTGTTTCCTACCACCCTACAATTTATTTCGACATTTTATTTGAAACAACAAGCACGGTTTGACGATAAGCGGTAGACAGACTTGACAGGGTCCATTATTGATGGGAGATGATGAGGGGTTGTCTTAGTGTATTCTTACATGCGCTCGACGGGATGTTTGGGAGCCGCTCATCTCGCTTGCAGTAATTCTGATGAAGTTCTGGTTGATACGCATCCATGATGACATATATATAGGTCTTGCGGCTATTATCAGCTTTGAAGGGTGAAATATTACTTAAGTGCTTCGTGCAGCCATTGGAGCTACTGGAACAGAGAGCATAAAAGGTACACGCCGCAACGGTGCTAGTGAAGGAGAAACCAAGGAGACTTGTTCTGCTAGGAGGCGTGAGTTCTACGCTAGGAGCGTTGGGTGATGTATTGTCGATGTTGACTTCGAGGACAAGGCGCAGTGATAGAAGGAATGAGAGGTAGCTTGCGGTTGGATGCAACCATGGGCCCAAGAGATTACTCGCAGCGGTCTGGGCCGCGCCGCCCCCGCATTTTAGGGCACTGTCACCAGCTGTCATCTGAAAGTCCGGCATTCAACATCATTGACCGTCTACTATTACTTTCCTGAGTGTCCATCGTTGCAGATTTTTCAAAGAATGGCACAGTCGCTAGTTCAATCAGGCCTTCTCCACAGTATCTCGCGCCCAAATCCACAACCTCTTGTAGCATTCGAGCATTTTGCCCACCACGCAGCCCAAAAATCTACCATCATCCTCCTTGGCGGTCTTGGAGACGGCCTCTTGACCATTCCGTACACTTCAAACTTAGCGGCTCGGCTACCAAATCATTGGCGTATCGTGGAGCCTATCCTCGGCTCCGCTTACAGGCAATGGGGTTTTTCGACTTTAGGCGAGGACGTGGAAGAGATTGTGCTTTTGGTGCAGTATTTCAGGAGTAATGGCGGCAAGGTGGTGCTTATGGGTCATTCGACCGGGTGCCAGATGATCATGCATTATTTGTCTAGTCCGTTACGGCGTGGAGACGGGGAGCGTCCGAGGATCGATGGCGCCTTGTTGCAGGGAAGCGTGAGCGATAGGGAGGGCATGGTGATGATGCTTGATGATGAGGACTATGAGCATGCGTGTCATTTAGCTCAAGAATTGGTTGACGATGGAAAGGCAGATGAAATGCTGCCGATTGAGATGACCAAGTTCTTCACGATTGGCCCTTTGAGTGCGAAACGGTTTCTATCGTTGGCGAGTCCGCCGCCGAACTTCGCTGGAGAGGACGATTATTTCAGCAGTGACTTGTCGGATGGGAGGCTAGAGAGGACTTTTGGAGCTGTCGGAAGGAGTAAAGTGAGATTTGCGTTTCTGTTTGGTGATCGCGATCAGCATGTCCCGAAAAGCGTGGATAAGAAAGCTATGGTGCAGAAGTGGGAGCGTTTCATAAAAGCCGCTGGTGGGACTGTCGATGAGGCAAGCGGGATCCTAGAGGGTGGCACCCACACATTGAAGGAAGCAGGTGCGCCGCTTGATTCGATGGTTAAGAAGATCAGGGGATTTGTGAGTAGACTAGAAGTATAGATCAGGAAAAACCCAAGGAGCGACGCATGAGTGGGGAGTTCGGAGGGGCACGAAGTGACACGATTATGATATACGAATAGCGTATTATTCGTTACTAGACTGCTCTTGAGCATTGTGACACAAAGATCACACAAGAGTCACGTAGTGATCTAATGACAAAGATGCAAATTTAGTAATACAGCCCTGAGCAACTGATCAGCCCATCTATGAGGCAATGCGGACGTGATTGATAGAGAGGCGCTTCTGTGAGGTTGAAGACTGCCCGGAAATGCCATCTCGGCAAAATTCCGTAGCCTTAGAAACCCGAAGATGACGGAAAACCTCCTTGTTGTTGGAACGTAGGTTGCCCACCTATTGGGCCAAACCCATTGCCAGTTGGCCCACTTCCTATTGGACTCCCAATCTCGCCAGGTGGAGGTCCGTTTCTCCCTTTTAGAGACGCATCCGGCTTGTGCTTGATCAGAAACCCTTTATCGATAGTACGATACTCAAAGACACCGCCACCAGACTGGGCGTTGCCTTCCGTGTCGCACGTTTGCAGCATTTCCATCATGGCGACAGCTGGCTCATTGCGGGACATCAAGGATTGCACTTCGTGGAGCACCTGATCTGCAGCGTGCCATCCTTGATTTGAAGGCTGGAGACGATTTAGCTTGTCACAGGCACTGCATATGAGTAGACGAATCCTAGGAGGGCGAGCTGCTGGTAGACTCGTGGTGTTCAAAAAGGTGCCATTAGTAGGACGCCCAAAGCCAGGCGCGGACGAGAAGGGCTGGTTCGGTCGTACATTGCCACCGAATGAGGCCTGGCTAGATCCCCACAGCGAGTTGGTCATTTGCTGGTTTGTGTCGATCCTTGAATTAGATCCAATGGGAGCAAATCCAGGATTTGAGCCGAATGGGCCTTGTCGCGAAGGCCTTGGACCACCTACTGCAATACTTCCTTGTCGGAGATTTGCCATTGCACTTGGTGCTTCTTCATCAGCATCATCAAGAAGCGCACTGCTCCCAAGGTGATTACTAAGATCGTCCACGTCTTTGCTCTTCGGCCTTATATTCTCATTTTGGTGAGTACCTGTCGTGCTTGGGGGTCGCTGGATAGGAGCTGGGCGTTGATTTGGATCTCTTGGCGAGATACCAGAAGATGCAGATTGATTTCTTGAATGTGCTTGAGCTGGGACCGTTTCCTGTGGGTTGCTAAATCGGCCGTGGTTGGTGATCGAGATATTTCTCTGAGCAGGTTCAGGGATTTGTGGTGCATGCTGTGTCACGTTGCTATGTTGGCCTGGCGGCACATGCCGCATTGTATTGATGCCTGGTGGAAATGGCATGCTAGGATTTTGAAAATAACCAGTACCATATGGCTGCTGGCTCGGAAAGCCTGGTGGGTGTGAAGGTGCTTGTTGCCTTCCGGGGGACATTGGCGGGCCGAATGGCGAAGAAAAGCCAGTACTTGTGGTGGGCACTACGTTTGAGAAGCCTGGCGGATGCGAGACAGTAGGAGGGTCGACTGGAGAAAATCGAGATATTTGCGAAGAGGGGTGAGGCGCGCCAACTTGGCTGGCTTTTCTGGCATGAGCCGCTACGTGGTGCTCAGATGACGCAGCAGGCGAGGCTGTCGAGCTGGAAGTAGGTTGTGAAGGCCTTGGTGAGGCCGTTCTTGAACCCTGGAATGACTTCTGCTTTTGCCGGCTGGGCGTCGGTGGTTTCGGGACGGCCGGCGTAGCGATTGGAAGTCGGGGCGAAGCATGGCTGCTCGGCGTATGTGATCGCTGCTGAGGCTGAAGAGACGACGATGCGGGAACTGTTATCGCTGCTGGTGATGGCCTTTTCGGTATTGAAGCAGCTTGTGCAGCTACTGCTTCTTGACGCTTCGAACGCTCTTTCGCGTCGTGTTCGGCTTTAGATTTGACTTCCAGCTCCTTTCGCTCCGCAATTTCCCGCTCTCTGCTTTCGCGCTCTTCACGCTCCTTCCTCTTCGCCTCCTCACGTTTCTTCTTCTCCCTCTCCTTGGCTTCGCGCTGCTTTCGTTCTTGCTCTGCTAGTTGCTCCTTTCGCTCTCGAGCCTGTCGTTGCTTCTCCTCTTCTTTCCGCTTTCGATCCTCCTCAGCAGATTTTTTCTCGGCTTCTTTCTTTCTTCGCTGCTCCTCCTTCTTCTGCCGTTGCTCTTCTGCTTTTTTGTCCTCTATCGCCTTAGCAGCGGCTTCTTCAGCGGCCTTTTCAGCTTCTCGCTTTGCTTTCTCCTCGTCCTTTACTTGCTTAGCCTTCTGCCTCTTGTCCTTTTTCTTTTGGCTTTCCTTAGCTTTCTTAGCCTCACGTTGAGCAGTAACCTGTTTGTCTTCATCGAGTTCTTCAATGAGCTTTCTCTGACGTTCCTCCGCGACTTTCTGTCGATATGCATTCAAAACCCGCTGCTCGAACATTCGGGCTGCAAATATTTGAAACATTCGACGGCCTTCTTCCATTCGTTGTTCCTCAGACATAGCCTCCAATACTGTCAGTACATGATCACCTTCGGTTTTAAAGGCACATTACCAGTTCATCGTCTTCAAATTCTTCATCCTCCTCACTGTTGAAGTCTTCATCGTCTCCTTCGTCGTCGTATTCGTCGTCTTCCTCCTCTGGCTGTCCGTGGCGCATGGATGGATGGCCCATGCCGCTTGCGACCATACGTGACTCTTCCTCCCGTTGCATTCGCCTTTCAGCGAGCTGCTCCATCATTTCGATGAATTTCTTGCCGTCATTTTTTAAAAGGTCGTCAGCCACTGTCAATATGCCTCCTACATAGACCCATCAGCGAGATAATTAGATATTTCTACAAGATTCAAACTACCTTGGGCAGTCAAGCTGTTACCAAAATTGAATATTCCGCCTGACTGTGACATTGGAGGTTCTATTTCGGAATCACTGATGTCGTCTTCGTCATCTTCATCACTATAGTCTTCCTCATCGCCCACATCATCATCGCCTAGCTCTTGAATACGGCTTGATCTAGCTGGACCTCCCCCTCGCATGCCAGAATAGTGATCTGGTGGTAGGGGCGGCCTAGGTCGAGCATACGAACGTGGCGGAGGAAGGGCAGGCGCATCCAGTCCGAACTGTTGATGATTGGCATAGGTCTCCAACTCTTCGTAATAAGCGTCGTAAAGAACTTCAAGCTCTTCCTCTATTGCAGTTCGCTTACGACCACAGACTGTACAGCTACATGAATGTTTTTGCTGCTCTTTCATCTTTTTCAACACAGCCTCCTTTTCGATTCTAACCAAAGAACGCCGGTCAGCCTCACCCAGTGACAGCCAAAATTCCTTAATTCGCTCTCGTTCTTCTTGAGTTGAGGTATTCCATATACGATCCTTTCTGTCATTTGGTGCAGACCTCATCATGGCAGTAGAATGTGGTTGGGTGAGCGGGGGTGGAGGGGGCGGCGGTGGACGATGAAGATGACTTTGAGATGACGAAGGAACAAAGCCGTCCGTGGAATGCTGGCCAGATGATGCTCGTTTCTTCTTTTTCTTGCCTGCACCTAAGGGTTCCTCGGCAATGTAATTATGGTTAGCATAGCCATTAGCAGCATACGTTCTGCTGCCGTCGTCGGTATAGTAGATGTCGTCACCATCCTCCGGGCCTTCGTATTGGGCAGCGTCGTATCCGTCGCCGTTCACTACTGCAAATTAGCCGTCACCGCAACCACTGCATTTACTCAATTGCAATTGCAGCGTACTGTTGACAGATCCACTTTTGCGAGCATTACTGCTCTCTTGATTCAACGTGTTCAGAGCAGCCTTCTTCGCAGCTTCTTTCATTCGCCTCTTCTGCTTTTTTCTATTGACGCCTGTGCCGGCATTTGCATCGTCATCCTGCACATTTTCCTCGCTCTCGGGTTGTGGAGACGTCGGTTTGGCGGGGGGAGTTGTCTTGATTGTTGTTGGCTCGTTACCAAACCATTCCTAGAGAGTGCCGGTTCTTTGATCAGAGCATCAGCGGCTTTTAGAGCTCCGTCGTTGTTCACAGCACTTGTCGAATCTGCCGCGTTCTTTGATGCGGCGGCCTTGGACTTAGGTTTTGAAGGCATTCTGGATCAGGAACTTTGCTGCGTCTTTATAGTATCAAGACCCTTCCTCAGATAGGCCCTAACGATAATGACGACCGAAAGCACTGAAGGTCATTAGGCACAAGGAGTACCAGTGGATGGCTGTTTTGAAATGGCGAAGTACCGCAGGCTCGAAGGTAGAGATTGTGCTAGCCCAAGTCGTGGAAAGCTCCAACTGCAACGACGTGCTTCGGTTTGCGGAGGAGGAGGAGAGTGTTAGTTGCGGTTCTTTTGTTTTGATGGGTTTGCAATATGCCACCAAAGTCAGTCCGAATATTGCGGGCGTTCCCAAAAAGGCTTAGCGCGCATCAGGGCCAATTGCCGTCACAGCTTCTGCTTCGCTCCACCACTACCGTCTTTGCAGCTGCAGCCATCTCCCGCCCTTCACTGTCTGCTGTCCTCTGCTTGCTGCCATGCCACTCGACTCCAATTGAATTCGAAAAGGCTCACTCTCTCTAACCTCTCATCGTCTCGTTTAACGGCAGGCTTGTGTGAGGGTACAACATATGCAAGTGCAACATCTCTCCGCGTAGCCTCCTCCGCTCAGGCATCCGGTTCAAAGCTCGTCTACCGCCCCTGAGGACCTCGAACCAGGAAAGCTCTGTCACCTCCTCGTCGAGCTTCTGCCACATTCAGCATTCAAGCGGGGAATTTGAACGAAGAACTTCGGATCAGCTATACAATGTCACAACAACAGGCGCAAAATGTAATGCGGAGGTGCGTCGATGAAATGATTCTTCTTTAGACTTGTTTTTCTTTCGTAGCGGACACGGTACCGCAACTTCACGACATGATGATTGCTTGAAGAAGATGCACAGCAGATGAATGCAACAGCTTTTCCAGTTAAACATGCATGGCCTTCTGATCCGCGGATCACTGGTCTTTTCCCGAAGGAACATGTCCCGCCCGGACCAACTCCTGTTATCGCGTCTTACTGACTTTGTTGCACTCTCAGGAAACTTGTTATCATTGGAGACGGGGCGTGTGGAAAAACAAGTCTGCTGAGTGTCTTCACGCTGGGCTACTTCCCGACCGTGAGCAATCCTATCTCTGAACTTTCATCTCGTGCTGACCATCTCTAGCATTATGTGCGTAAGAATTGACATGAGCAATTTTCCACGTGAGAAAGTGAAATACTGATGCCTTTGAAGGTCCCTACTGTCTTTGAGAACTATGTCACAGATTGTCGGGTTGACGGCAAATCGGTTCAGCTAGCATTGTGGGATACTGCAGGGCAAGAAGACTATGAGAGGTTAAGACCACTTGCATATTCGAAAGCACATGTCCTCTTAATAGGGTTCTCGGTAGATACGCCAGATTCACTAGACAATGTGAAACATAAGGTGAGTGAACCGCTTTCTCAAGTATGACACGCAGACAATGACATCGATATGATATAGTGGGTAGAAGAGGCGAATGAGAGATGTCCTGGTGTCCCAATAATACTCGTTGGTCTGAAGAAAGATTTGAGAGAAGATCCAATGGCACAAGAAGAGATGCGAAAAAAGTCTCTCAGATTCACAACGGAAAATGAGGGGACCACCGCAGCTCGAGATATAGGGGCACGCAAATATCTCGAATGTTCATCACTCACTGGGGAAGGTGTTGACGATGTTTTTGAAGCGGCCACTCGAGCTGCACTCTTGACATTTGAGAAAGGCGAAAGAGGAGGATGCTGTAATATCTTATGAATGCTTGCGTTTTGCACCACCTAATTACGACATCATCATCGAACGAAGAGCTGGTCGTAATGATCGCTTGAGTTCACGGAGCCGGTCAGTAGCATACTTATCTGCTTTGGAGGACCCTACCACCGGAATTTGTACGATAGGATGACTGAGCTGGAGTTGTGAATATACAGCATGACTGGCGTTCTGGTGCTCAAAAGCTGGTTACAAATCGTTTTGTCATAGTCAACGCTGAAATCCAGTGTTTTTTGGTCCGAGCATTCTCGAGCACATCATTCACTTCTATGCTTCCCAAGGATTTCAAGATCCATGCCGCAGGTTGTCCTCAAGGTCTCTTCCAAATCTCTTGCCTCATTCGACTTCCCCAGATCTTCCATCACCTAGTCCACCCCTCGTTCCATCCGTCTCTTGGCGGCCCATCAGTCTGCGCCCTCGCATACTCAATCGGCACCCCCCATTCCCTTGCACACCTCCGCCCTTCACGATCCCCAAGCCTCCATAATGCCCCTTCTTCGTAGTAGCCTGCCGATACAGTCTGCCCCCATCCCCAACTCCTAACCTCAACTCTTCACAAGCAGCGCGCATAGAATTGTATTGTCTTTCCAACGCCCGTTCTCGTGCTTGACGATTCTTGTGCAGGAGTAATTGCGCAGCGCGGTGGATTGTCCAGTGTCGGAGGGCGCGATTGCGGGAAAATCGGAGCGGGCGGGGGGTAAGGGGGTGAGCGAGATGGTATTTTATCAGGCCTGCGGGGGGTAATTAGACGGGTTGGGAGAAGGAGTGGGAAAAGCTGGGATAAAGACAGACGTACGGACGCGAGGGTCCGTTGGTTCTCTGCCGCTTTGGCGTGCGCTGGATCGGGGAGAGGTCGAAAAAAGGCAGAATCGAGAGGAAATTGAGTGAGTGGGCGGGTGGGGAGAGTGGGCGGCGGGACGTATTGAATGAAGGGGGATATTGTAGACCATTGCGAGAGACTTTGCGATAGGTGTGAGGTTCATGGTGTCCGCCTGGGTTGGTCAGAATAGTGAGAGACAATCAGAGATGGAAGTGTATGGATGGATAATGCTTTAAATAAAGCATAAAGTTAAGTCACCCCTAGTGAAATGAATCGAGGCTAGTACAACCTTATCCAAACAAATTTTTGATATCAATATTGTTGCACCAATCTACACGCAAACCGGCGCAGGCAAAGACAATTTAAATAGCCCGAGAGTCTCATGGTGATCTAAGAGACTAGCAATCGGCTTCGGAAAGTCATGACGAATGGTGAGAGTTCAACGAGAATAGCATGGACCTCGATCGTATGGGGCAAGAATCGCACATAGATGTACGTCCAATAGCGCTGCTGCTAAGAAATTTTTAAAGAGTAAATGCAACATTGGGAAAGCATTGATCAAGAGATCTCCTTGCGAAGATAACCGCCAGTCTCCTTTTCTTCGGCATCAATATCCTTGTTTGCGTCAGCGACTCGCTGCCTCATCTTCTCCATCGCTCGCGGATCCGCAGAGATAACGCTGCTATTACGACGAATTTCACCTTGTTGATATTCAACGTATGCTTGCGGACGCGTCGATTGAGTTGCTGTTTTGTCCGTAAAGACAAGAATCTATAGAAACCTGCTATCAGTAGATGTTTCTACACAAGCATTTGATTGAGGGTGAGGGTTACATTGTTGTTTTCGCGGAAGAAACGATCAATATCTTCGAGAGTGCGGCCTGCCGTTTCAGGGTAGAAAAGATAGACAATGGGTATGAAAGAAGTGTTGAAGACTGTCCAGATAATATAGAACTTCCATCCCAGAGTCTTGATACCTGTCGGAGTTATCTCGACGACTTTCTTTTGTCAGCAAAACCCGATATTATGCTCATTCCTGCCAAGGAATCCTCACCCATAAAGTTGAAGATCCAATTGCAAGCAGTTCCTACGGCGGCACCTTTGGTTCTCATTGCAAGCGAGTTGATTTCCGTCGGATACAGCCATGGCACGCCCTGAAACCCAATACCAAAGAAGATATAATACGTGAAGAAAAATGTGATTGATGCTGAGGCGACTTCCTTCTGATGTGGGTACCCTTCCTTCTCGCTGTAACGCAGGAGAGCAGTAATCAGGGCGTATGAAACGGCTTGACCAGTAGCAGCATATATCATCATCTTGCGACGACCCCATCGCTATCCCTCACGTGTCAGCAACCCTTCAAATGATAGACCTTTCCCGGGTTGACGGACCTCTACGTTAGGTATCCCGATAGTGGAGAATATCAGATAGCTTACGCTATTGCAAGCTGCAAGGAGCCTAGCTAGCTTCTCGTCGAGCTTCACGGACTGGATCAGGACTGTTGGTAAGTAGTATGAGGTGACGTTTATTCCAGCTAATTGCTGCATGGCCTGCGCGCCACCACCAAGAAGTAACCTCCGAATAGTACACGTGCCTGGTGCTGATTTGCCTTTGATCAGATCTATCCAGCTTACGCCATGCTCCCGTTCGTACTCTGCCGCTTTCTGAATCTCTTTGGATTCGGTGATGACGAATGGATCCATCACATCTTTGGCTTCCAAATCGGCAATGATCTGGTCTGCCTCGTCAATGTGTCCGTGGGCTATCAGCCATCGAGGACTCTCTGGAAGCCATGGGACAGTTGCAAAGAGTACGAAAATGAATATGAACTGGAAGGCCAGAGGCAAACGCCAGGATACTGGGCCATTGACAAAGGAGAAACCATACGTGACCCAATTGCTGAGCGAGAAGCCGGCGATGTTCAAAATCAACTCAATGACAATCAGTTTGCCTCTCCAATGGGCTTGCGAAGTCTCAGCCTGCCACACAGGTGCAGTAGCTGTATTCATGCCATTGCCCAGACCCGCGATGATTCGACCTGCGATCATCTGACCCCTGCTATAGGAGCATATTTGAAGAATTGCGCCAATTGACATGACTGTTGTCCCAAGGAGTACCGAGTTCCGTCGACCAAGCCTCTCACCGAGTGAGAAGGCTGCGATAGCCCCAAAGAAACAGCCGACATCATAGATAGCGGTGATTGTCCCGAGGATATCGGAGTGCTCAGGGCCTTTCAGATTGTGGACGACAAGGTAGTCATCTGTAACGACGACGCCACCTAGACAGATTGAGTTAGTCCATCTTTTGTCCACATCTACCATTGTCGAGCGACGTGACAAACCAAACACGCCCTGATCGTAGCCGAATAGGGTCATGTCCGTGGAGCAAGCCACCGACACCCAAAACGTCAGCCATCCTCCAGTCAAGCCAAAATATGGCTTTTTCCCCGTAGAGCCTCCTTTTTCGCCAAAAAACCCCATGGTCGCTGTTGCAATTGCTGGGGCGTGGCCAGCATTGCAGCATTTGCGGGGTAGCTTATATGGAAATACCAGCGCTGTCCCGCGTGTCCTAGATCGCCCGCAGAGGGCGATCGCACCCTTCTTTGCTCCATAGCTAGCTTTTCAAAAAGCACGACAACGTCACCGACTGCCCACCTTGGCTGAAAGGCGGGGGAAAAACCGTTTTTTCAGTCGCGGGCAAGGCGGGGTAAATAACGGCCGGAGCCGCGGGATGTACCCAGGGCTAGGCTGTTTCGATGCTAGCTTAGGGCTGCTGGAGGATCCCTATTGCATGATCCACAAGATCAGCATCTGCACATCACAACTATTTCGCGCGGGCCGATTAGAACACCCTTTTTCACGAATTACCTCTGCAATTTCAAGTCATGAAGTCTGAAAATTTCAGATACTTGATAGCGAAAGATTCTGATTCTGATTTACCTCGCAGCAGCCTGTGAGAAAACACCTCATAATACCGAATATCCCTCACTCCTTGCCTCCGGAATTCATATGCGGAGCCTTCGGTGTGGTTCTCGATGATTTGCAGATTATAAAGCTTTCTAGGTGGCGGCATTTAAAGGGCGATCACGATTGTGTTGAATGTCTTGATTTTGTAGTTCCCACCCCATCGATCGATTCCAAAGGTACCAGAAGCCACTTTGAACTTTCCCTTTATAAAGCCTACGAGCCAACTTAAAGGTAAGACTTATGGTGGAGAGGCCTGACAGCATCAATCATCAGGTACACAACCCGAGGGAGAATCTTTGGAACCTGAGTCGGTTCAGGTTCCTACACCTACCGTTCATCAGCTTTGAACAGATTTGTAAAGATATAACTAAGGATGTTCTGGGAGAAGTACGCTAATTTCAGACGGCATCCCAGCGATGTTAATATGTACAAAAGCTCTGGTGACTTGCTGAGGAGATTGATCAAGTTATCACCTTGGGCACAGCGGAATGGTTCTCCTATAGTGGAGGGCTGTAAGTAAGCCAATAAGGTGCGATACTACAGCAAGGAGAATAAGGATGTGAAATATTTGGTGTGATGCTCCCCAGATGTCGAATTTGCCTGGTGAAAATCGTTCGGGTATACGGACCTAATGATGTGCCCCCGTTAGCTGTTCCACTTCATTTAGATGAATAGGACGTCGGCCGTGCATACAGCATAAATTGCAGCACCCGAAATGTAAAGGCCCCCTTGTAGCACTAGCCAGAACAGACCTATCGATTGCTGCAGCTCTTTTGCGCCATACAACAAGATCTCATGCAGCACTGGAAAGACTGCACTCAACCCCATGGCAATGAACATGCTCGCTCTGAAAGGCCGCCAACTAGGTGTCCGAAACTTGGGATTTACAGAGACAATCGTACATCCCAAACCGATGATGCAGATCTGCGGACAAACGTCTTAGAGGATGGTGAAACCTTGGGCTTCGCTAGAAGCTCATGATCAAGACCTACCATAGCCCAATACCTTTGCTGTAGCCACGGCTCACAGTAAAACCCGTAATATATACTGGGCACAAAACTACCCGTTATCAATGCCACAATGCCCACATAATCAAGCTGATTCCCAAATCTCGCCACTTCTGGTGAGTGGTTCGAGATCAGATGGTAGGTTGCACTCATCCCCAAACACAGTGTCGCTCCCATAAAGAAACAAGCAAAGACAATCACATCTGCTAGATCCAGATGATGGGACTCATTATAGTAGACAGACAAAGCGATAAAGAAACAAGCGAACACCCCGAGGAGATGACTGTGAGTATTCACGCTTTCATTGTGCAAGTAAAACAGCGACTGGAAGCAGCCCGCGTAGGAATAAGTAGCAGGTCGATAGCTTGTCAGCATGTAATTATTGTCTTGCTGCCACGGCTCGACACCATTCCAGTTCACGAGTAGCTGTGGCCGCGACCGAGTAGGCCTGTCAGTCTTCACCGCTGCTGTTATCTCTTCCGCAGTCAAAAGGGTATTGAGAGTTTGAAGTTCCGGTGTGGTCTTCGAGCGTGGAGCGGCCCGACGTCCTGCCATTGGGGTCATGGAACAATTAGTCGAGGCCAATTTGTTCTTCACATGCAAGCTCGAGCTTGCTGAATCTTGTTGAGATGGTATGTTCAAAGGAAAATCCCAAAAATGGGGAAGTACTTCCGTAGATTTGAAAACATCATTATTGAGTTTGATTTTGGATCAATATGGTAAGACGGGAACTCTAAATGTGTGGCCTGTGGATGACGGCTCATCAGCTTGCCGTCCAGACGAATTCCATCATTGTGCGGCTGCTGAAGACAGTATTCAACGATCTGCGACTTAAGCATTACAGCTGGGTGCGGTATAGCTTTGCTCGATTAGGTAGGATACTGCTAGTCCTGGGAGCATCGGCTTGCTGGGCACTTTCCAGGGTCTGCCCTGCTAAAGCTGCCTTAGAACCTAGTGTAATTAGGCGCGGCCGGTTTACAACTGCCTGGTGGGGACTCTGGGGAGGCCTGCTTATCCATTCGGGGGTTAAGTTTCTTTCTTGCCAAACAAAACCACCCTCGGCCAGCAGATACCCTGCACCGCTTGTGATGTGATGAGAGGAGCTCGTCGGGGTATTAGTGGTCATCAAAGGCAATGGAACAGGCTCAGACCTGCGACAATCGATCCTCTTGAGGAATACGGACTGCCCTCGAAAGGCGACAGCAGGTAAGGTGGTGTATCATCAGGCCACCCTTCACACAGGCAGATCAATCGGCCTATTTGAACACTGCAAATACAGTCTTAGGTCCAGCATAGGCTTTGAACAGTAATAGGACTAATCAAAGAGTAGATTGCTAGATGCTCGAGCTCAAGAGCAATACTATAATGACATACTTGACCGGTGTCTCGGGCTGCGACAGGGCAACTCCGTAGACAACGTTCTGAATAAGCAATTCAAGGCGCTGAACTTGGACCTGAATGAGCCGGAAAGAAATCCAAGGACGGACAATCTCTCATTGACAGAGTCAAAAAGGCAAGATGCAGCTGTTGAATGTGTACGTGAAGCCTCTGCAGCAGGATCGAAAAACCTCGACATAATTGTACAAGCTATGCGGAAGCTCAGAGAAGCTATCCTGGCTAGTGCTCGGTTTGATTCTTTTGCTCGAGACGTTTATGTGTTGATTGTGCGAGCCACAATCTCATCGCGACATATGGAGTCTTATCATCCATCCCTACTCCATCTCATTCACAGGATCCATCCACTGATGCCGCTCTCGAAAGACGTCTTGCATGAAATGCTGGGATATCATATTCTCGACGCGGCTTGCAGACAGGCAGACTTGAAAATGGCATATGAGCTCAGGCTGTACAATAATTTTCATGATCCGAACATTAACCTTCTACTCAGTGCTCTTGCTAGTGGAAGATGGACAAAGTTCTGGCTGGTGAAGACGATGTTGGATCCAAACCAGCAGGTCCTCGCGGATTTTGCCTCCGAGCGCATGTGCCTTCATGCTTTGGAAAGCTTAGGCAGAAGCTACCTCAACTTCGAACTGTCGTACTTAGAGCAAGCTGTACAAAAGTCTTGGGGCTCTCTGACAAAGGTATACGACATCAAGTGGACCTTGGATGGTAATAAAGTTACGGTGAAGTCGGCAAAACGGAAATGATGCATGCACGGATACTGTCAACATGGAAGCATAGTTGCAAGTGGCTGCCACTTCGCCGTCAATGGCAAATAGCAAATGCTGGAATGAATGCAAGGCCGGTTAGTCGAAAGCTGACAGTGCCAGATTCTACCTTAGGTCCTGCATTGAGGAGCTCCCATGGTTGCTAAAAGAGCGCTTGTCTCTCAAGCCGCTTATTTCCATTTGGAGCAGCTTCGAGCGGTCATGTTCCGACTAACTGACCCTCCGCCAAAGGCGCGTGAACGACGTCAGACCTCGGCCCAAAGACAAAAATGGTCTCTCGTGCAGCATCTGGACAGCGTAAAGCTTGAGCGCAGGCATGTTCTGACAGAAATCCAATACCGAAGTCAGACTCTCGTCAATGGCGGATGAACGAATTGCTCAAATCAGTGGGCATTTGGCTCCTGCAGGCTTGCTTTCCGGTCAAGTAAGCCTCGCCCAAATTTCGAGCCGACGGAAAGTCTGATGCTCTTTTCCTTAGGTTGCCGTTATTACTGGCAGTGGGCAGGGTATCGGGGCTGAAACGGCGAGACTCTTTGCGAAAGAAGGCGCTCATGTTGTTGTACAAGACATTGATGCCAGCAAAGCCGAGGCTGTATCGAAGGAGATTAACGATTCGGGCGGTAGAGCCATAGCTATCCCAGGTGATATGCTGGATTCTCAACACATCGCGGACCTAGTGAAGAAGAGCGCCGAATTCGGCCATGGCCGCCTGCATTGCCTCATAAATTGCGCAGGCTTTACTTGGGATGGAGTCATCCACAAGATGACCGACAAGCAATGGGACACTATACTCGCCCTGCACAATACTGCGCCCTTTAAGCTGGTGAGAGCCGCTGCGCCCTATTTCAGAGTCAAGGATGGGCAACCAAGGAACATCATCAATATCAGCAGTACCTCTGGCATCCATGGCAACGCTGGACAAGCTAACTATGGACTTGCCAAAGCCGGCGTAACGGGTCTCACCAAGGTCATCGCAAAGGAATGGGGTCCGCAATTCGGTGTTCGAGCAAACACAGTAGCTTTCGGGCACATCTCAACCCGTTTAACTGCCGCAAAAGAAGAGGGTGCTTTCGTCACGACTCCGGACGGCCAAAAGGTAGCGCTTGGTATTCCGAAGGCACAAAAGGAGGCATTGGGCGAACAGGCGTACATGGATATACCTCTGCGTCGTGCCGGCACCGCGACAGAGGCTGCAAGTGTGATATTAGCTGTTGCTAGTCCCCTTTTTAGCTATGTCAGTGGTCAAACCATAATGGTAAGTCTAGCCAGAATGTTCCAGAGCTAGGATGCTGACAGAACCTAGGTCACCGGAGGACGCAACATGTAACTTCATAGACTTGGTGGTCAGGGACTGATTATATGGTGCTGTGTATTCGGAATCGAGATGTATAATATTATCCTTGTATCGCTTTGAAGAAAGGAGTATATGCAGCAAATCTAAACTTTCCACCACAATCCAAGGACACCCTTTGATCATCCAGTCAGCTCTCGCATGAAGAGACGATGATTTGTGACGATTCCCACTCACCTTCGCATATTCCACGATTTCATCACCCCCTAATTTACTTTCGCCATACACCCTATCCACGAAGCTGATCGGACATTCTGCAACCTTAAAACCCATTGCTTTCGCTCTGACCATCATCTCCATTTGGAATGTGTATCCCTTGCTCTCTGTACTGCTGATCACAGCTTCCAAGACCTCTCTTTTATACAACCTGAAGCTTCCTGTTAAATCGCTCACACCCGGGTTCAGCACAGTATCCGCAAATAAATTAGCACCTCTTGACACAAACTTCCTCTTCAAGTCCCAGCCATACACGCCCCCATCACCTGCATACCGAGTTCCAGTGACAATATCGTAGTCTCGCTCTTTTTGGATGCTAATCATTTGCGGCAGAAATTTAGGATGGTGAGAGAAGTCGGCGTCCATTATGATAACGAAGCTGCCAGTGGCATGCTTCAAACCATGGACGTATGCGGTACCTAGACCAAGCTTGCCGGCTCGAGGTTTGAGAACGATATGTGAGGGTGTATAGAGGTCCTGTAGCTGCCGGGCTACGGCGAGTGTGCCATCTGGGGAGCCGTCGTCGACTACGATGACCTCCCAGTCTAACTGGCTTTGAGGCGCGGATTTATCAGTAGGTATACGAGAAGTTTGCAAGCTCATTCAAAGAGCTTAGAGTTTCTTGTAGCGTACTGTTCAGTGAATGTTCGAGCGAGTAACCATACTATTATGGGGAGATTGCGTCGCTCGTTGTAGGTTGGAAGAATGACCGAGTATTTCTCTTTGGCAGGCATCTCAGAATCAGATACGCAACTGTTAGTGAGCGTATGAGGGTCGGTCGCTAATCATCGTCAAAAACAAGAGCAGCAGTTCTGAAGATTGATGCCAAGCTTAAACACCGGGCTCCATTCGGCCCGGCTGGGCGAAATCTTTATTTTACTATGGATATTCGGCCATTTCGACCTCGAAGTATTTCACGTTCGACATAAGACAGGTACTTTTACTCAAGAAGCTTGCAGACCCGATAGCATAGGCTTTACTTTCACCAAGAAAAAGATATGAGCAATCCATAATGGAACAAATTGATCGCGCCCAATAGACATGTATCCTATTTCGAAAAGTGTATGCGTTTGAATTTACCACACTCATCACCTTCGCGCAGCTCCCAGCTTGGTCGATGTAGCCGGTTGGATGAGGGTCGACCCTTTCGTGCTAACATTTCATTCTCCAAAGCGGCCGAGGTTTCGCGGCGCAGCCTGCCGCCTGACTTCGTCACGTTCATGAAGAAGATACTAGCGCCCCACAGTGTCAAGTCCAGGAGGTAAAATGACGAATCCGTTCTAGGTTGGTCATCTCTTGACTTAGTCGGGAAGACTGACGACCACTGGGGACACACTATTTAATGTAGGGGCCAAAACAAGCAAGAACTAGGCTTGCCTAGTCTACTTATCAGTCCGCTTATGCAGCCACCGATGAGCTAGGTAGTAGGTTGCTAGATAATGCCCTCTCCTCTGGCAGCTTACGTTGAAGGGCAATAAGACGTACTTCAAAAGACCGTGCAACATCTCCAGAAATTGTTGTCAGACTCTCGTACCATACACAAAGCAAAGTTTCCACAACTTGAAAGATCGACTGAAGGGCAACTTCCAAACGAACAAGAGTGTATTGATCCCAGGTGATTCCAGTTGAGCTCTCGAGCCTTCTAAGTGAACCGCTGCTTAAATCCTAGATGCCATGATCTGCTTATCCCTAGTCTATGACTGGCTGACATTCGACAGGACCTGCCGTACCGTGTGATTTAAAGCTGCAGATGAGCTAACGCTTTCCAAATGAGAACCCTAGCGGAATTGCATGCAGACACGACGGATCATCCTCAAGGTGATATTCGACACGACAATGCCGTCCAGACTTCCGTCTGGACGCCACTTGACCTAATAGAAATAGTTGATATGCTCCCACAAGAGCATTATTTACTTCAACACTAGCGACGATACAAAGGTCTAGAATATTCCACTTTAGGATCTTCAGTCAGCCACTACCAGCCATTACCACCGTCCTTCTGGAAAGCAATGAATAGTAGAAAGTGATATTTTCTATAAGTGCGATTGTCCCCTCTTTCTTGTCTTTTACCATCTTCCTATTTTCTTTTTTTTCTGTGCAACATGTATTGCCCGATCATATATCAAGTATTTGCTCTTCTCGTTACCGTAACACATACAAGAGCGTCTCTGTCCGATATCTTCTCCTCTTACGCTCTGCCCATTTCGTCAGAAGAATGGGCAACCCTCAATCAATCCGTCGAAGGCCGTCTCTATCCTGGGCAGCCTGTGGGATTGCCATGCTACAATAATTTCAATGGCAAAAACCGCACCGTGGTTCCAGCCGCGTGCGAGGTTGTGGAAAAGAACAAGCATAACGCAGCGTTCTTGACGACGCAGATGGGCGGATACACTCAGGTATGTATTTTCCAACTTCAATACCAATGGGAATAGCATGGAGTATGGCCTGGTGACATCAATACTGAAGTTGGGATCTCTGAATACAGGGTAATTGGGGAGTCTGCCAACGCACAGGAGCCGGCTGCCCAACCTCTCCGCTTTCAAAAATCATTCCCGATGCCAATTGCACTCAAGGCGCCATCCCGTCTTTCTTCGTCGATGTCCGTAAAGTTTCGGACGCTCAAGCCGGATTAATCTTTGCAAATAAGTTCAAAGTTCCCATCGTCGTTAAAGCAAGTGGACATGATTACATGGGCCGAAGTTCTGGGCCGGTGCCGTTGGCGCTTTGGATGCATAATTATACCCCTCCTATGGCGGTCGAGCAAAGCTTTGTGCCCAATGGATGTAGAGACCCCATTGGGGATGTGATTACTTTCGGCTCCGGCACAAGTTTTAATGACTTGTACGAATTTGCTAACAGGAGCGGCCTCACTGTTGCTGGAGGCTCGTCCGAGACGGTCAGGCCAGGCGGAGGGTGGATCGCGGGCGGTGGGCACAGCCCACTTTCGCCCGTGTACGGGTTGGGAGTGGACAACGTGAAGCAGATCAAAGTCGTCCTGCCAGACGGGACGTATGTGACCGCAAATAAATGCCAAAATTCTCATTTGTTCTTCGCCCTTCGCGGAGGTGGAGGAGGCACGTTTGGTGTCAATATGGAAATCTCAATGCTGGCGTATAAGAACACTGACGTTCAGGTTGCAAAGTTTGGCATTCCAACCGCGAATATGACTCAGCTTCTGAAACTGCTAGTCGCCAATGCAAATCAATGGCACAAGGAGGGCTGGGGGGGATACATATACCCTAGACTTCCTGCTAAGCCCTCAGAGCCGATTCCTGTCATTCTGATAAACCCACGATTAAACGCCACAGAAGCTCGAGTGTCACTAGCTGCTCTCATCAAATTCGCTGACTCCCTCAAAGCTCAAAGAATTATTGAGACGCGCAGATCTTTCTATGATGTCTACGAACTCTTTATAAAAGGCCATCAAGACGATTCTGGTAATTTCGGCGTCTCCATGGCATCTCGCTTGATCCCTTCCAAGAATTTCGACGGGCCTGAAAACCAGGAAGAACTGGTTGATGCGCTAATTGATGCTGCTTCAGACAGAGAAGGTTACCAGATGATGCTGATGCTCCTTCTAGTCGCTCCGAATGCAACCATTGTTGATGAGAACAGTTCAGTGACGCCCGCCTGGCGCACATCAACGTGGCATATAATTACATCCGCAGCATGGGATCCCGCCAATGCAAATGTCACTTATACTCAAGCCGCTTTCGGCGCTGTGCATCGTTCAATCAATAAACTTCGTGACCTCACAGAGAGCAACGGTGGTGCATATTTGAACGAAGCTGACACATTTGAATCTGGTTCAGGGACTGAGTTTTGGGGACGGCTCAATTATGAGAACTTGAAGGCTATCAAGCAACGATTTGATCCCAATGGTGTGATGTTGGTGCACAAAGGCATTGGCTCTAATCGCGGGGACCGTTTTCGTTGCTATCCTGATGTTCTAAGCGCGCAGGTTTCCCAAGATCATGTCGGTGTGGACAATTGGGAGCTTTAGGAGGGCGCCTACGCTCCTCGAATAATCTTGACTGACGTAGTATTATATCCCATACTTTATATTTGTCAATATTTTATATTGTTTTCTCGGAGAACAAGCAAGCATACGCCTGGTGCATCCCATACAAACAGGTGCATGTATATCACCAATCGTTGTCTGCAGAGTCATGTCATATATTAGAAGGCCAAGCCTTGTTGACAGCTACGTACAGTTCCGGCAACCACAAATCAATTGAATCATGAGTCGTGATAGTCAATTCGGAAATCGTTTCCTGGTGGACCAGCGTTTTCCGATATCAATGAAAAGAAACTGGTCATTTCAATTCATCACGATCTGCCTCTCCACCAAGGACATCCTGGGATGGGACAAAAGGGGGCGGCGTCTGCACTGCAGCGACAGTAGTAGTGGTAGTAGTAGTATCGATCTCCGCGGCCAGGGTCTTCCAGAAACTACAGAGCCCCGAAGTATTAATTTCATCAACGATGACCGTGAATTGTGTATCTGTCGGTGTCGCTTGCGCTTGCAATACGTTTCCAATGCTGGAACCGTCCGCTGTAGCTGTGGGCCAGAACGGGTTTTCACTGGCCAGGCTATTCGGATTCCCGGAGATCGCAAATGAGACGAGATACGCTTGGAACTTGGGCGAAAATGCGGCGTAGAATTTCGAAAACCCGTTCAAGAAGAATGGCGGAATCGGTATCGGGGAGATTTTGTTCGCCACACTGGCGAGAAACTTCGCAAAATCGACCTCCCCGTTCCAGAAAGTGGGCAGTAGGTCCGTCCCATGGTCCGCGGGGATCGTGAAAAGCCCACTCTTCGGCGTGACGTCGTACTTCAGCACGTACGTGTCTGCGGTACCGCCGTATGCGTCGAAGAGCTGCTGCACGTTGCACGTAAAGGATGAGTCCCGAATCACGGCGCTGGCACGAGCTTTGGGTGCGTCGGGATACGAGGATGATGGGTAGGCGCTCATAATTGCCGAACGCACGCTGGAGAGGGATGATTGCGGCATGAAGTTGCTTACGAAGGAGGTGAAGCCGCTGTCATCAGTGATTGATGGGACGAAGATGCCAGACTCGTCTTCCACATGAGAGACGATCAGGGATTTTAAGCCCTGCCAATATGAATCTTGGAGAGCCTCGTCAGCAATCGGAACATGTAAAAGGGGTTTTAGTGCCACTCACTCGTTGCAAATTCATTCACGGGTAATCGGTTGATCAGGATCCCATCTACTGCCGGTCCTACTGGAAAGACACCAGTATTATAATACGTATTGACCAGGTCTGCATTCGCGTTGATCAAAGCCTGATCGTCAAGACCGAGCTCCCTCACGCAGTTGATATCACGGCTAGTACAACCAGGCACAGCCGAGCCCACGAAATTCTCGTAAGTCTGATTCAACGTCCCAGTACGATCCCACATGATCTCATATGCCGGGCTCTGTATGACGGCCCGTTGGAAAAGCGGATCCGTGCTGCCCTCATCTTGGACCAGGTGATGCAGAATCGAACTCGCCCCGGCCGACTCCCCCAAGCACTCACACTCGAGTTATCCCCACCCACCTGTCCAATATACGTCTGCACCCACTCCAACAGGAACCGCTGATCATGCAGCCCGGCATTCGGCGCCCCCGCCGTCTCCATATACTGACCCGCCAACCATCCAAAGGCCCCGAGGCGGTAATTCCCCGCCACAAACACCACATCCTCTCCCAGCGCCTTCGCGGCATTCACAGCGCCCACGCCCGTGTATAACGGGTTATTCGGATCCGGCCCATCCTTCGACCCTTCCACGAACGCGCCTCCATAGAACCACACAACCACCGGCACCGACGCGGACGGGGTGGTCCCGTTCGCGAAGAGCGAGGCAGGCAGGTAGATGTCCAGGAAGAGACAGTCTTCGGTCTGGTTCGGATCCTCACCTTCGCCCGCGTTCGGTTTCCCGATATATGGGACCTTCGGCGCCGGCGACCCGTCCTTGTCCCCCTTCTTCTTCTTCGTGCTCAATGCGACGGTGTGGCACTGTATCACACCCGTCGGGTCGGACGGCGTTACCCCCGCCGTCGGCGTGCTGGGTTCGCCGAACCGCATCGTCCCAGTGGGCGCATCCCCGAAACGGACGTTGGGGAATTTGTATATCTGGACTCAGTCAGCATACAAGCTTTCCTGCCCACCTTGGGGGGGGATGCAATGCCTACGTCTGTATCGCCGGAAGTGGTCGGGGAGATGTAGGTTGCTGTGTATGTTTTCCAGGGTAGGCTAATGGTTGGAGATGTGACCGATGGTGATTGGGCGGTCACCCAGATGGGGAGGACGACGAGGAAGAGTAGATGTGACATGTTGCAAATCTTTTAGCTTTCAATAGCCAGGGAACCAGAGGGGCTCGAAATTCAGTGCAAGTCAGGAAAACTCGCTGGAAGCTGGAAGCTGCTTGTCAAATTTTTGATTCGAGAGCTTTGTGACGGAAGAGGGATCCCTTGATCAACAGATGTCCAAAACAGCATCTATATTCCCGGCAAGCATTCCTGTTGACGGGCCCTTCTGTGGCTGGCTGGAAGCGATCGTAACGGGACACTAATCCTGGCATCACTTCCATTAGTCTTGAGGTATGCAACCCCCGCATGATTTGACTGAAGACCGCCACAAGCGAATGATTTTCCTTTCCATCTTCATCGCCGTTGCGCTCTTGCTTGACAGCGGCTCACCAGTCTGTGGCTGGCTGAAAGATGTCCGCATTTGGACAAGAAACGGGATCGCTTGGGGCTTGTAGCTCACTAAGCCTTGTAGTGCAATCATTTACCTTTCTCTCCGTCTGCCTTTCTGACCGTTCCTCCGTTGAAGGCGGAGAAGTCACAATGGTACTGGGTGTCAGTTGGGTCTAGACCGATGTGATCGAGATCAACATTTTCAACAAGTTCGACTGATTCGGTAAGTGACTGACTAGTAGAAGGTCGGACTGCCTTATGCTTGTGACCCCATAGCACGCATTGATCGCTTCAAAATCACGTTCTTTGGGAGAGTAAGGAGCAGCGTTCTGCAACCAGAAACCAATCTTACTCATTGTGTAGACTGAGCTCGCCAGTGGCAAGCTTCACATCTCTCGTCTTGATCAAGATTTGAGTCCACGATACTCACGCTCTCTTGTCTTAACCCGAACTTTTTCCTTTCATGACCGTTGTGCCCGTCTTCAGCACAACATTTCCTTCTCAACGCTTTTTGCGGCCATCCTTCAGTAGCGTCTGCAATAGGAGATCCATGTTTCTATCTTCATCGTCATATACAGAATTTGGAAACTTGTTTTGTTAGAGCATGAGATCATATCTCCCGAGTCAAGCGCGTCATCAATGGCCATTCCGGTAAGTTGAAGACTGATGATGTCGTCTCGAACCGCCAATGTCGCAAATCTTCGAAAAGAGTCGTGTTTTCGGAAGGGAGTCGGAGAGTGAGAGTTAAGAATTATCGCGCCGGCGCTTGTTACGCCGAGTTGTTCGAACATCAAAAGCTGATATAAACGATCCTTTGGTAATATGTTCAATAATACATTGGTGGGTATTCTTGCCGCCTTTTGGATCTCTAGCTCTCCGACGGCAGTATAATTCATATAGAACAAGAGTCGCCTTGCATGCAATGAAGTCGTCGAACTTGGGAGGTCGTATGTGTAGACGGTTTCGACTAAACAAAAATTATTTAGAATTATGAAGAGGACCCCCAGGAGGATACAAGTGGCTGCATGCAAATTATTCTCTCTGTTGTATTGTTTTTGTTAGATGGTAAGTAACGTATTGCTATTACCGCACATAGCATCGAGCATCCATCTCTCTAGTATTTGTCCGAGTCAACATCAGTGAGTGACCAGACATCGCAGCTTCAAGAGAACATGGTGTCAATCGTTTTTGATTCGATACAGTAAGCGAAGCTTGCACAAGAAGTGCGTTTTTGCGGTCTTGTGCTGCCAAGACCAGCCCCTGCTTCTTTTGCATGGCCGAGGGGGCCGTACCGCAATTTAGAATGCCCATACATTATTTAGTTCTATCACTTAATGAAGACATGTGTTGCTCACATCCAGGCCTCATGACTGTGACTACATTCAGCAGCTGAAGACCTGATCTTCGAGATCTCGGACTCGTCTGGAGGAGTACCAACATGCGAGCGGCCAATCCTTTCCGTCTGACCAGGTAGTACTCGACGCCTGAGCCGAAGGCTCTTTTTTGCTCTTCATGGTGAACGAAGAGCTCTACAAAGGTGCCTCTCTCCCCATACCAACCTACGATGAAGCCATATCCCGCCCATCGTCCTCTCAATCATTAGGTCCGGAACACAGTAGCCAAGATGCCGAAAGGCAAGGGCTGCTGGGCAGGAGGCCGGATCGTTACAGACCACCGGCAGTGGAATCTACACGGTCGAGCTTGGATCTTGATGGTGTCCTCCTCTCGTCAGGTGCCAACTGCAGATCGGGATCCACGGAAGAGCTTCGAAGAGAAATTGAACAGATGGAAATATTAGAGCCTGGAGGGGAAGGCGGCAGCTCGATGGCTGGACACCGATTCTCAAAACACATGACCTTATTGTCGAATACACTATCTTCTCTACATCTCCCTCACATTCCACGGTGGATGCCATCTTGGGATCACATACGAAGGCAACTGCCTCATGTCAAGCCGAATTGGGTGATTCTCGGTCGTTTCTTCGCTTTACTCCTCGTATTGTTCTCGGCATATCTTCTTGTTTTATCTAGCGTGTTCAGATCTGGACGCAATGCACGCGGAGCACAGTTGCGGCCTGAGATATTGCAGAACTATGCGCAAGATCATGTCAGCACAGCGAAGATCCGCGAGCATCTACAATACTTGAGTGGGTTCTCGCACGTTGCGGGCACGGAAGGAGGACAGGCTCAGACTCAGTATGTGGAAAGTATGTTTGCAGAAAGTCTGGAAGAAGTTGGTACAGAAGCCTTTGATGTCTATCTTAGCTATCCCAAAGAAGAGACTGGTGCTCGCCGCATTGCCCATGTTGAAGGAGAGAATGTGATATGGGAAGCAAAGATTGAAGAGGCATCGATCTATGATCCTCCGAGCAAGGCAAATGCTCCTCCCTTCCACGGGTACTCTAAATCAGGGACAGTGCAGGCTCCATTGATTTACGCCAATCACGGATCACAGCAGGATTTCAAGGACTTAGCAAGTAGTGGGATAAACGTCACAGGAACGATTCTGTTGTTCAGATACGGTAACGATCAAGCGTTAGATTCCCAGCTACAGGCTGCAGGCCTTGCCGGAGCTGTCGGTTGCATTACCTACAGCGATCCTAGTGAGAATGGGTATCTAAAAGGCGACGTCTATCCCCAGGGTTCGTGGATGCCCGATGACTACATACGCAGTGGTACTGTCGCCCATACCGGTCAGCTTCTTGGGGATCCACTATCTCCCGGATACCCATCTCTTGCTACTGAAGTTCGGAGAGATTCGGTGGGTGACAGCCCCGCATTGAGCAAGATACCCTCTCTGCCATTGTCCTGGCGAGACGCAAAGTTGCTGCTTAAGAGGTTGAAAGGGCACGGCAGCATGGTCCACGACGGGTGGAAGATAGACGGTGTTGACGACGTTGAGTGGTGGTCTGGAGACTCCTCCTCGCCCGTGATTCTCCTCAAAAATGATCTAGATGAAATAGAACGAAGGCCTATCTTTAACGTACTAGGAAGGATCACGGGTATTGAACAGCCTGACAAAGTTATCACAATTGGAAATCACAGAGACGCTTGGTGCTTTGGAGCTGGACAACCCAATGGTGGTACGGCTGTCATGTTGGACGTCATCAGGATATTTGGCGAGCTGAGAGCTAGCGGATGGAGGCCTCTAAGGACCATTGAATTTGCGTCGTGGTTTGTGATTGGCGAATGTTTACAATGTCCTTGACTGACTGTTACGATAGGGATGCTGGAGCATACAACCTCGTTGGCTCAACTGAGCATGTTGAAGCAAGACTTGATGAAGTGCGCCAGAACAGCGTGGCCTACATCAATCTGGGCAAAGTAGCTGTAGGTCCTAATTTTGGAGCTGCCTCATCTCCCCTCCTCCAAACGGCCTTGCTTCATGCTCTCGAGCGGGTCGTTGATCCAGCCGAAAATAAGACTCTTCGAGCGCTGTTTGCAGAGAAGCAATCTCAAATTACCGGCTTGGACGCTGGGGGCGATTATGCTCCTTTCCAGATGATTGGCGGCTGCTCCTCCCTTGAAATGGGCTTTGATGGCTCTTCATATCCTTATAATAGCTGCTATGATACTGATTCATATCTGGACCAATTTGGCGATTCTGGACTTCAATATCATAGGCGATTGGCTGAAATAGCGGCGCTGTTGATTCTTGATCTCTCTGATTCGGAAATTCTTCCTTTCGACTTTGAGACCTACGCAGAGTCTATAAGCTACTTTGTGGATGAGCTAGAGAAGTACGCAAATCCGAAGCACTACCTCGACTTCTCTTCGCTGCACAGTGCAGCCAAGGACATGGCTATGAACGCCAAAGAATTTCACGAATGGTCTCAAGCTTGGTCGAATCTGATTTATGGCTCAGACAACGGCTTTGAATCCAACGAGATGGCCATTAAGCGTATGAGTCACAATACGAGGATGGCGAATTTTGAAACACATCTCCTCGACATGGATGGAGGCCTTCCTGGTCGTGAGCAATTCAAGCACGTTGTCTTCGCCCCAGAGAAGTGGAACGCACATAAGCCATCATGCTTTCCCAGTATTCGAGATGCCGTCGATGACGGCAATTGGGACGTAGCCCAGCAACAGATTCAGAAGGTTGCGGAGATTTTGTCAGTTGCCTCCAAGAAGCTGAACCACTGATTTATTGCTTATTGAATCTTGTAAATATGATACCACCGCGTGAAAAGGTGATTAATGCGACGCTATCCAGGGGATGGCATCGATCTTAGAAGGTGATAAGCTGCGTCGACCATAAGTCACAACATCCCAGCGATGCTACAGCACATGAATACACCGAAACCTATAGCAGTGAATGGAGTTGGGGGGGAAAGCCAGACGCGACAAGCATTCTATCCGCAGGATTCGCTTTAATGGCAACGAGCTAAGCAAAATCGCACATGCAGCATCGTGAGTAAATTTTTCACCCTCACATGTTCGTGACTTTCTGAATACATTCAGGCGCTCAAGACAAGTGCATTCACTACATGGTGCTAGAGCCACTGCTTATTGCGTGCTGTATCTGCTCCCGACGTTCAAGTCGGAATTGTGTTTCCTACCGTGCTTGGGTCATAAGCAACGGTTCATGTCGGTGTATACATTCATCCTTGTACATAGTCCACCTTTCTCAAAAGTGTATGAAAACCTTTGCACCTGCTTTGACAATCTCGTCTCCGTGCTAAAGCCAAATCACGACTTTTACACCGCAGCTGCTTTTACCTCTGTTACAAGTTTGGAAGGGGACTTCCGCCACCACAGGCAGCCGGAGACCGAAGGAAATTCAATGATCGTTCACGCCCTCCGTATCTTCTGCAGTCCCTCCCCCACAGCCTCTTGTTGCCTTTGTTCCGCAGAAGCCCAAGCCTTCAAAGCAATCAACACAGATCGTGAAGAACAAACTACAATCCTGCAGCCTTCAGGGCGCTGGTGGGCGTTACAAGACCGGTAAGCAGTGATGGCATCGGTCACGGAGAGGTCACACAAGAGCCCACTTCGAGGTAGAGGAATGACAGAAAACATCCGAGGGTCCTCGTCAGCATGACTAGATCAGATCAGACCAACATGTTGGTAGGGTCTTAGCGAAAATCAGCTGAGGTTAGCGGCAGCCGATCATGTGCCTGTCCGTCCCTGTGTAGAAGTGTGCGATCTGGCAAGCGTGGAGCACATCAAAGACAGACGTAGCTGCAAAGCGAGCCACGATGGAACATCACGACTCTGGTGGCTGAGTGAGTGGTATCTAAATGCAGCAGTGTCTCATTCCCACAAGCCACCGTCGTGTTTTTCGCGAGGTCTCATTCAGTAAGAGTAGTTAATAGCTCTAGGCAACTGACACATTTCTATCATGCTGATGCAACTGAGCGTACCCTCTGCCCTGCCATCGCATCTAGAGTACGTACATATATCGAAAATAGCTCGAGTAGCCAGGAGGGTAAGGTCGCCTCGCCGCAGCCGCCAACCCAAGCAACGCAACCTAAGGTAACCAGCCTCTTCCCGGCCCGTTGGGGACCTCGGCGCTGGTGGGCGGGCTCTCTTTGTTCTCTCACTCCACTACCGCCGTACCACTAAATGACATAATCAAACCTCAAGCTCTGACGATGGAGGGGACACGGAATGGCTGAGGCGATGTTGCAAAGGCATACGGGCAGTGAGAGGGTACCTACCTACGTACCTACCAGCATCAAGACATCTTTAGGTCTGGATCCCCACCTGCTGGTGCCTGGTGTACGTACCGGCTCATCTTCGCTTCCCGAGGACGACAATTCCGTGGACGCCACCACCACCACCATCACCATCACCAGCCATCCCGTATTCGCAGACTGCCCTGGCCATCTATGGCTGAGGTACGTACCGCTATGGTGAACGCGTACTCAGCGTATCCACAAGAAGTCACGGGCCTGGGGCTCCCCTGCCGCGGGCATCCGCCGCTATCCGCTAGAACCCACCCACGGTCAGCAAGTGGCTGGTGGGGAAGTGGAGGTGATGCAAGCAAGTAAGCATGCGATCACGAGATCTGGAGGCTTGCTTGATCATGTAGGACCCTTGGGAACAGTGGGGTGTGCGTGCATGGGGTTATGCTGCGCTATGCTGCGCTACGCTACCTGTGGAGTTCTTGAGGTTCCATTGTGGTGGCTGGGACTGCTTCGTGTACGACTTCCATTGCTTACGCTGTAATAGTGCGGGGTGGAATGGGGTGATTCTGGCATGCGGAAGTTAATGGGCCGACTACTCTAGGGGACTTTGACATCACTATTATTGTGACAGGTCACCATCATCGACGACGTCAAGTGCACAAGTGCTTCTTTAGCGCTTACGGAGATCTACAGTTGACGACGGCGGGGTTTTCGTCTGATGGGATATGCATCACTATGGGTAGACCAGAGGTTTAGTTACTGGCTTACTGTGGGGTTAGTGTCCGCTGTGGAGTGCTATGATGCTATTCGAGCTGTTAGTTCGCCGCGAATGTCAGCGGCAAGGTAAAGGGAAGTCCTCCGTCAGCACTGTGAATGCGTCCTTGATGCCGGCGAGATGGATGATCCTGCGACTTTCCAGATATAGTACGCGTGGACGGGGGAGCGGGGCGCGAAAGAGGATGTCAAGGGGTGTTGAAACAGCGTCCGCCGTGAGATTCGTGGCGAAGTGCATGGTGGGGTGTTTCTCAACTCTCCGGTTGTTCAACTTCGACTGCTTTCTCGCGCGCGGATAGATAGATACCCTTGCATGGTGGCTTGCTGCTGGCTTGCTGCTGGCTTGCTGCTTTTCTGGCTCTCTGGCTCTCTGGCTTTCCGAACTGCGAGCTGTTTGAGCACGAAACTCCTCGCGTTCCGGATGTGTGGCAAAAGCTGCATGAGTCTTGCTGGATAAGCTGCCTAGTACGTGTCTGTCGAAAGTACGCATACCCTACATCCGGCATGCATCTTCTTCCTTACCCTTGTTGCGACCATCGAGGGCCTTCTGAAGGCCTGGAAAGTTTGAATTGTTGCTTTACGAGCTTTTCACAGAGTTTATTCCCCGCTCTCGAGCAATGATTATCTTGAATATCGAGGTTTGTGAGAGATGTGAAAGTTGATTCGTCGAAAGCCGTTAGATCGAGAGAAAGTCCTCTACCTGCAATGCTGATCAATGAAAAACAATCATCCGCTTGCTTGCTTGCTTGCAGGGTAGACTCAGCCCAGGCTTGTTAGCTACCGTCTAGTCCAAGCAAAAGGTTGCAAGTCATCGGTATAGAACCCAACGGCGTCTTTCGGGTATGTGGTTATGCACTGCATTGGCGATCATATGTCCAGCCTCTTTCGCTTTCCCAGAGAGTCCAGACTCCACCAATCGAAGGAAAGAGGGTGCTTCGGTGTGACGCGATGGATTCAATTCTCCTCCCTCGAGAGGATCATGCGCTAGAAGTGTGTGGTCTGTGCAAGCACTGGTGTGCCGCTAAGTCTACCTTGCGTGATATGGTGCATGCACGTAAGACAATCTAGCCTGGCAGGAGAGAGAAAAGTATGCACGCATCCGCTCTGGGCTGTCAGAGCTGCACCAATAATGGCAGGTGCTCTCTGGTCCTGGGTTTCACATGATTCTTGGACAGTAGATGTGTGCTGGACCATGGCGCCGCGGACTCTTGTCCGCAGTGGAGGACCGATTATGCAAGATAGCGTACTGTCAGCACTTCTAGCAGCGATGCTAGGCAGTTTGTTGATTAGTCTGCCCCAGCTGAATCCCCTACTGCTCTCAATCGGGATCGTGTGTTTTGCACGTCATGCAGAAGGGGGAGAAAAGCGGTGAAAAGAGGCCTGGTAAGGGAAAGTGTGCTTTCCTTTCCAGGAAAGGACGGGGCTGCCAATCACAGTCAGGGGCAGCGAAGTACCGAGATACATTCGTGATGACTTCTCTTGCCGAAGCCAGAGACATTATTGGAGGCTTGGCTGCCAAGATACAAGTAAAGGGGCGTCAGGGAAATAACTTAATGCGTTCAAAGTTTCGCCATTGCTGGCACTTCAGATTCTTCTATGTAGCTGACCCAGGGCGAATCAGACCTGGTCGGAGGATTTCTATTTACAGTCCGCCATAATATGTCGACATTCAAATATGTATGTTGAAAGAAGTCAAGCGCCTGATTGTGGAGCGTTCCGTGATCCTGGAGAAGTCGGCTTCGCAGTCCACACCTGGCCCTGTGTAATTAAATCATGATAAACAAAAGCCACCCGTTCGTGCCCGTACTCCTTCGCTTAATAGTGGCATGAAGCCTCCGCCCAGTGTTCTATATTCAAATAAATGTAGCCGCAAGTACTGGCAGACGTTGTGTTGTCGTACAGTCGTATTTCACGTCGCGCATGTAATCCAAAATTAAGTCGCGAAAAATGGCCGTCCTGGGCAAGATTCCGGAAATCAATGGGGGATGTTGCCCGTCCACGGAATTATGATCGCTGGGTGCATCCCAGTGTTAGTAAACCATCGGTCCTGGGAGCAAGCCCTGGTGTGGCTGGCCTTGAAAGGAAACCGGCCATGAAAAAGGAAGACAGGTATTGAATAAAAATCCTTGAGGAACCGGTTGAGCCTGTGGAATGTATGGAGTTTGCTGAGGTGGGGATTGTGTGATGAAGTTGAGACCTTGGGGTTTCGAAACATACTGGTAACTAGAATGAGAAGATACGGAGGACCAGCTCGAGTTGGAAGATCGGTCTGAAGCGGAGTCAGAAAGAGAAGAATAGGACGAGACCGAATTGTTGGATGAGACCGGATAAGACAGCGGAGAAGGTGGAGTGGATCCATAGGTCACCTGGGGTGCTGACTGCACCTCAGGTGGGGGGGGCAATGGGCCTGTCACCAAAGGAGTAACGTAAGGAACCCGGGATACTTGTTGTTTCTCCGGTGGCGGTGTCAGCAATCCAGTGACGGACGGCTGGGTCGTAAAGCTAGGGCAATCCTCGATCAATTGGCGCAGCTCAGCGATTCCTATCCTGTTGTGTGCGTCGCGCTCAAAGATACGGGCCAATATGGCATCCAGGTCTCGAGAGATGGGCAAGATCGTACTGAGAAACCTTGGATTCCGAGAGTATGCTTTGTAGGTGGAATCTTCTAGACATGCCCGCTTCCATGGGTTTCGGCCACAGGTGAGGTTCACTAGAATGATGCCCAAGCTCCACACGTCGTTTGGCGCCGAAGCATAACAGAAAGATTGTTGCGGCGATGATTGGCATTCTGCAGAGAAAGGGTCAGATCTACGTCAGGATTGTCTGGAATTCAGACATACCTGGCGACATATAAAATGTACTTCCGCATCCGAAGTCATCCGTGACACTTTCTTGTGTTGCGAGACCAAAATCGGCAAGCTTCACCGTCCAGCCGCCATTGGAGACCAGAATGTTCTCAGGCTTCAAATCCCTGTGGTAAATGCCGATAGAATGGCAGAATTGTACTGCATCCAGAATCTGGAGGAAGGCTCCCTTTGCCATGGTATCATTTCCAAGATAGCGACCCTCTTCAGTGATATTGGAGAAAAGGTCGCCTTCTGGGCAGAACTCAAGGACCACAAAGGTGCAGTCTTCGGATTCCATAATCTTTACCAGAGACACCACATTTGGGTGGTGACTCGCCTCATGGTGGAGTTGAATCTCCCTCTGCTGGAATCTGCGGGATCTTGAATCCAAACCAACCTTGTTTAAGGCCTTGACAGCGTAAGGGACATGGGTATGTATATCGATTGCTGTGTAGACCACCCCGTAAGCACCAACTCCCAGCACACCGGTCAATTCGAGCCATCCGGCCAGAACAAGACCCAGACGGTCATCTGGAGAACATGATTGTTTTAATATTGGCGATGGCGGCGGAGTTGGTAGCATGACAAGGAAATGTTGAAAAGCTCAAGCTAAAGCAAGCACAATTCAGTGATCTCCTTTAAATGGCAGTCCTGCTGGTCCAGAGGGAAATTACAATGTTGTCGGTATTGCCTGAATCGGAGAGAAATATGGCCAGGAAATCCTGGGGGGAAGCCTTGAACCAAAGGAGCGTGTCGAAAGTGTACAGGCGCAGTGAGGGTGAGAAAGGGCTGGGTTGGAAGAGAGGAGGTTGGGAAGGCGTAATATGAGATTGAAGAATAATGAGGCCACTGGCGCCTCGTGATGGAGATAAATACCAGGTGAAGGAAAGTGTGAAGTCGGTATACAGGACCCGCGAACAGAGATGGGGCGACTTGTACCAATTACATATTTGGGTGGCCCAGCTCGATTACCCACTCAGCTGCACTGCCGGCCGTGAATCACCAGCATCCCTACTCAACAAGGCTGACGTCTAACTTGCTTAGCATCCTTTAGCATCCTTAGCTTCCCGTACTATTTTGCAGCAGAAAGACTAAGCGGAGTGCAATCAAGCGCTAGCAACCTGGAGCTACGACATGGGGGGTGGCAAGCGAGAACAACTTTGAACGAGGGCTTACCAGCTAGGACTCCGCCCTTGGCCGGAACGGGAGTAGGATTCACAACGTGCATGGACGAGATCTGTTGCGTGCGGCTAAGTGCGTGGTAGTGCTTCACCTATTCCTTCATGACGAGGATCTGGAACCGGCCAAGTCGCAGGTGGAGGGGAACGCTGACGCGTAGTGGTGGGCACTGGTGGCCCACCCGTCTGCATTTTGCCTCACTTTCATCCTAGCGTCCTTCGTAGCCACTCACGGCTACTCGATGAGCACGCAAGCCTCTCGTGCCAGCGTTAACGCCGGTCGTACCCCATATCCAGGCGTTGATTGGCTTAGACCCCAGACAGTGATGACTGTCTGCCTGCAGGAGGCGGCAAGAGGTTGGGAACGAAGGAGCCAGTAGTGGCGGCGCAGCAACCTCGCCCTTGGCCTAAAAAAATATTCGGGCCTTCGTTGGGTCTTTCGGCTTTCTAGCATGGGAATATCCTGTTCACGAAATCTGCGCATGCAAGGCGTACGCCTGATCTCATGATGACTACACCTCTGTTTCGGTAGGGTCACGCCCTCTGCCTTTGATCACCAGGGCCACTGGATCTGTGGATTGGAGTCACATTCTGCAATGTGAATCGTGTCGGTAGGCGTGAATATAGAGACCGTTGCAGCGCGATCTTCCACCTCCTCAGCGCTCAATGCGAGGAAATTTTCATGTGAATAATAATGTGGCTTAATGCCAGTTTCCATATATCCGGTGGCTCGAGAGTGCCATCTGAATGGTGCGTGTATTTTGGCGGTACGTTCCAATCTCACGACCCCCGTTGGTGGCTCGGTCGACGGCAGCCTCCTCTTGAAACCTTTCTCAAGCCGCAAAGCATGCAAGCAGTCATTTTAGCAAGTATTTTGTTGCACGTATACGGCACATAGCGTCGGCGAGCCAAAGTGAAGGCGCCTTCTCCCAAATTTACCGCACCAGTCCTCCCCGGTCTAACGCGGAAAAATTCTGGAGGGTGCTGCAGGAGAACTGCCAAGGTGTGCAAAATTTGGTTCTCGCTTACGAGCATCATCCACTCAGCGAAGGGTCCGGGCATGGCGCCAACAAAGGCACTTTGCCTCATTCTTCGTAGCCTCACGGGCCTAAATCCGTCTCCCTCTTTCTGTCGTTCATCTGGCGGCCCGTGCTTTTGCCGACCGAAATAAAGACGGTTGGCCGTTCGGGCATCGATTTTGGGATGACTGTAAATGAAGATCATCGTGCCCCGTTGTTGGTGATTACTCCTAGGCTCTCCCGCAGGACTCCGCTCTTAATGGCTCTATAACGGTCACGTGGCCCTATTCCATCCATCGTAGCATGACACAACTAGTGATCACGTGTATGCAGTGAAGGGTTCCCTTGCTTCATTGATCCCGTGACGTTGCCCCTAGAATCGCGATCTCTCGTTCCAGGCAACAGCTCTGACAAACGGGGGTTTGTACGGCAATCGTTCCACAGTCTCGATAACATTTGTTGGCAACCATGTGGTGGTGGAAAGTTCCTCTGACTTCTAGAAGGCGCTAACTAAGGTACTTAGACTAAAGCACATGGTTTAATTGGTCGATCACAGGACAGTTTCGGAGATTTCGTTGGAGGGCTAAGATTTGTGTAAAACGCATAGACCTTGTATAACCGGATTTGGTGTTAGAATCATACTACCGGTGATTGGTCTGCGCTGTTTATGGCCATGTAGGGGCCGAGGACCCGCTACGTTATTACCATTTCTGACGGTCCTGGATGCAAATCATAGTGCCGCGGACAAAATGCTAGGTGCGCATGGCCACAACAAGCACGCAGAGCGTTGAAAATTAAGACATCATCCCACGCGGTCTCAGGTTAGTCTATTGATGTGCATCGTCTCATTCGTATGTGCACGAGCCAGTGCAATATCCAGAATTTGCCCATGTTTAGGATTGAAACGCCGATGACAGAGCAGACGCCCATGGCCCTTGCGCCCTGCAAGTGTAAGTATCCTAGGAAGGATAAGAGAGTATGACATGTGTAGAAAAGGCTCAGGAGCCAGGGCTCTCATGCGACCCGTGTCACCGGCCTTGGTGGAGTCTCGCTTCTCCTTTCTCTTCGGCTCCTAAGTCTTGCAGGCTCTAAGAGTAGACTTGTGTATCACACTTCGCTGCTGTCTCACCGCTCCTTTCGGGCAATGTGGGTCTGGGAACGCGAATTCCTCAATAATACAGCTACAGCGGTAAGGATGCGATAAGAGCCTCCAACGAAAAATGTCGACTTCACGCTGGATGTGCCAAGACATTGCAAAGAGCATCGCATCGAATCAACATTCCCAAAGCTCCTTATTATTATGTCATCAGGACATCCTTCCGTATTATGCGCTTGCAGCTTCAATTTGGCTTCTATTGTTCTCTGTACAACTATACACCACCACGTGCCTATGACCAAAGTTTCGAATGAAATGTCTTGTGCTAATGTGTCACAGTATATGCTATACTCTGTTCACGTTTACTGTGCTTGTTCGGTGTTCTAGTAATAGGCAGTCGAGATCTATGGTGTATTCACCAATGATTGTGGCACTGAAGCCGGCATGTCTGGCAGATGGTAACTGACTTCTAGCCCTGCCCTTGATTGTCATGAGCAGCCATCGCACAAACGGATCAGGAGATTACGTGCAATTTAGCTTACCACTCTACCCCGCTGTGCCATGTGGTCCATGCTTTGCGTTTCCTTATCGAGAAGAAAGCTTGCTCTACCCCTTCGGAATCAACCCCAAGCCAGCTCTCTTATAACCTCTTGCCCCATTTCTCACCCTCGCCATTACGAATCGGACCGCCTGATTTTAGTGGTTGCATCTTGATCGTCCTTTCCTCCATCCTTAGCGGAAGCTCGCGAAGTCCAGTCACTCCAGACCCATTATGTGCTTCAACCCGTGGGCGTCTAATGCTCCAGACGAAGAAGCTACAGATGCGCATCCAATTGTGCAAGCTGACCAGAAAAGGCGGAAAATGTCTAGAGATAGAAAAATGTCGCGCGAAGAGAAGGATAAAGTGAGGATGGAGATGGCTGCTCGGAAGATGGAGGGGCGGAAGAGGAGGGACGGGCAATGACATGCTGCTGGTTGTGGATAAGGGGGAGGGATATATGGAGCGAAGGACTCCGGTAATGCAGCGAGCAAGATGACAAATCGGGTATGGCGTGGCGTCGGGCGTCCTCCGAGCTTTATGGGTTACAGCTGTTGCGGAAAGACGAAGGCGGCATACAACGGGATCAAACGCTCGATACCAATGGTCGTATTGTGGAAATCGAATCTGACTACCAAGGTCGACAAGGAGAGCAATCATCGAAACTTTCCGCCCTCATGATTTGAAGGAGACACCTCTTTGATCCCGTCACCACAATCGGAATCGCACATTAAATGTTACACAACTTTCAACGAACTTCAACACAGAGACGTCATTCCATATATTAGATGCAAGTATCGAGCAGATTCAATACGGGAGAATGGCATGTCTTCCTACCAAGTATTGATTTGTGTCTTCTGACAACGTGCCTCTGTATGTGCTTGCAGTTTATTCTCGCTTAGCGCACTTTGAGGGTCCGAAGAGAAGCAGGTCTCATTATCATGGGGATTTTATTGATGTCGGCGATCGTTGAGAGAATGAAAGCCCAGTCAGACTACAAACGTCAATTTATCTTCCACTATCGGAGAGCAGGTGCGCTCATTCAGCTAGCGGTTAATTGTATTCGCCCATCATATGGTAAAATTGAAAGTTGGCTTTGCTAGCGTCCGAATTTGGGTAAAACACGGTGGAATCCTATCATGATATCGTCGGAAAGCAATGACAAGCCCATTCACTTGCTCATTGTCACAATGACAGAAAATGTAAGGATTGATGTGGATGGGTATGGATAATAGCACATCTTTCACCTGACCATGATTCTCATTTAATCCTTTTACCATTTCTAATGAGTGTAGATGAATGACACCGGTACCCGAAACATCAATTGAGGATGCTGATCCTCTGCAACAGCAATTTTCTATAAGCGGATATACGAAGCTGTAAGCTCTGTTCAGCCACTCCTGATGCTGCTGTTCATTAAAACCTGATTCGAAGATTGGAGAATCACTTCGCCGAGCGAACAGCAAGTTCTCGGTTAGATTCTCACAGTATATCCCGCCAGTTGGGTAGCATATTTGCGTACTCAACTTTTCTTTGCTCCAACTGAAACGAGGTTGCCAATGACCATGTACTTCTCCTGGAACTTGGCTTCCCAATCTGCCAAGGCTGCCATCTCATCGTCCCTCAGGCCTTTGAGATTATCTAAAGGTCCTTGCAAGTCTTTGGTCAACATATCCTCGTCGAAGCTTCCACATGCCAACCCTCTACTTGCGTCTCGGCCCGCGAAATTTTCATACCAGCCACCAGGTCCATAGAAGCTTCGCCCCGGCGAGACATCAAAAACGGTGCCTTTAACGGCGAAATAAATAGGCTTGCCGTTTTCCCCGTTGAATTCCTTAAGCTCCGGGGGGTATAGGTCTTGAAAACGGTCGGTAGTGGATCTTTTGGGTGGACAGGCGGGGGTGAAGGTCGCAAGCGATAGTACACTAGGATCAGAAGAAGCGAGAGGAGTATGAGGTTGATGGGAGATACGATGGAAGCACTAAATGAGCCGAATGAGCAGATAACAAGTGTTGCACTGATGTAGAAACGCTTACGCCTGTGTCGCCTTCGGTGGATGGATGGCTGAGAAGTCTCCTTCAGCCTCTGGAAGCTGCGCAAAGAGGGAACTCACTGTCGGACATGATGCTCCCTGATTGCAACTTATAATTCAGCCAGAATGAAGTCGGGTAATATTGAAAATTGAAGCGGTGATGAGGCTCCGATGGCACGGCGGCGGCACTCGTCTAGTATCAGCGACGGATCAACTACGCCGATGACGTGCCACAGGCAGCGGGTCCACCACTTTATTGCGGTAACGAGAGGATTACACGATGAGAGGTCACCATTGATGGACCAGTAGTATTTTTGGCCTTAGTCTCAATGGTTGACAGGCGAGAGAATGGGAGTGGTCAGAGGCCAATGGTGGGGAGTGGGGACGAGGGCGGTCCTTAAGAGGGTCGGCAGGCGGCTGTTTTAGGGTCTGCGCTGGGTCGGAACAGCGTGTTTCATCGCACAGTCAGCAAATGGAAGCCAGTCGATATGCCATAAGCCCGTAATAAATAACAAATCAGGCCATGCAGGTTGGGCAAACACGACCACGAAAGCGTATGGCCATGACTGACAGCTCTTCTCCCTCTTCCTCTTCCTCTTCCTCATCCTCATCACTTCCATCACCACTTGCATCACTTTTGTCACCACCAGCTCACGCAGGCTTGGAGCAAGACAAGTCAAGATCCGCTGCGCACCATGACCAGCTACCAAATCGTCTAGCTGAGCCGTGATCTGCATCTTTTTTCTTCCCTCCATTTCTTCGTCTCTGGAAAACGTGAAATGTGGAAACAGCGCCCGAAACACAAGCGATCGTCCATTGGCAGTCCAACCTTAATTGGGAGCGATGTCGACCCTCTGATTCTTCAGAACGCTACCCATATTCTACCTACCACTCCCACCCAGCATTCTCGACCTCCATTAGGAGGAAGACAGAGCACTGGGGATGTTTCCAAAGCCTTGCCAGACCTCCCTTTGTTCGTCCTTCTATTACTGCTCCCCCTTTGTACCTGCATGTTGCATTGCTCTTTGCGGCTGACCCTTCCTATTAGCGACTCGCCCCAGTCTTCTGAAATTTCTCAACAACGACCAATGTCGGAAGTAGCCACCATACCATCTGTCTACTCGCAACCGTCCCCTGAATTCGAGCATTTCTCAGGCGTAGGGTCCTACTCGCCCCCCGAGTCATCCTCCATCTATCCCGAAACGATTTCCCCACCAGACACTCCGCGCACCATGGGCGAAAGAGAAAGAGTAGAAAGGACCTCCCCTGATGTCTCTCCAATCTCGGCGACCCCAAGTCCAACAGCAATGCACCACCCTGAATTGACCTTGAGCGGCTCCAAGAGGTACAGCAGCAATTTGCCCGTCCCAAGAAGCAATACAAAGAAGTTTTGGAAGCTTCCAAATGCGGGCAAAAGATCGGAGGACCCGCAGTCCTCTCAGGTACACTGGGATGAATACTCTGGCGAGCCAACTGCGGAAGACAAGGGAAAACCTGCTTCCGCTACTCCTGGATCTATCAAACTACGTGAGACTCCAAGTCCGCTGAGGCTGAAGACTGCCCTGGGAACCTCAACACACATTAGCAGCGGCAATATACCTGCCCGAAAAAGGGTTGGGAGCAGAGAAGTCGCAGATGCTCCAATCATCATGAGACCCGAGTGGAAAGGTGCTGGTGGTCGCCACAGCATTGTCAAACCATTATTTGACAAACCGTTTTCACCTGGGCAAAGTCGCAAGTTCCCTGAAGGCAGTCACAAAAAGTGGCTCGAAGAGCAGGAAAAGGAAAGAGAGGAACAGGAGCGGCTAGCGCAACAGCAGCTCGATGAGCAACGGCTAGCGAGACAAACCGAAGAGCAGGAACGTAAGGACCAGGAGGAGGAAGCCATTGAGGCTGCGAAGCAGGAGAAAGAGCGCGCAATGCAAGAACAAAGGGAACGCCAACGTGAACAGCAACAAAGAATGGCCCGCGAACGGATCGAAAAAGCAAAGCGTGAGCGTGAGAGGATCCTTCATGGGCAAGAAGAAAGCGAGCGGCGGGCTAAAGAACGAGTTGAGAGGGTTTCGCCTCCGCCAATGCCAGCCCCGCTAAGGATTGCCTCAAGATCGCCTACATCTCCCAAGGCGCCGACACCAACTATGCCCATCACTTACGACAGATTGGAGGCAAATGTGCAATCTGCCGTGGAACCACTGATAAGCCAAGGCTCTTCTGGAGCAACCACTCCAGTAGCACCAGATCAAAGAACGCGCATAACACGCTTGAACAATCTAATGAATGACGACACAAGATCCCCTCTGGCTCGAAACCCGAGCAGTGAGGAGTTGAGGGACCGAAAGAATCAGGCCTTACCAAGTCTACCCCGAAACGGTCAACCAAGTCCTTTGAGTCAGTTGACCACAGATCAGTCCTTCTCAAACGGATCCGGTGACGAGTATCCCGTCCGAGACTCTAGCCTCAGCGACGCGGGTCAGATTGAAGCAAGGTTCCGCGCCAATTTACAGCATGTAGCTCTTCCTGATCAATCACAAAGTCGCTTCAGTGCAACCACTGTGGCGACCACAGCATATGATAATAGCCCTCCACAAACGCCAGAGATGAAGTCGACAGTCTCTTCGAATACTAATACACCAGAATCTATCCTCAACCGAAAGAGACCAGTAGCTTCATCAGGGGTCATACGGCGAAAGCCCACCCCTTCTATGGCAGGGACTCCTAATGGCGTGACCAGAGAAGACTCCAAATCGCTCCCGAAGCCACCACCTGACGCTGAAATTGTAGATCCAATCCAAACACTGCAAGCTAAGCAGGATGTTCTGCGCAGACGGCGTCGCAATCTAGAGACGGTCATTAACGAGCTGACCAACGTCGTACAACCAAGCTCCATCGCATATGATCGAGCATCTAGACTCGAGATCAAGAAAACGGTGGCTGGGTTGGAGAAGGAGCTGTCAGAAGTGGTCAAAGATGAGCATGAAACGGGTCTGAAACTGCATCGGGCTTGGAAGAGACACGAAGATTTTGCCCCGTATGAACCAACAAGTATATGGGTGAGGAGGGTGACGACATGATCGAAGCAAGAAGTTAAAGGATCACGATCAAATTGCAATCGGCTTGCACTTGAGCTGTATTCTTAGCGCTTCTTTCATTTGTTCTAATAGCATTGGTAGCTGTACGATATGTGATGACTAGCAAAGATGAGTCGCCTTATTGCATACGGTCATATTTTCGATCATGAATGCGTTATGCGAGCGCAAGAATTTCCATCTTTGATAGTTGTCATTTCCCTTTCCCGGACTTTTTGATGCCTTGTTGGCCCGCATTCATAGGTCCCTTGCCTTTCGCCTTCTCGGCCATTTCCTTGTTTGCCTTTGCATCTATCAAACGCTCATTAGGTGTGACTATGCAGAAGATCATGTGGGTCTGATTTACCAGCTTTTTGTTTTTCCCTGTACGCAACTTCATCGTCATCTAAGTCTTTCTTGTCTTTCTTAGGGGCTTTGAGCGGTTTCGCTTTGCCGCCTAAGGAAACCGTCAGTAAGCGTCGTGTCCGAGAAGGGTGAGCACTAACCTTCTCTACTGTTACCGCCCATATTTGATCTGCGTGATGTGAGTTTTGGAGATGTACGAGAAAACCTATGAGGCACTGCCAGAGCGGGCGAGGGGGGGCTGATAAAGTCTCGGCCTCAACTTAGCCGCGCGTTTGCTTTCCTGCCGGGCGGCGCGGATTTGCCTACCAAACTTTCACCTACCTCACGCCATCACCACTGGTCTAATGTGCAGTTATCGCAAATTGTCTACAGCATCGTCCGCTATCTCTAATGGCTGCTTCAAACGCACAAACGAACCGATAATGAGCCTTGGCTTGTCGCTGTGAGATCACAGAACATCACGGTTGGGCTTCTGCTAAAGCCCTACCATCTATCTGAAGTTTGTGGCTAACGGACAATCGTTGTATATCTCTAGACAGCCAAGAGTCGGTACAAATACAAAGTCTAGATGTCTCGCGACTCATCGGCCTCCCCTTCCGAGGGTGAGATTTTAGAATCAGGCTCAGAGAAGGCAAACACGTCAACCAATGGAAGTAGAGAAACAGGCGTTGACCGTCCATCCAGAACTCGGGTCACGATCTCTCGGTCGCCCTCTCCATACAGAGCCCTTGGTCAACATAGATCACGTGGCCTCTCTCGAGACAGATCTCGTTCGCCTTTCCGAGAATCGCGAGGAGCCAAAAGACGCCACGAGGCTGACCATTACGATCGCCAACACAAAGATCCCAGACGCTTTAAAGTACGATATGAGGACTCAAAACAGAGAGGCAGTGATTTGCGACAATCCTCGCATCGTGAGACCACCTATCAGGATTCAGGCTACAAAAAGTATGATCAAGCCGACTATCGAAACACTCTTAGTCGTTCGCGGGATAATCGCGGACTCCAGAATGGCTACTCAGAACGATCTTCGACTCTCCATAAAGGACCCAAAAAAGAACACGGTTACCTCCATGATAAAGATGTGCGATCCGGCAACCACTCGCGGCGAGGTCAGGATGAGAGGGATCATCGGGAAGGCAGAGTCCGCGTTACCAATGAACAGTCAGTGAGCGATCAGGTCTTCGGGCCAATTGCTACTGCCCAACAATATCATCATGCTAAAACAAACAATGCTCAGACGCCTGATCGTAGTATCATTAATACAAATGGGAACCGTTCCAAATCAGCTGAGTATGTCCCACCACTGGCAAGGGGATCTTATGCTGATTTATTTTCTTATAGTGGTGGTGCGGTGAACCCCTTTAACACGATAGTGGAGGCAATTGTCTGTGTCCCTGAGACCCAACACGATGAGGCAGCATTGATCGAAGAACGCCGCAAGAGGCGAGAAGCCATAAAAGCCAGACATAGAGGTCAAGCCACTCCTATGCTTGTGCAAGCTCCAGCATTAGAGAAAGATTCTGAACCAAACACACCGAGGCTAGAGACTCAAAAGCCACAAGGTATGCCCCTACAACCTCAAAAGTTGGGTGGTGTTGACCCTCTGACTGTAGCGTCTCCCAAGTCGCCCTTACCTTTTTCTTCCAAGCCCGTTGATGAGCAAGAATCGCCAGACGAATTCATCGTCGCTAAAGACGCCGATTTGGCAAACAGCAGTATAATGCGGGACTCTACCAGGCCAGAAGAGGAACCTTCTGCAGCTGATTACGACCCAACAGTAGACATGCAAGAAGACAAAATTCGACATGACCAATATCAACAGCAGGATGCAGTATCTGCTTCTGTTTATGACGAGACCAAAGAAGTGGATCAAGACGTAATTATTCGTGAGACTACTGCAGAACAGCCGACCCAAAAGGGCGTGTCTGATGGTTTCGATATGTTTGCAGAGGATGTTGACATGTTCGTGGACGGCCCAGTGGTACCCAGAACAACCGACAAGACATCAAGCAAAGCTGTGCCCGTAGCTCAGACTCAAGCTCGAGACATGAGCATGCTTGACGACTCGGATGACTCGGATGGTTACTACAAAATAATCCTCGGCGAGCTGTTGGATGGTCGCTATCATGTCCAATCGAACCTAGGTAAAGGAATGTTTTCGGGCGTAGTTCGTGCGACGGATCAGAAGACACAACAGCTTGTTGCGGTCAAAGTTGTGCGTAACAACGAGACGATGAAAAAAGCTGGCTTGAAGGAGATTGAAATCTTGCAGACGCTTAAGGTTGCAGATCCAGAGGATAAGAAACACTTGATCCGCCTTGAGAGATCGTTTGAGCACAAGGAACATCTATGTATGGTTTTCGAGAATCTCAGCATCAACCTGCGGGAAGTCTTGAAAAAGTTTGGCAGGGATGTTGGCATCAACCTCAAAGCCGTCAGAGCATATGCTCAGCAAATGTTCTTAGGTTTGAGCCTCATGCGAAAGTGTAACATTATACATGCGGATCTCAAGCCCGACAATGTCCTCGTCAACGAAAGCCGTAATGGGCTCAAGATTTGTGATCTAGGGTCTGCTTCAGACGTTTCTGATAACGAAATTACGCAATACCTCGTAAGCCGCTTCTACAGAGCACCAGAAATCATCCTAGGACTGCCCTACGATTTCGCCATCGACATGTGGTCGGTTGGATGTACACTCTTCGAGCTATATACGGGTAAGATATTGTTTGCTGGACGGAGCAATAATCAAATGCTTCGTGTAATGATGGAATGTCGCGGCAAATTCAGTCAGAAAATGCTACGAAAGGCCCAATTTGCGGGCTTCCATTTCGACGACATGCTTAACTTTAGAAGTATAGAGAAAGATCGACTTACGGGAAAAGACAGTATCAAAACGCTTAACTTTGCAAAGCCAACCAGGGATTTGAGAACCCGAATCTCAACTAACGTGAAAGGTATGGATGATGGCGAGGTAAAGGAGGTGAATGTGTTCATCGATCTTTTGGACCGCTGTTTGAACCTGAACCCTGAGAAGAGATTTACCCCAGCTGAAGCTCTCAAACACCCCTTCATCCTGAGGCAAAAGGTCTGAGAACTTGAGTGTTGCCAGTTGCCTGGACGCTGATGGCAGCTTACGGACACCGGTGAGTAGAGGGTATCATTTAGCAGCACGACATGCGAGAAGGGCCAGAACACAAGGTAAATCGGTATATCTTGCACACGAGGAATATACCCTTATTGGCAGGCAAGCTAGGGCCTTCGTAACCTTCTTTTGCTTTCTTGATCACACTTCGACTCCAATGCTATCGTGCTCATGTCGTTCTTGATAACGCACGTAGCGGCCGTTTAATCCTTTGCTGATCTGATCGATCATTCCGGTATTGAGCCTTGCCTGATTTGGAGCAATCTGAGCGTGAAACATGCTTGATAATCAACATCGAGGCCCGCGATCCGTGGTGGATTTCGCGCATCTTACGCCCACAATGAGTCGGGGAGCTAAGACTGAATCGTCACTCTCATCTCTACCGAGTCGCTGGTGCCTGCATGTGATTTGAAATGCAGACCTGTGAATTACCTTTGACGTCATCATGCGTCTAGTCCGGACAGAACGACTTCTATTGCTATATATCCAATGCTTCTTTCGTTGGAGTCTCAGCTCCTACACCCTCACCCATCTCTGCTCGTTTTTCGCCTTTCATCAGATGTCAGCATGGCCGACGCAACCAAGTACACCAACAAACTCCACTCCAAACGAGTCCTCATCCTCGGTGGCAGCTCTGGCATAGGTTTTGGGGTTGCAGAAGCGTCGCTCGAGCACGGCGCCCACGTCACCATCTCCTCCTCAAGCCAAAGCCGTGTCGACAGTGCCGTCGCCTCTCTCACGTCCAGCTACCCCTCCGCCAAATCCCGAATCCAAGGCTTTACAGCCAACCTCTCCACCCCCGACCTCGATGCCAACATCCACGATCTCTTCACCAAAACCACCAATTCCGGAAAAGAGAAACTCGACCACGTCGTCTTCACCGCCGGGGACCACCTCTCACAAGTTCCGCTCGTAGATACAACACTCGAGACCTTGCAGAAAGCTGCGATGGTGCGGTTCAACGCCCCCCTGTTGACAGCCAAGCACGCGGCCAGCTTCCTTAACCCCGGGCCGGGGAGCAGCATCATCATCACCACGGGCAGCGTAAGCGAGAAGCCGATCGAGAATTGGGCTGTCGTGGGTAGCTATGCTGCAGGTGCACATGGCATGATGAGGGGTATCGCCCTCGATTTGAGACCGGTCAGGTGTAATCTGATCAGTCCGGGGTTTGTGGACACGGAGATGTGGGATCATTTGAAAGGTGAGGGTGCCGCTGGAGGGGGGCAGTATGAGAAATTGGTGGAGGCACAGAAAAAGGTGACGACCACCGGGAGGGTTGCGAACGCTGGGGATATTGCTGAGTGAGTATCTATCCTGCCCTCTCCACTTTTTGCAGTTTCGCTCTTTTTCCTTGTCTTCAACTTAGGGGTTGTGGAAGAGTAGTACAGAACACTACTATTTAAGTAGGGGGGGGTTAAGGGAGATGCTGACAGATATTGCAGATCGTATATCTACGCTATGAAGGATCTGAATATTACAGGCAGCGTCATATCAACGAATGGAGGTGTGTTGTTGACGACTGCGATCAAACCCTTTGATTAGGGTTACCCAAACCCAGAATCACGATAGTGCTTTTATCTGCTGAAGATGCTATGACTATGTATGATTCTCTCGCTTCATCAGGATTTTTAGCTTGGTCACATCGTAAAGTCAGCCTTCAGATAACAGGAACAGATTTGAAAATGAGAAATACCAGAATCTGTTCAATTTCACCTTCGTCTCCTTTCTAAGTCTGACTCTGCTTTTGTCTTCCGGTACTGACGAGACTGAGATTCTGCCTTTCTGCAAACATATTAGAAGCAAGGATCATCACTAGCTCCCATATACTTCAATCTCACACAGCAAATAGCATACAATGAATAACATACCGCAGTCATGTTGAACCTCAATACTATCAAAAAGATTTTGTACAAATTTTTAAGCGACCCTTGTAGGACCTTCAAACCTCTTACATTACCCCTTTCTTTCTTATCATATTGTGCAATCTCAGGATTTTTGCTGGGTGTCAATACCCTATTGACCTGCTGGATTTTGAATTGAACCCGCAAAAGCCTTGTTTTGCCATTTGTAATCGTACGTGATGTTATGACTGGGATTTCCCAGCTTTTGTCTGTTTAATCGCAAGAAGTTATGCATGGGAATTCTTGGGATTAGCAGTGTAATGACGAATACTTGTTGGTGGGGAACGCGTGCTTTTCTAGATTTACTTGATTGACCAACCGGAACTATGAAATAATGAGGCTGTTATGATATAAGTTGACCAGCTTACAGATCCAATTAATCGAGAAGTATCGGACTGCCGTCACATACAGGAGCATGACAAAAGTATGTGCTTAGAGCATTTGGCGACCTCGTGAAATGCAGACGGTCTTTCAAGTGTGATCGATTCTGGATAGCGTCACGCTGGGATCAGACGTCGTCACTATACTGAAAAATCATAAGGGTATGGTATCATTATCTCGCAATATAGTCTATGTACAATATACAAGTCTAGGGCAATCTGCTCAAGTTCTCCATTGCCCATCTATCTGCTTTTTCCGTACCTAGAAGTTTTCGTTAGCAGTGGCTCAACAAGTATGCAAGGAAGAGAAGGAAAGTCTGGATACCGTACCATAGGCGCCAAAAACGAGGTCCCAACAGCCAGCGCAGCAACTGTGCCTACAAGCTGCAGTTTACTGAATCCTTTTCCTAGTAGATCAAACCCACCGATCGGACTCACTCTCGTTCCAAAAAGATCAACATCACCGAAGGCAAAGACTAAGCTCGTGCTCTCCAAGAGCGTAGGACTTGCTATCACCTTGGATAGACCGAGCATCTCTCGTTTATGGTTCAAGATCCATTTGGGGTCAAAGTCCAGCACAGCATTATATCGATAAAGCCCCTCTTCTGCCTCCGCAGAGGTTGAATCGCGGCCGACTGGTCTTCTGGGATCAAGGATGTGCCCTGGAATGGAAGTGATGGTCTTGAGGTCGGAGTTGATGCAGAGTAAGGATCGTGGGGTAATGCCTTGAAGGGTGGAAGTGGTGGCTAGATAGGAAACGGAATCAGAGATAAGGTACGTTTGTGAGATGGCGTGGGGCAGATTTGCAGTCCTTTCTTCATTGAGGTCCAGCGGTCCTTGTGAAGAAGTGTTTGACGACGAAGCTAATGGTCCTCGATCGTTGGGGAAAGGCGACTCGTAGAGTTCAGATACCACTAGCTGATATCCTTGCAACACTTTCTTCTCGGTTTGGAGTGTGTCTTGCGAGCTTGTGTGTGAGTACAAAGAGTAAGTGAGAATGTTCTCGGACAATGTCGAAGCGATGGGCTTGGTCGTATCTACATTTGAGTGTGTGGTGGTGTGCAGGATCGATCCGGATGTCGACTCAAGGAGGTAGAAAGTAGCAGTAGACGTTTGAACATTGACCGCTGTTACCAAAATGACATGTGGATTGAGATACTTGTACAGCACGTTTCTGTCTCCCAGTGCCCTTCCAATCGATGCGACGGGGTCGTGTGATGGACGATGAAGCAGTTGAACGATTCGCTCACTGGTAGCCGGCCGGAAAACCCAGGACAAGGAAACCTTTTTTTTTGGGATATGCTCCAACCATTGATCTTGTTGTCGTCACCTTCAGTTACAATGTTTACGCCCCCTCCAAAGTCCACGTCTGGGATTTCACAGATTGTGCCATCATCATTCACGCCTATCAGAGCTGATCGTTCCTTCGCGTCAGGTATTGCAATGGTCGTCTCCAAGCCACGTATGAGGGCCGCATGTTGGGACTTTAAGACCTTGCCAGTGCTTGACTCAACTTGCAAGATTTCACCCTTCGCAGCACGAACGGTCACGGTACCATCTTCGGCCTCAAGACCAAGAATGTCCCAAGTTGCACTGGATTGTAGCAAAGCAGCCTGCATCTGCCAGATTACCTTGCCATTGCTTCCCGTATCAAGAGCAGCAAGTCGTCCATATCTGGTGGCTACGATGATAATCTTGTTGAATCCGAATTTATCCTTTCGCAAGCGGCTTGAGCCGGATGATCCAGGGTCACTACCAAAGGCAAGCGCGGTCAGAGTATTATATTGCTGCTCAAGCCAATAGGGTAGATCTTGAAGTTCCCCCAAATGTCTCCTCAACCGATGGATGTACGCCCAGAAAAAGTTGTACTGCCCTTCGACTAATAATTCTTGGGCGAAATTCTCGTCGCGAGGTACTTCTGTAATGGTTGCAGCTACTACACCGCTAAGACCTTCTTTTCTGATCCAGAGCGACTCACTATTGCGGATAAGTTCCCAGTCTCCGCTCTTCAAAGCGACCACAGACCGCAAGGAGAATTTGTTTGCGCCTCGCGAAGCTACTTCGGCGGCAGCGTGCGATATACTGCGTAGTTCGGTTGTATCAGCTCGGTGCTTAGGTGGGACTGGCCATTTCTGAAGCTCAACAGATGAATCGGAAAAAACCAAGGAGATCTCGGACGAAGTGTACCGCACGAAGTACGTCTTGGGTCCCTGGATACTGGCTGAGAAAGCGCCTTGGTCAGGTATTTCGGGAAGATCGTATGCTAAGCTTGCTGTTCCAGTAGTGGCGTCTATATGATAGACCTTCGCCCAGTGGGACTCAGCTGCTTGAAAGTGGAGTAGGAAGTGAGGCTCGCCGTCGGGATCTGGAGCTGCATGTACGAAAATTCTTTCAGTTGGCTTTCCATTGTTCGACAACGCGCCCAGAGTTGTGGATTGTGATTTATGGACAGATGCCACTTTGACGGTTTTGAACGATTTGTCTGACCACATAATGATAGGCAATCCTCCAATGAGGCCAGAAAACAGCAGCGAGTCCTCTGAGGGGACTTCACCATCCGAGCTGAGACTTATAGTGTTACCATTCTGGTGCCCTGTCAATATATCTAACTCCGTTGCCTTGATCTTGAGTCCTTTCAAGCGTGCCGCGTGAAGAGAAATATAGAACAGCCGGCCTTGAGCAGTGAGCAGGGCGTGCGGCGAGTCCCCCTCAGAGTCTCGATGTTGCCATTTTTCCTCCCCAGCTTCTGCTGAGAAGCATCTCACAACGCCGAGCGAGCTTTCTTCTTGGACAGCCGCGAAGACAAGGCTCTGGCCTGCATTTTCAGTCGTGCTTACTGCTTTCACTCTCCCATTCGCTTGCCATGTCCACCCTAAACGCCCATTCACAGCATCCAAGACCTGAACCTTGCCGTCAAATGCGCTAATAACGGTATTCGACCCTTCTCCCGGTCTCAACAACCCTTCACCAACATAAGTCTTCTCTTCTTCGCCAAGCCGTTGCCTCCACAAGACAGTACCATCTTTCGGATTGACCGCGCCAACGATCCCATTCTCTGAAAGGGAAAAAAGTAGTGAGGCTTTCGAATTGTTCGATGGCTTATGGAAAAATGTTGTATGGGCTTGGGGTATTCCAAGGAGGGCATGATGAAAGTCGATCTGGTAGGCTTCGTCTCGATATACTGCAGTAGCGACGCGGGATAAAAGCAGGATCTGAACGGTTGCGAGGCAGCCCAGGCTAAAACGCATGTTTAGTCCAAGGATTGCAAGCTCCTAAAGAGCTCTTGTGGTTCTAGAAACCCCCCGGGCATTTCTAGAGGCTGTGTACGGCAGACTGCAATAACTTCTCCCCCAAATCTAGAAGGGCTCACCCCCAGTTCGGATCTACCCCCAGTTCGGATTTCTTAGCGTATTGCTCAGCTTGGCAGCGCAGTTTTGGGGAAAATCCGAACTGGGGGTGAGCTCTTCTACCAGTGTTGCAACTATGCGATACAGAGCGGAATAACTAGTGTCCGGGGCAACTTATAAATCTTTATATATTAAAGGAATAACTATTAACTAATAATAACTAGTTTATATATATATAATTTAATATACTTTAAAGATATATATCTAATTAATTTTTAATAATAATTATTAAATATTATATTTAAATAGTAATAATTTACTTTAGTAGTAAACTAGTAATAAAATATATTAATTACTTATTATTAAAGCTTAGATTATATAATTATAATATTCTTTTTTAAAACTATTTTTTAAATAATAAATAAAAGGTTTAATTTTAATTATAAATACTTAAAATAGTTTTTATTTAATAGTTTAATAAGTATATTTATAAGCTAGTTTTTTATATTAATATACTCTACTTTTAAGAGACTTTCTTATATATATTTATAAATATAATAATATTAAGTAGTAATATATTTTATCTTTTAATAGAATTTAAAGTTTTTAATAAAAATAATACTCTTAGAATTATTACTTTTTAATAGAATAAAATAATTTTTATTAAAATTAGTTTTATTAAACTATTATAAAGCCTATATACTAGATTTACTTTTTTTATAAAGTATTATATATTTAGCTTTAGTTATTAATATAGCTACTATATATTATTTCTAAATATATTATATATATAATATACTATAATAAGTTATTATATAGCTATAAGTTAATTATTTATTTATATAATTATTTATATATAATATATTTATATAATAAATAGTAATAGAGTTTTATAATAAAAATATAATTACTAAATTAGAAACTTTTTTTAAATACTTAAAAACTTTTATTAATAAATTTATATATTATATTATAGGATTATAATAAAATTAATTAAACTTTAATATTATTAGAATAATATCTAGATATATTATATTACTAGTATATATTAGCTTTCTTATTAAATATTAATATTTATATTAATTATATTATTCTTTATTTAACTAAGCTTATATAATACTTTTATAACTATTTATAGGAATACTTATAAATTAAATAATAATAAAACTATATTATTTAATTAGTTTTTTAATATAGAAAGTTTAATCTATTATAATATAATTATTATAATATATTATTTATAATTTTAAGACTTTTATTAATAATTTAGAATTTATAATCTTAAAATAATATTCTAGAAACTTTTTAATCTTAATGTAAGTTAATTTCTATTTATAGGCAATAATAATATTATTAATATAAAGTATAATTAAATATATTTATTTATTATCTATTATTTTTTTAAATATATAGCTATTTATAGATATAAATAAAAATTGAAGTTTATTTATAATTTTATAAAATTTAATTACTTAGATTTAAATTAATTACTTTAGTCTATATAAGCTTTTCTTAAGCTTTAAAACTTTTCTTTTTAATTATTTACTATTTAATATGCTTTTTAGTAGGAGTATAAAGATCTTAGTATTAAGGTTACTATTTAAGTAAGCTATTATAATATTAATAAAAAATGCTTATAACTTATATTTTATTATTAAGCTAATAAGTAAATAAAGAGATTTAAATCTAAGTATTAATATAAATATCTTATTATAATTAATTCCTTTTTTTTAATAAATTAATAAGCTACTAGTCTAGCTTTATATTTATTTATTATATTAGATAATAAATTTTTTTTTTAAAAACCTATTTATAACTTATAAATTTTTAACTAGCTAGTTTACTAATAATTTCCTAAGTATTATTTAATATAAAAAAGTTAAACTTATTTTAAATAACTTTATTTTAATAGAATAAGTCTATAGAGTTAATTGCTTACTTATAAATAATTAAGTTCTTTTTTATAAAAACTAGGAACATTATATTAAATTACTATTTTCTAAATATATTATTAAAATATAAGAATTATAGGTTTCTCTATTATATATAAAATAATAAAATTATTATTTATTTTCTTATTAATATTAATTTTAATTTAACTTTCTAATATAGGAATAAATATTAATAATAGAAATTTAATTTAATTTAATTTTATATATTTATATAAATTAGACTTAGATATACTTATAGAGTTGCTTTCTCTTTTAATAATCCTTTAATTTTAAAAAAATTAAAAAGATTATAAAAAGATTACTTTTATTTTCCCTTTAAAGAAAAGATTACTTATATATAATATTATTATTAATAATAGTCTATATATATTTTAGTACTATTAATTTATCTATAATAATAATAGAAGTAATATTATTATTATTATTTTTAATATTTAAGTTAATTCTACTTATTTATTAAAAAGTAAATAATATAATAAAAGCTAAAAAATATATTATAGATACTCCTTCTCTTATATAATAATAATTTTTATTATTAATAAAAACTAATAATTCTATAATACTTATTAATACTTTATTAATTTCTATTAATAAATATGTTACCAACCTAGTATTAAAAACTTTTATTTTAATAAATATAATTATTTATTATCTATATAATAAATAAACTTTAGCTTAAATAATAGAAATTATTTTAAGATATATATTATCTTTAGCTAGGCTATTGTTACAACCTTGCATAATAGGCATAACTAGATAACTGCTATAGGATAAGGACTATAGCTGTACTAGGTTATAAGGAAGAATAACTAAAAGGAGGAAAAAATAGCTGAAATATTTAAGTACACTTAAGCACTAAAAGTATTAAGCAACCTTTAAATTAAATAGACTTAAAATAATTAAGGGTTAAGTACTATTAAGTAAATTAAGCAAAGTTATATATATAAAATCTTTTATTTTTTTTTAAATAAATTTCTTTATATTTAATATAAGTTTTATTCCTTATTATAAAATTTAATATAATTATAACTTAATTCTATTTTATTATTTTACTTTTATTTATTTTCTAACTGCTATTTATATTCTAAAAGAACTAACCTGCTAACTTATAATTAAATTAGCTAATACTATTTACTAGTTTAAATACTAAAGTTATAATATATTAAATACTTTTAAAATAAGTATAATTAGATCTATTATAAGTAAATAATATTCTTAATAAAAGTATATAATATATTGATTAATTGTTATTAAAAAAGATATAATTAAACCTTTAAAGCTTAACTTTTTTTATAAGAAAAGGAATAAACTTAATAACTAGTTATTCTAGTTAAATTTTTATTTTAAATTAATATTTAATATTAAAGGTAAAATTAAAATAGCTTTTATAGTAATATATATAAGAAATAAAATATTATTATAAATTAATTTAAACTTTGGAAAATATATAAATAAAATTATTAATATAGAAACCTGCAAATAGATTGAAAATTATTTTAAATTTAAAAAATAAATCTAATAAGTATTTAGACCTACTAATAAGGAATAGTATACTAAATTAATAATATAATAACTATAATAAATTAAAAAAGTAGCTAATTATATAACTATTTTCTAATATTATATAGCAATAATAGAATAAAATAATAAAACTTAAATATCTATATTTAAATAAAAACTAAAAAACAATATTTAAAACAAGCTTATATATTATAATAAAAAAATTGAAAATCCTAATAATCTTATAAAAGTAGTAATTGAAATTAATAATAAGCTATATTAATAATATATAAAATGAAATAAATAATAAAAATAGTATATAAAACGAATTATTATAAAATATAGCAATAATATAATAAAATACTAAAAACACTATAACTATAGGGTAAAATAGTTAAAAAGTGCTAATTTATAAAATAACCCTATAAAGCTAGATATATTAATATTATAATATAATAGTAAAAGTAATTATAGAAACCTAACTAAAAAAAGTATTATAAATATAGTAAAATAAGATATATTATATATAACTATTAGTCGAAAAACTAAGTATAAAGATAGTTAGATATTTTATAAAGATTTCTATTATTATATTTATTATTAATCGACAATAGGGAAGCTAAAAGCTTAGTAAATAATATAAACTTAAATATATTATTTTTTATAATAATAGATAATAATACCTAAAAATAAATACTAATTAAATATAAAAAATAGGAATAAATTAATATACTAAATAACATTTTATAAGAAATAGAAAAAATAATTAAATTACTTAATATAAACTTTAATAAAATAATAAAATAACTTAAATAAAAATAATAAATATATAAATAATATAATTATTAATAAATTTTTTTAAAAATAGACTATAAAATCTTTTTAATAAACTAAAATAATATAAAAATATAAAACTAAGAAATAGTAATAAATAGCTTTTTAAAAAAATACTATATTTTTATATTAACTTCTAGCTTAGATATTAGGCAAATAATATTATATATATACTAGAAGATAAAATCTTTAAAACAATAATATAATAAATTATTTATTAAGAACTTTATAAAAAAACTATATAGACTAATTATATAATCAACTAATATATATCTTATTTAATTAATAAATATAAGAATAAGTTCTTTCTAGGATATAAAAATAAATAATATAAGTTATATTATTAATTTCTAATAAAGGAACTAAAAAATAGAATATACCTACTATATATTTTATAAAAAGAAAACTAGCTTTTAATATAGTAATAGAACTTTATATAGTAATACTATAAAAATATACTATATAAAATATATTAAAACGAGAAATTATAATAGGGAATATTATTTAAAGTAATAATTAATAATCTTAGTAAAGTGCGAAATATTGAAGGATATAACTTATATATTATAATAAAAATACAGCTTAACAATATACTAATAACTATACTTATAAATA